CTCTCGGCCACCACGGCCCATGATGAGGGGATCGGCGTGAGGTGGGTTCTTATAGCAACAGGACTCGACCGACCCGGTCAAAATTTCGCAAGAAGTTGGGGCAGTCGAACCGCCGACCCTAGCACTGAGAACCGACGCCTCTACTCCCTGGACCACCACGTTCCATGCTCGGAGTGGGCTCACGTTTACGGGTTTGAACCGCACTGGGTGAGGCAGTAAAATTAAATGGAAATATTTGTTAGGAGTCGAACCTCCGGCATGTGGGCCTGTTGCACACGGCTCCGCTCTCATGGCCTCGAACCACCACCCTTAGGATAGCAAGTCGAAAAAACTTTCGTGACGCTGGTATTCGAACGCCGGCCTGCGGTAACTCGATCCCACGTCTCTAACCTCTCGGCTATCACAGCAGTTGTGAAATGCGGTGGATCATCTGCTTTCATTAACGTTCGTTGAATGAGATTTTTTTTCTCTTCACACCCCAGCTTCCTCTCCTTGCAGGGAGCGCCACATCGTCCGGATCCAACACGCATGATGCGACCCCACCACGCCCCGCCCCACCCCAGCAGGACGCCCATTAACGGCCCGTCTTCGGGGAGGAAAAGAAAGTTAGCCAGTATTCGAACCCCGAAACCCGGGAGCCCGGACCCCGGCCGGCCCGCTGCCATTCCATTGGCCGAATCATTAACGCTTACGCTCCCATTTCGACAACATCCTCCCCCTGCAGCGCGCTGCAGTGCAGGCCGGCCGGCCGAGGTCGCTGTCTCTCTCGCGCCCAGACGGAACGCCCCGCGAGTGCGAGAGAGACGGCGCGACAATGTTCGGAACAGGCCGACGCGATTCTCACGTCCCGAACTAACGAGTGGAAATGGACGCCATTCAGGCGTCGTCGTTTTGCTGGGTGTGGCGTGGCGTGGCGGGGCGGGGCGTGGCTGGCGGGGCGTGGCTCGCCGCGGTGCAGGGCGTGCCGGGCCCGCGAGTCCCACCACGGCGTCCCTCGCGCTCCTCCGTCCCCGCGGGATCCTCCGGGACTCCGGCGTCCGTCCAGGACAAACTTTTGTACAGGAGGAGCAAAGCCAGCCAGCCACTCGGTCCGCCCGTCCGTCCGTCCGTCTCTAATGAAGTGGTTCGACATTGTTGCAGGTGGAGGTGTGGAGGCGAGGCCGCCGGCAACGGCTGGGAAAACGGCCAGCGAGGACCGCGGCGGGAATGCCAAAGTCTCGCCAAAGTAGGCGCCCCGCCCCGCGCCCCGCCCCGCCCCGCCCCGCCAAATCTTAAGTGGAACGACTTCCACTCGGGCGGGAGAACGACTTGGGGAACTAGCCGCGCCGTCCGACGGCGGTAACCAACTCCAGACCGGAACGCCAAAGTGTATCAGAGCGCCGGCAGCGCGACGCGGAACGTCAAAACACGTCCAATTGCTGGACAAATCATCGGCCAACGGCGCGGTGCGTGTGAGAGAGAGAAGCGCTCGGTCGCAAAGTAAAGTGAGAGTTCCGTTCACCGTGCACCGGCTCTGCCACCCGTCAGTCAGTGTAAAAGCACGTTCAGAAGCACTTCAAAACCACAGAAGAAAAATGATGAAAAATGGGGAGGCTTCCCAAACTCCTCCTTTTGCACCTGGCCGCTGGCTGCCGCGAGCCCCGCCGCCCTGAAGCTAGCCGTGGAGCTAGCCGCCACGACGCCGTCGACGCGGCCCGGATTTCCTGGACTTCCCCGTCAAGGAGAAACTTACTAACGGGCCTAATCTAGTCCGAGACGCGCCGAGGGCGTAGCGTGGCGTACTGGCGCACTGGTAGTGGCCCGGCGGCGGCCCTGCCCCAGGCCAGGCCCGCAGGGGGGGGCATACAGAGTTCTGCATGCCTTCGGCGCCTCCGCTTGCCAAGCCTTTGCCTTTGCCCTACTCCCGTTACTACAAGTTTCATGACTAGCACTCCGACCATAGGCTGCCATAGGCTGCCATAGGCTGCCGTGGGCGCAGACACCCCCTGCTCCCCTTGTCCGCCCATCCGCCCATCCGCTCTTTCGACGTTTCTAGTTTTTTACGCCGTGGCGAGGCCAAAATCTCGCCGTCGTGTCGTAAGATTGTTCTCGACATGGTTTTTTTTCTTCCCTCCTTTATTTCTTCACGTTCGATACTGTCGATCAACAAGCCCACCCTTAGTGCGACCGTCCACGGCTAGGCAAACAGGGGCCAGACCGCCGCGCCGTCGTTCGGCAACCAAAACAAGGAGCAAGTGTTTGCTCGTCCGGAGCCAGGCTGGCCGGGCCGGGCCGGGCCCACCGAAGGCCCGCCGAGCTGCCAGAGCCTGCAGAGCTAGCAGAGCCCCCGCCGGAGCAGCCGGAGCAGCCCCAGGTGTCAGTCTGATAACCTCGCCAGCACCGCCGGAACCATCATGGCCACAGATTGGATCGGGCGAGCCGCGCGTCGGCGACGACGCCGCGCGCCGCCGTCATCTCGAACCTCGAACTTCAAACCTCGAACCTCGAACCTCGAACATCTAACCACGACTCTCGTCTCTCAAATTTCGAACTTGAAAACCCCCAAACCCGAGAGTCAAACCTCAAATCTTCAATCTGAAATGCCAAAATGCCCCCTCGAACCTCAAATCTCGAACCTCAAATCTGAAACCTCAAATCTCGAACCTCAGATCTCGAACCTCAAACCTCGAACCTCGCGGCACCGACGCCGTGACGCCGAGCGACCCGACGCCGAGTGAATATCGCGAGCCAAATGAGAGCGCGTAAAATTGCGTGGATTCCGTGGGGATTAGGAGCGTGTTGACAGGGGAATAAGTTGGCGCCCCACCTCTCCCTCCCCCTCCTTTCCTTCTCCCTCGCCCCGGATTGCGCGCGTTCGCCAATCTCTCTCTTTGCGCTGATGTAACGTCAACTCAGTCAAAGGTGTGAAAACGAGGAGGAGGGACGGGACAAGGGCTTTACGACCGAGCGGCGGGGGAGGGGAGGGGCGCTCAGCTCGCTTCGCTGGCGCGAGCCGGCTTCGCTACCTTCACAGGGTTTTTTTAACCGCGAAATCGGTCGGAATCGTATTTTTCCACTCGGCACAATGTGCATTACGTGGCGTAACGCGGCACGGCCGGAGCGAGGTTTCGCGGTTTCCACCTTTTCTGCTTATTCGCAGGAAGGGGAAGGGATCCGTGTCCCGGCCCAGTTTGGCCAACCGCGTCCAAACGGCTGCGAAGGGTTATTGTGCCGTTGTTTGCAGCAGTGCGCCGCCAGGGCCGCCAGCAGCGTCGCTCTGTCTCTCTCGCACTCTCGTGGCGGCACGCGCGGGGCGGCAAGTGCGAGAGAGACAGAGCGAGCGGCGAAACACGAATCCCCTCCCCGCAGCGTCGGCCGGCCAAGAGGCCTTCTTTGCTTTGGCCGCGGTGGGATTTGGCCCGATCGCCCGGATAATGATTGGCCGCTGAAAAAATGGCGGGAGTGAGTGAGTGCTCGAGTGTGCGCGTGTGTGAGAGAGACAAAGAGAGGAGTGGGCGGGAAGGGGAATATGACCGTGTAAGGACGGGCGCAGCGAACCACTCTCCGGCCGGAGTAGGCTCGGTTCGCTCGCTTCCCGCCAATTCACTGGCTTCATTCCGACTAGCAGTGCCGTGGCAGTGTGGTGGGCAAGGCGCGGCCCATCCGTTTCGCCTTCGCCCTGCTTCGCGCTTCGCCCCAGAGAGATGTAGCGGTGGGGGGACACCGCAGATTGCGTGTCGTTACGCTCCCATTTCCCTCCCAATAGGTGCGGGACGAGGGGAGGGGCGGAGGGGGGGGGGCGTAGCCTCCAGGGTCCCCAGAGGAACGATCCGAAGCCGCCGATGATGGCGCCCCGCAGATATTTTTGGACCGAGGCTCGGTGCGGATTTGGGGCGCTCCACAGTGGGCCAGAAGACCAGTAGAGGCGGCCAAAACTCTAGAGAGTTTTGAGCTCCAGGGTCGCTGAATGGGACTCGAACCGAACGTGTGACCCCATCACTGGAGTCCTCGTTCGGAGAGCAATCCATTGGTGGGGTCACACGTTCGGTTCGAGTCCCATTCAGCGACACTGGAGCTCAAAACGCGTCCGGGATTTTGACCGCCTCCACCGGTCTTCTGGCCCACTGTGCGTTCCTGCGTCGCTTGTCTCTCGCCGTGCCGCTGGGGTGCGAGAGAGACAAAGAGACAGCGAGACTGTTTGGCGTCGAACTGCAGGTGACTCAGTTCAGTCTGGTCTGACTCGAAGCTCTCTAAGAACGTTATTTACTTTTCTCCTTTCTCAAAGCGAAGAGGCAACTTATACCACTATTCTTTGTAAGACTATTTTACTCGAGTTTTACTAAGAAACCTGCGGATCTTGGGGGGCTTCCTCCTCCTCCGCCCCCACTGCCCCAACCCCAACGCGGCACGGCGAGCACCCACTTGGAACCAGGGAGCAAAATTACGCTTTCTATGCAAAGAAGAGCTTCTTATCGGCTGCAAAGTCAGGGCAGCAGGTGGGACGCGGAAACGCGGAGGATGGGGACGGAGCGGAGCGGAGCAGAGGGGCCGTCCCCGGCTCGGTCCCCGCGTCCCTGGAGGGTGCTTACGCGGACGGGCTGTCCGTGCGGACGTCGCGGACGTGGGGTATCTCCACGCCGCGGGGCGGGCGCGGAGCGGGGACTTTAGCGGGGACCGTCCTCAGTTCGCAACGCACGCCCGAGTGGCGCTCCGACGAAAAGACTGCAAACGACAGAGACTGTTCGAAACTTCGCGCCAAAAATACGGGAAGTGCCCCTGCAGGCTCGGAGTATCGTCGTGAAAAATTTGACCAGGCGCCGGGGAAAGCAGAAGTGTCGTTGATGTCCTATGTTTGTATTGAATCAGAGTGCTAAAAGCAAGTCAATAAAACCAGTCAGTGTGGATTAAGGAGGGTTCAAGCGTGCGATTGCCCCTTACACTGCACACGCTCACCTCGCACAGGCATGGGGTATCGGCGAGCGGGCCTGCAAGGTTCGCACGGCGGACGCCAGATGGCGTCCGGTGGCAGGCGTAGCGAGGCTAGCCCCGACGCCGAGCGGCACACCAACACACTCGCACTCTCAGCTACATCAACACGCACGTCGTTCATTTAGGTGCCCCACGTGAATCTTTGAACACAGGTCTTGTAACTCGAATATGTAAGTGTTGAATCGAATGAATGAACCTATGAATGCCACCTGAAATGTGGTTGTCATTTTTCTATTGATATCGTCTAAGCTAGATTGTCATTTTGTTCTCAGTGGATCTACTCACGGGCCATAACCTAAGTGTCGTCTCCAAAATGGCAGTCCGAGTGCAGTTTGAAAATAACAACGAAGTCGGAGTCTTCTCTAAGTTGACAAACACATATTGTCTGGTTGCTATTGGTGGCTCAGAGAATTTCTACAGGTAAGCCTTGATTCGCTGTCTGTGAGGCTCATCTACTTGTCAAAATTATCTTGCGCCAAATGTTGTGCAATCCTCGGTAGGAATGTGTTTGAATGTGATGGATGTTCTACTGCACTGGTCTCTTGCTAATCAGTTGTTCTATTCTCTCAGTGTTTTTGAAGCTGAGCTGGCAGAGACTATTCCAGTGATTCACGCTTCTTTGGCGGGCTGTCGTATTATTGGTCGCATGTGTGTAGGTAAGGAATTCACTTGAGGAAGTCATTTGGTGCCATGCAAGTGATTTTGCTTAACTCTTTTCATTGCGAATTGCAGGTAACAAAAATGGTCTTCTTGTGCCAAGTACCACAACAGATGATGAACTGCAACACTTGCGCAACTCACTCCCAGACAAAGTTAAAGTTCAGAGAGTCGAGGAACGGTTGTCTGCCCTGGGTAATGTAATTGCCTGTAACGATTATGTGGCACTCGTGCACCCAGATCTTGATAAGGTAAAGTTCTTGGAATCTGGTTTATAAAGATGTGTAAAAGGGTCTTGCCTCAAAATTAATTCCTGTATTCTTGGGCAGGAAACTGAAGAAATATTGTCTGATGTTCTTGAAGTGGAAGTCTTCAGGCAAACAGTTGCAGCAAATACACTAGTTGGTTCATACTGTTCTCTCTCCAATCGTGGTGGCTTGGTTCACCCGCGGACATCCATCCAAGATCAAGATGAACTGTCGTCTTTACTACAAGTTCCACTAGTGGTATGTTTGTTTGATACTTTTGAACGTTAAGTAGGCAAAGTTGCCGAGTTGTTTACATTTCTTGCAATTAATGTCGCAGGCTGGCACAGTAAACAGAGGATCTGAAGTGATTGGGGGTGGTATGGTAGTCAATGATTGGAGTGCTTTCTGTGGTCTTGACACAACTTCAACAGAGATTTCAGTTATTGAAAGTGTATTTAAACTCAATGAAGGAACCCCTGCCACTATCACCACTGAAATGAGGTCGTCTTTGATTGAGAGGTAGGTGTAAATTAAAATACAAGTGTCATCTGAGTAAAGCCTTGGTCTGCATTTATTTACAGCTTTTCTCACGTTTTTTTTTCTTTCTTTGATTTCAGCATGTCATAATTCCACATGGGACTTCTTTCTTCATTATAAATAATTACTAAACTGGAAATTTTTTTTTGAATAAATTTATATGACAACTCTCAAAAGCTCTACTTGCCTCATATAATTTGCTACTTTTTGGGGAAAAAATCTAACTTTCGGACCAAGATGTGGTTAGCTCCGCTGGAGCTCCCCACTCTCTTTCTGGTGATGTGTCAATTGGGTGGCCTACCTTGGAGGCAGTAGGCGGCCGCTGCTCTGCAGAGCGATTCAGAACATCGGTTTGTGGCTGTCTCTATCACACCCTTGTGGAGAACCCCATGAGTGCGACAGAGACAGAAAAAAAATATGGACCTGATTGGGATTTGAACCCCCGCGGAGCGTACACACTGTTCTTTTGTTGCTCGCCGCGACAAACAGGGAAACGAGGAGGCGTCGCGATGAGAGAGAGAGGGGCTCGCCAAGAAATGGGATTGCGCGCCACAACCACTCCACTCCTTTATTTCTTTATTTCTATTTCTTTATTTCGCATGCCCCTGCTTCCTCCTCGGTCGGGCAGTGCAATGCCTCCCCTGCCGGCGGTCCGACCGGTGGCCGGTCATCTTCCTGGTTGGACGCGGCTGCGCGGCCGCGCGCTGTCAAGTGTCCGACGCGTGGGCGCCGAAACCTCACAGGCGCTTAAGGTCACAAGCAGGCGCTTAAGATCACAAGCAGGCGCTGCTATTTAAGTTATTGAAACGCCCGCAGGAAGCAATAATTCAAATAGAAAAAATAATCAGTGGGAACCCGAATTTTGGTGAACACACGGCGTGCCCCTTGTGCCGCAGGTAACGGAGCAGAGACTTTTCTTTCGACATTTTTCATTTGAACGCCCTTTCCGCCAAGACGGGGAAAAGACCCGGGAAAAGCAACAGTTGTTCGACCCCCACCCTTTGCGACTGTCCCCTGTCGGCACTGACCCCCACCGGTCGTCTTTGCTGCCACTCCAGGCTCACCACTATCGACCCGGCCGCCCCGCCTCGCCCCGCCCGCCCGCCCCGCCTCGCCCCGCCCCGCCCCGCCCCGCCTCGCCCCGCCCCGCCCCGCGAGCCGCGTGCGGTGCCGCGCGGTGCGGGCAGGTGCGGCACACAGCGCCGCCAAGCTCCAAGCTCGCAACGCGCCAAGCCAGGCCATGGCGGCGACCACAGTCTGCTGCAGCCGGGCTGGGGACCACCACCGAGCACCAGTCCGCGTCCCCGCCTCCAAGAGAAGCCCCCGGCCGTCGCGGACGTCCAGGACCTCGCCGAAGAGTTCACCCCTGCCAGAGATGCGCGCGGTAAGGACTCGCTGCTTCGGCCGGACTGTCGCCGGGCTGGGGGCCTTTTTCTCGCACTCAAGGGGCGTGCGGTAGAGACAGCCCGAGACCCGACGAACCACCTGCAGAGTGTCTGAGTGGCAGTTCGGCTCACGGTAGACGTCCGGGAGGGTCGCGCACCCTGTATGGTGGATCGACCGGGCCTAGGGCCTAGCGCCGCCCCCGTCTCGCTGAGGTTATCTACGCACTTGTTGGCGTGCCCCGCGTGTCGCTAGGTCGGCGACCGCGGGAGACGCGCAGAGCCTGGCTCTGTAGTTCAGCGAGCAGCCCTAGGGGGTTTCTTCATTCACTGCCCATTCATTGGTTCATTCATTGGGCGCATTCTTCTTGCTGAACTTTCTGCTGCCGGAGTGTCGTCGCTCTGTCTCTGTCGCACTCATGGGGCGTCCCGTTGGGGTGCGAGAGAGACAGAGCGTGGCGGGGGCGGCGTGTTCTCCGCGGCACCCAAACCCGTCCCGTCCGCCACCATGCCGACTGCTTGTTTTGGCCCGTTTCGGCCTGAATGCGTTCAATGCAATAAACAGCGTGTTTTTCCTCGCGCTGGAACGACGAAGAAAGCAATCGAGCATTGCCGCGGCCACCAGGCCCATCCCTCTCTCTCTCTCTCCCTCTCTCTCTCTCTCTCTCTCTCTCTCTCTCTCTCTCTCTCTCTCTCTCTCTCTCTTCTCTCTCTCTCTCTCTCTCTCTCTCTCTCTCTCTCCTCTCTCTCTCTCTCTCTCTCCTCTCTCTCTCTCTCTCTCTCTCTCTCTCTCTCTCTCTCTCTCTCTCTCTCTCTCTCTCTCTCTCTCTCTCTCTCTCTCGCACCTGCGCGGGGCGCCCCGTGAGTGCGAGAGAGACGAAGCGATGACAAAAGCGGTGCTGGGAATCGCTCGCCGCCGCCCGCGCGCAGTGCTGGCCAATTCAAAGCGTTTGGCCCGGGCGGGCAAAGGCGTGCGCCCGCGGTTACTTGTCTTGCCCGGAGTTTGCGCCGGGTTCGAGGCTGCCGCCGCCACGCCACGCCCCGCCACGGTCAATGTCAATGACTGCAGCGCAGCCACATGCCGCTGCCGCCGAGTCTGCTTCATCTCAAGCAAAGTGCTGCAGCGACAATGATAGGAAACGGGACGTGCTGTGCGCGGGAAAATATTGTTTTCAAGGTGTATGCACAGGTGTCTGTAAGTCCTCTTGGCGCCAGAGGGGTACACTGGAGGACCAAGAGTCCCAAAGTCCTCACAGGCGGAACCGCCTTGAGACGGCTTAGCGTGCTCTAGAGTGCACTACCCGGCCGGTTCGACAGCAGTGCCCCTCGGCAAGAAGTCGCCAAGTGGAAATCTAAACTCAGTGCGAGCGTGCGAATGGGGCGACGGGTAGCACACGTCGAGGCGCTGGCGGAGGCGCCTCCCGCAGTGTAGGCCCCAGCAGAGTGATCCCGAGAGTCGTTTTCGTCGCCCTGTCTCTCCCGCACTTATGGGGCGTCCCGCTTTGGTGCGAGAGAGGCAGAACGTCGAAATCGACTCTCGGAATCAGTCTGCAGTCCATGATGGCATGGAAGACGGATTGCCGCACGGCGCGCCTCGCCTCGCGCCGCCGAATCGGTAACTCGCAGCAGGTGTCAAATTGTCGGCTGCAGACAATTGCTTGATAGCTTCTGGTGTCGCGGCGTGACGCGCCGTTGCGGCATTGTGTCGCCGTGCCTCTTTAAATACCCGCCCCGCGTTACCGGCGTTACCAACTTTGCCGCGCGAGCCGCTTGCCGCAACGTGGGAATGAGAGGCGAGACTCCGAAACTCAAAGCGGTGATTTGCTCATCGAAACCGAAACCACGCAGACGCACCTACCATGCTCCCTGTCAAGATTCGTGTGGGTGTCGGCGTTTCGCCCTCAGCCTCAGCCTCGCTTGGGAATTCAAAAAAGCAAACAAAAAAACACTCTTTCGAGAAGTGTCAGATTGTCAACTGATAAAAATGTGCCTAAAGCCGATGTCACCACGTGGGCGCGAGGCAGAGCCATCGGCAATTAAACGCATGCCGCTTCCGTCCTCATAAGTTTCCAGTGCGGAAGCATGAGCGGCCCGCTCCAGCACTCCAGCCGCTCCAGCGTTCCAGACGACGCGGCGCGCGGGCTCGGCCGGCCCACGGCGCCCAAGGTCGCCGGGCCCGGAGGGGCAGTGATTCCTGGATTTAACGATATCGGGTCGGAGCAGGCGCTGCAGCGCGCTGGAGCGAGGTGGCAACGTGTTGCCGTTAGAGTGAGCGTGAAAAAAAAAAGTGGGAGAAATGCAAAAGAAAGAACTTGTTGCAGTTTCAGTGTCATTTCCTTCTGCAGTTGGCGATGTTTTGGCGCTCGTTTTGTTGATTTCAAATTTTTCTCGATGCGTCCGCATTACAGTCTGGGTGGGTTTTTAGTATTTTCAGTACGTGTAGGGTTTATTTTATTTTTTTCTGTGAAATGAGTCGGAGTTCCTTGACTCTGAGGCCCGCCGGACCCTCTGCCGGTGTCCGATTGGCCCGGCGGCGCGAAGGGCCCGCACGTGTGTGGCACTGCACGTTACAGGTGTACGACAGGACACGCGCGGCGCGGCGGCCCAGCGACGCCCTTGTGTCCGGAGTGTGCCGTGAATAATGCTATGTCCCCCGGGAGATTTTTTGGAGGGGGGGATTGGTGCACGGCGCGAACTGGTCGTGTACCCATCTTCCGTCTTCTTATGTGCACCGGACGCCCAGCGCTGCGGTGACCCTGCCCGATGCGTGGGAACCTCAACCAGTGCACAAGGCTGCACAAAGTCTGGGCACCGTCCCGGAGAGCATCTTATTCCCACGAGGGGCCTTGCCTGCCTTGCCTGCTTTGCCTGCGCCCATCAAAGATCCATCCCTCGTGACCTGTGCTCTGTATGCAGTAAAATGTTACTGTAGAGATGACTGAAAAAATAAATGCGTTCGTCGGAGGGTTATTTTTTTTTCTGTAAGCTACAATCTAATAAGGTGATCTTGACATTTTTTTTTTCTCTCCCGCTTCGAATCATTTTTAAAGAGCCTAGCGCTTTTGATCACTTGAACACGTATAGCCGCGCGTTCGGTATACCGCGCGATCGGTCAGTGGCCCTACAAGGACTTTGCCGAAGGAGACGCTGGGGCGTCCACCCCGCCCCGCCCCGCCCCGCCCCTCGCCAAGTGCGCCAACGCAGTGTCGTGTCCAGCACTGCCCGCTGTCCGCGTGCCCCGCGTGCCGCTGCAGCCTTCCGCTGTGGTGGCGTGCGTGGTTCCGCGCCGCCCCGCGCCTGTCAACCAATTCGGACGCACTAACCGTGGGGAGGGGGAGGGGGTAATAATCTCTCCCAAGTGCCAGCAGCCAACGCTGCACGTGTTTTTATTTGCTGCGTTGACAGTTTTTGTCGCTTTTGCCTGTGACGTGCTTACGTCGTGCGACAATGCAGGCGTCGTTCCTGGCGAGCTGCAGGCATTCGTCACCAGGTGCCGAAATACACCGACACCGTCGATCTGCTACGAACTTTGTCCAAGTGCTTGGTAGCTGTTACGTGCGAAGTGAGACTGTGGTCCATAAGCGCCCGAGGTCCCGGTGGCGAGGTCACCGTCACAGCGTCGACGCGAGCGTGCACGATGGGTGGCCTACCTGCTGCACCTGCAACAGCGGGCCAGAAGACCGGTGGCGGCGGACGAAATTCTGGACGCGTTTTGAGCTCCTGAGTCGCTAAATGGGACTCTGGAGCTGAGACGCGTGTAGAATTTTGGTCACCTGCACCGGTTTTTCTGGCCCGGCCTTCGCCGCTGGTGCATCCATGCGACCACACTGACTACTGCGCCACTGCAGGCGATGCTGCTGCTCCTGATGGCGGCCGCGCGCTGCCACGCCACGCTGCTGGTGGCGGACACGTACGCCGGGAGGCTGATGGAGCTGCGCGGCGACACGCCCACCTGCACGCTGTTCGACGACCGCGAGGCCGTGCGCTTCAAGCTGTCGTCGGCGGACCCGCGGCGCGTGCGGCCCAGCTCGCCCGAGCAGTTCGACGCCCTGGTGCGCGCTTGCAACGAGCGGCGCGGCCCCGGCGGCCAGGCCGGCGACGGCCACCGCCAGACCGGCTTCATCTACCCAGGTGAGCGTCCTCGCCGTGCATGCCGCCCGCGCTGCGGTGAGTCTTAGCGACCCAAACGAACGCGCTCTGCTTGGCCTTGCCAGGGACCAAGTGGTGCGGCCCGGGCAACACCGCCCTCCACTACGACGACCTCGGCTACCACCGCGCCGAGGACGCCTGCTGCCGCGAGCACGACCACTGCCCCGCCGTGCTGGAGGCGGGCCAGTGCCTGCAGGGGCTGTGCAACAACGCCCTCTACACCAAGTAGGCCGCCGCCATGTCTCCCCGCGCCTTCCCTTGCCGGCCAGCCGCTAACAGTGTTGTGCCCGCCATGCTTCCAGGTCCCACTGCGACTGCGACGCGCGCTTCCGGCGCTGCCTCGGCGCCATCGGCTCGGAGACGGCCAACCTCATCGGCTCCATCTTCTTCAACGTGGTGCAGGTGTCCTGCTTCAAGGAGAAGCGGCCCTGCTACCCGGAGGACGTGGACGACCGGTGGGACATGTTCCTGATCGCGTTGAGATGGAACTTCTCGTCCGGGTTTTTGTTTTGCTGAACGGCGTTGTTTTGTGTTTCAGGGGCCGCTGCCGCATGCGCTTCCACGCCCAGGCCAGGTACGAGGAGTTCGGCGGCTACTCGGCGGGCTCCTCCGGGATCGTCTCCAACCTGCTCAGCTCCTTCCTGCCCTTCCGCAAACGCTGAGACCTCAAGGCTCGATGAGTCATCCCCCAACCCCTTCCCGAACCTGTTTTACAACACCTTAGGATTAGGATTAGAACGACGTTCTTGTCGATTGTTTCGAACCCGGTGAGAATTTATGACTTGGCTCTGTCAATGGTCCTAAACCCATTTGGAAACCATGTGCGCAACCAGTAATCTCTCAGTGGATAGATTTGTGATACTAGTTTTTTGTTTTTAATTTATGATTTTACTTTAAAAGTTCTGTGATAGACATGTGTTTTTGTGTAATCAAGTATAACTTGCCCAAAATTTTAGTCATTGTAAGGACTTTTTCGTTTTTGGTGAAAGCATCACTTCTTGTACACTCCCACCTCAATTACTTGTAGGTGTGAAACAAAATTACCTGAAATGTACAAATTTCATCATAGTTATAAGTTACCATAGTGATGGATTGAAATAAACCAAGAGACAATTTCGGTGTACAAATAATTGAATTTTATTTACAATTTATCCATATCCTTTCCCCACCCTCACAAAGGCGCCAATACGACTAGACAGTTGAACACCTATTCTCTGCTTCTTACAACCATAGCATATCAATTTCAAATAAATCGGGCAGGTCGACGTTTTTGGCTGATAAAAGCCGAGCAGGTAGGCAACCCAGCTGTCACTGCTGTTTGGCGGGGAATGAATGGGAAGGGCCCGGGTGGGGGGGGGGGGGGTTTGCCTGTGTATACTGGCTGATTCTCCTATTCGCACGCTAACCTCGCCTCCCCCCTGGTGTGTCTGCTAGGCGGTCAATGCCATTGAATAAACTTGGATTATTAGTATACTTTTAATCTATTTCAAAGCCGCTACGCTGTCTATGGAAAACGTAAATATGAAATGCTCTAGCGAAGTGCAGGTCTTGTGACAGTTATTGTACAGAATAGTTACCCACAGGGGTAAAGGGCGACACTTCATTGGCGTTTAAGGGTAAACTAAGAAAAGTGTATCTGATCTTAAATGCGGAATATTGACAAAGACTGAGATACTTTCTCTCGGCAGAATTTCTAATGGTTTCCTTAATGTTCTCGTTGGAAGTACCCTAAGCATGAGGCAATTCCTAAAGAAATCATCTTTAAGCATCTAACCTATTTCGTCTGCTTCTGGGAAAAAAGTCTCTCAATCATTGTTGCTTTTCAACTGCACGTTTCATTTTGTCAACTTAATTGTCTCACGTAAATTAAATGTTTGAAACTCACCTGATATTGTACGTGATTCTGACGAAGCTCATGACCGCATTGTTAAGTTTACCTTCTGTCAACCCAGTCTCTTTTTCACATACAGGAAAAACAATGGTCATGCGGAAAAGTGTTCGTATTCTATTGGTTGGAGATCGGAGTGTGGGTAAAACCTCTCTAATTTTGTCATTGGTCAGCGAAGAATTCAATGAAGATGTTCCTCCAAAAGCAGAAGAGATTACTATTCCGGCTGATGTTACCCCTGAGCAAGTTCCTACCCACATAGTAGATTTTTCTGGTATGACTTGTCAACATAACAGTGTACTATCTTTTTCACCCTCTTGTCTTTCTTTGACAAACCTCTCCTTTTAAAATCCTTTTTTTCCAGCTGTTGAACAAACTGAAGAACAGCTAGTAGATGAGATTCAACGGGCTCATGTTGTATGTGTTGTGTATAGTGTTGATGATGAAGACAGCTTAGAACATGTCACAACACATTGGTTGCCTCTGGTACGCTCAAGTGCTCAGGGGTCACCTTTACCAGTAATTTTGGTTGGGAATAAAGTTGATCTAGTTGACTACTCCACCATTGATGTAGGTATTTCAGAATAATCTCAAGCACTTTTGTTTCCTTTTGTTTTTTCATTCAAATTTTTATTTTTTTCAGATGGTTATGAGTATTATGGAGGAATATCCTGAAATTGAAAGTTGTGTTGAGGTACAGTATGTGAGGCAAACTTTAGCTGAGCTGAAGTACCTGAGTATTTGAATAAATGTTTGCTTTCTTTTCGCAGTGCTCTGCTAGGACATTGAAAAATATTTCAGAGATGTTCTATTATGCACAAAAGGCTGTGCTGCATCCCACTGGACCACTTTATGTCCTTGAGAGTCAAGATGTGAGTCAGATTTTCTAATTACTAGCTGTTCAAATAAAAGTAACATTTGTCCTATTTTCATTTTATTTTCTCTCTTTCTGTAGTTAACTGAAGAATGCAAGAAAGCTCTTACAAGAATATTTAAGGTAATTTTTTTTTTTACTTATTGGTATTGCTAGTGTAAAATCTAGTACTACTATAGTGTGCACAAGATGGTTACAGTTATTTAATTTGTTTGCAGATCTGTGACTTAGACAATGATGGGCTGCTGTCAGATACAGAACTAAATGTTTTTCAGAAGCGTTGCTTTAATGCTCCTTTACAGCCTCAGGTGTTGGAGGATGTGAAGGCAGTCCTTAGCAAAAATATAAATGATGGAGTGCAGAATAATTGCATTACATTAAAAGGTGAGCTATAGTTGGCGAATTCTCTTGATGATAAAATTAATTCATCTAACCCACTATAACATCAATAAATCTCTGAGCTCTAAGTTTTAACAATAACTAATCATTGTTTCATTCATTTAGGATTTTTATTTTTGCACTGTTTATTTATTCAACGTGGACGTAATGAAACTGTGTGGACAGTTCTTCGTAAATTTGGTTATAATGATTCTCTTAGAGTGACTAAGGACTATTTAATACCAAGGCAAGTATTTTTTTTTCTATTTCTTTGAGATTGAATTTCCAATTTTAATTGGATGGCTATTTTAGTAATGTACTTTGTATTATAGTGTAAGAGTTCCTCACGGCTGCACATCAGAGCTAAATCACCGCGGTCAGCACTTCCTTCAGAAATTATTTGAGAAACATGATAAGGATCGTGATGGGGCACTTTCCTTTACTGAAATGAGTTGTCTCTTTTCCACCTGTCCCACTCCACCATGGCATCCAGATTTTAAGAGAACTGTTGTTACCAATTCGCGTGTAAGTTGCTGCTTATCTCATGCTTTTTAAAAGGGATCAACAATTCTCCTCGTGGGTGGCATGTTGAAATATTGTTTGATATGTTTTTGTCCTAGGGTTGGATGACAATGCAAGGCTTTATGTCTTATTGGTCTCTGATTACTCTGATGGATCTTCCACTTGCTTTGGAGCACCTTGGTTTCTTGGGGTACAACATCATTGAAAATGAGAGTCATGCGAATGCTGTTCATGGTATAGTAATTGGAAGGATAAGTACTTACCATTATGTCTACAAGATCTGTGTTTTAATTTTTGAAAATTTCATTTGCTTCTTTCAGTAACAAGAGAAAAGAGCCTTGATCTGGCCAAAAAGCAATCTAGTAGAAATGTGTATCAGTGCCATGTTATTGGTCAACAGAAGTCAGGAAAATCTTCCTTCTGTGCTTGTCACATAGGGCACACATTAGATGTAAATATTTCTCTTTCATACAAAGGGTTAGGTTTTAACATTTTATATATGTCACAATTTTTGTTTGTTATTTTCTTTTTGATAGGTTAAGGGGAAGTATGTTAAGCGAGATGGAAGTCCTCCAAGCCTTACAGTTAACTCAGTTCTGGTGTATGGTCAAGAAAAGCAACTCATTTTAAGAGAGGTAGAAGCCAAGGGTATGGCAGACCCCTTAATGACTGAAGACACCCAATGTGATGTGGTCTGTTTGGTTTATGATAGCAATCATCCAAAATCCTTTGAATATGTGGCAGAAATCTATTTGGTGAGCCTCATCTTTTGTTTCGTTTTTCTTTGGGTAATGATAATAGTAATAGTTAAAAGTAATTTGCATTTATTTTGTTATAGCGATACTTTGAGGGCAGTAAGATTCCAGTATTAGTAGTTGCAAATAAAAGCGATCTTCCGCCTGTGAGACAAGATTACATACACCAGCCGGATGAATTCTGCTCCCGACACAAGCTGGCCCCACCGCACTTGTTTAGTGCTCTTCCGTCACCAACTGGGTCTTCACAACATCCAGACAAAGATGTCTATGTGAAGCTGGCTACAATGGCTGTATTCCCGTAAGTATTAACTTATGAAAGTGCCCTCACTCGCCTCTTTCCTCACATTTTCTTCCCATCCCTTAAAACAAACTGATTGTTTCCATTTACATCCAGTCGCTTCCAGGCTGCATGGGTACTTTTCTACAGGCATAGGTAAGTCAACGAAAGAATTCAACAAAGTGGCCTGTTGCCTTTGTGTTTAATTATTAACAAGTAGTGCTATCTGTTGTAAATACTGCTGTGACTTATTTATAATTTTGGCTCAACTCTGTATTTTCTTTGCTGTATTTTGAAGTATTTGTTGTCTGTTGTTTTTATGGACATACTTGCAACATTTTTCTTGAATGTAGATACACATTAACTTTTCAGTTGTTATCGTAGACTACACATCTTAGTGATTTGAATTCATAAGTTTTGACTTTGCATGTTTGTTTTTGAGACTAAGCAGGTTTTTTAATTTTTTAACCCATGTTTTCATCCCCTTTGATAGAGCACCTGTATGCAATATGCTCAGAAACTTTAATTTCCATTGCATTCTGTTCTTTTTGTTGTTGTTCTCTATCCTTCTCTCTGCTTTAATCTTATTAAGTATAGGCTGCTGGCAGAACTGCATGTACTATTAAACTATCTTGTTATTTTTTCACAGCTTGTTTAGGGTTTTTTATAGTGATTGATCGTGTTGTGATCGCTGTCCTAATGATAATGCCAGACATGTTTTTTTTTTTTTTAAGAGATGCATGCGTATTAGAAAATTTGACTGTCAAGTGAAGGTGTTGTTAGGAGCATGGAGCATGAATCAATTGAAAAACAGTAGGAATTAAAAGAATTGGGAAAAGTTTTGGTCCAGATAGTAGATAAAATGTTTTTTTAAATGGGGTAAAAAGTGTTGTGTGCACTTGTATTTACATGTTTATGAAAGTTGAACATCATATGTTCAACTTTCATGTGTGGTTATTTTTAAAAATTAAGGAGTGTTGGTAAATCACCTTTGTTTTGTTTTTCAGGCACCTCCGACAACTGACCATTATGGCCAGTGATAAAGAAATGTGGTGGCGAGCGGGACTTGGAGTAGCAGCCCTTACTGCTATTGGTTTCCTTATATCTCGACTCTTCAGAGGAGAGCATCGATAGACTTTTTTGTTAACTTTTCCTTTTATAATTATGTAGAATCGTTAGTGATAGTGTCCAAGCAGAATCAAAGTTAAATGATCCTCCCCTTAGTGATATAGTCATTCAAATGCTGATGACTGGTAGCATTAAAGCTTTTTCTTCTGTTCACCAACACAAGTTGAACTTTTCTCTTTTGTGTTAATTGTTAAAAATAAACTTGAAAGTGAAAACCTGAAATTAAATACCGACATAAAGGATGTGTAGTTTTAACTGCCTTCTAGTCTTAAATAGTGTCCGGAAGTCAAAAGTATTTTTTTAAAGTCTGCATAAGTTTTGCATGAATGCCAAATTTATATTTTAAGAATTAATATAAGGCAAGATTTTTGAATTGTCATCTTATTTATTACGCTCCTCCTACTCCTCCTCCTTTCATCTGCAAAGCATAGCACTCAAAGACTTAATTATGTGTGCTGGCTTGCTGCGTGTTTAGTTTCATTCTTTGATATGAAATGCATGAGCCTCAATAAACTACTGGGCCGAATTCCAGGTATCCTGCTGGCAGCAGCAATCTGTTAAAGGAAAACGGACACAAAATTGATCATGCATCAAAACCAAATTGTGTGCTTTCAGAATTCTGCTCAAGACAGACAATACTTGACTCACAGTTTGTGGATGTACTTTTCTAATTTTTTCTTGGTCTTCATAACACATACCCAGCAAGGGACTGAAAGACATAATTCCTCATTGAGACCAAAATGAATGCAAATAAGGTTACTCTATTCTCACAGTAATAAAATATGAAACCACTTACTCAGAGAAGTCCACATTTGACGGTATTAAGAATGATTCTTCCTTCCTCATATCTTCCATATCTGAAAACTGTGCTTCAACAACTTCATTATACTGAGCTTCAATAGAGATGCGTTGCTGTGTAGTATAATTAATATTCTTTAGAGAACCTAAGTCCTCCGGCAAGCTGGTCACAAGTGTGGAAAGAGGACATTGGCAATTTGCATCACCAAGAATTTGGAAGGCACTGGAAATAGAAGAGAATGTTTTCTCTCAAAGGAGAAAAGAACTCACAACACTTAAAGGCATTGAGACAAGATATAAAATTAGTTTACTTCCTGACATGCTGAGAAGTAAAAGACGGCAGAGGCACTCTTTGTCTCCAAACATTAAATGGCATCTTTATTTCCTTCAAAAGGCAAATTGCATTATTCATAATATCTTTGGTTTCACAAAAATGATGGTAACGTTTTTCTGAGACACAGCCATGCTGATAACCTGTGGAATGATCAAAAGCAGAGACATAGCATTTTTTTTCTTTCCAAAACATTTTTGAACAAATTGGTTTCGACGAAACAAAAATACCTTTTTCTGTCAATCTTAAATCAGCATTATCGGGTCGAAGAGAAAGTCTAAATTCTGCTCGGCTAGTGAACATTCTATATGGTTCAGAGGTCCCATGTGTGGTCAAATCATCTATTAAAACACCAATATAACCATCTGTTCGACTAACAGTTAAAGGTGACTTGTGTAGAACCTGACAGAAAGCAGGGATGAAAAACTGATAATGATGGAAAGCACACATTTAAATGTTACTGCAATCATTTCAAATTGTATTATACCTTAGAAGCTGCATTTATGCCAGCAATAATGCCTTGAGATGCAGCTTCTTCATACCCAGTGGTTCCGTTTATTTGACCAGCAAAAAAGAGACCAGGAATTTTTGTTGTTTCCAGAGATGCCTGTAGTTCTCTAGGATCAACGAAATCATATTCTACACCATATCCTGAAAAAAACGTATTGAGTCAAGAAAAATAAAGGAAAAGTTAAAAAGATTTCACACATTAAAAAAAATTGCATGTCACCTGGAGATAACATGGTGACATTTTCCAAACCATGCAATTTGCGCACTAATTTAAACTGGAGCTCCTCTGGCAGTGTACAAGACAACCCATTGGGGTAAATTATATCACTTGTAAGGCCCTCTGGTTCCAGCCATATTAGATGAACATCTTTTTTAAACCTGGAGGAAACAAGAATTGAAATTAGAGACCAAGAACCACAAACGTTAACTTCCATTCATAGAAAACCTGAAGAAAAAACAAATTTGGTCTGTGAAATTAGTCACCTTAGCACTTTGGACTCAATAGAGGGACAATATCGTGGTCCAAGGACCTCTTCTCGGATATGTCTATTGACATGTTGGTTTTGTTTAATTATATTCGCTACATCCGCATTTGTGTATGTCAGGTGGCAATCGACTTGATCCTCAGGCTAAAAGAAAAAATGGCGTAAAATTTGAAATAAGTATTTAAAACACTGCTCCCTAAATCATTTTTCTTTTAGAAGGTACATTTTGTTTTACTTTACAAATGCCCAGGTTGCATACCTTCATCCACACTGAGTCATTTAGAAACGAAAATGGAATAGGTCTTTTATCACCACCATTTGCTGACAATACTTTGAAATTAATAGTATTTTTATCCAACCGGGGTGGAGTTCCTATTGTACAAACAACACAATGAAACTGACAAGGAAAACAAAAATAAGACAGTCCTCCATTGCTGCAAAGTACAACTGTACCTGTTTTTAGACGGCCCATTCTAAATTTCAATCTTTCTAACGTTAGGGCAAGGCCTATAGCAGGTGCATCACCTAGTCTACCAGCTGGTCGAACATCTAAACCAATATTTATCTGCCCTTTGAGGAATGTACCAGTAGTTAAAACAACAGCATCACTAAAAATTTGGCTCCCATCACCTAGTAATTAAGGATTATAATAAAATGAATTTTTTTGAGTAAAGAAGTTTAAAACCATTAAGAAAACCCGTCAGGGAGAATTTGAATAACTTACTGAGAACAATACCATTACACTGATGTGTTCCATTCTGACTCACTGATTCATTTAAGATTAGGTCTTCCACTGATGCCTCCATTACTGTAAGATTAGGAGTATTATGAAAGAGTTCTCTTTGCAAATTTGCCTTGTATAGAGCTCTGTCAATCTGTGCCCTAAGGCCCCACACAGCAGGGCCTTTTTTGGTGTTCAGGACCTGTTATGAGATGTGATAAGCTGTCATTAAATCATCACAGAAAATTAATTATTAATGTTATGATAGATGGACAAACCTTGTATTGAATGCCTGAAATGTCACAAATCCTTCCACACAACCCATCAAGTGCGTCAATTTCTCTCATTAAGTGCCCTTTGCCAATACCTCCAAAGGAGGGATTGCAAGACATGACACCTGCAACAATTAGTGGACTGGATTAAACGTATATTATTAAAGGCTATTAACAGCTATATTATGAGGATTCTAGGCTACTTCAAGTCAAGAAATTTTATACAGCTAAACAAATTGGTCTTTGCGGCATTCCTGCACAGTTTTTGGCACATAAATGAACAGCAGTTTCGTACTGAAAACGGACCCACTGGAATAGTGTTAAACTGTCAAAACATCTTAACTTGAAAGCCCTAAAACTCACCAACTGTTTCTTTCTTGTGAGTAATGAGCAGAGTGCGGGCACCCATTCTTGCCGCAGCAGCACAAGCTTCACTTCCTGCATGGCCACCGCCAACAACGACGACATCAAAATTTAGAGGTTGGCTGACAGATGTTGAGAGTGACTGACTTAGATAAAATTTCTCTCCCAAGGTGAACTGGGAATGACCCTTCCCTCTACAGGGCAATTTGCCTGGAATAAAAACACATGTGTCCTCAATGCAATTACAAGTAATCATAATGATATGACTTAAATTTTCAGTTACAGATGAATGTCATAAACTGACACAAAAAGAAGGGGAAAGTATCGAATACCTAGGAGTCTAAGCATCATCATTAGTGTTTAAGACGTCTGTCAAGAGTTAAAATACATGACAGTCAAGATTGCGCACGACATGTCCGTCGAACATTTGTAGGTTGAAGACAAGTTTAGAAACGCAAGCGGAATTTTTCATCGTCACGCCCAACCGCAATGGAGTTTTTCTGGTCCGCACTCCTTATTCACATTGGAGTTCCAGACGATCGTTTGTTCGGTGTCGTCGGCTGTCGGTGTCCGATCTCATTTCCTCCTTCTTTTTCGCGATTTTATCACTGTAAACATATTGTGTTCCTGTTGGCATTTCTCTGCAGTAAACACAGCTTACATCTCTTTTATTCTTTGAGAAAACTTGTTGGTGGTCACGTTGTTACCTTCCGTTGGCTCGATGTGAGTCTTCGTCTTACCGTTTGACAGCTGGCATTGTTGACATTGTCGGTGATAAGCATGGAGGGTGTCCTTTGGAAATGGACGAATTATTGGAGTGGTAAGTTCTAGCCTATTTACTTTCAAATTTCGAATATTTTAACACCATAACCGCAAGTCTATATTTCCTCTGCCACAAATGTTGTATCCAAATATGTGACGAACTTTCTCTTTTAACCCTTTTGTTGGTTCACATTGTTTCATTAACGTGTCTGAGTACTGCATCCAGGCCCTTTTCACAAAGTTGATTGCGAGTTGTCTCAATTTGCACTGGCATGATTTTGAAATTGATGTCATGTATTGCTTTGTCACAGGGTGGCAAACGAGGTGGTTCATTCTGGAAAACGGTGTGCTGTCGTATTATAACTCACAAGATGAAGTGATCCAAGGTTGCAAAGGCTCTATGAAAGTGTCGGCTCTTGAAATCAATGGCAAGTATCAATTAACAATTTATGACAAGGAAACAATTAATGTTTTACTGAGAAAGTCATACATCTTCAAATGTCGATAGAACTTGGACCGTCCATACTCATCAATTCTTTCCTACAGTGAATCCAGTTGACAGCACACGTATGGATCTTGTCATACCAGGTGAACAACACATTTATCTACGAGCAGCCAATGCTCAAGAGCGCCAGCAGTGGCTGGTGGCTCTGGGAAGTACCAAAGCTTGCGTCACTACGAGAACAAGGAAAGACTCAGGTGAGAACAGCTGATGTTAGCTGATAAAAAAAAAGTGTCAGCAGCCATTTAACTCTGCATTCATAGACAGCACTGGAATGCAGGAGACCTGCACACTGTGCACTGCAATATTAGGAGTAGCTCTGTGTTTGAAGAATCTGCACTGGCACTGGCCTTAATTTCAAATGTTCTTTGACAGGAGAAAATAAACCAGATATTTTGAAAGTTAAAAAGTCAGAACTTCGTCTGTATTGTGACCTACTCATGCAGCAAGTGCACACTGTGAAGACTGAGGCAACAAGGGAGGGAGGCCCAGAAATTCGAGTGAGATGTTTTTATAATCATTGGTACCTTCATCTTAATTTTCATTCTTTCGTGACTTTTGACATGAATTTATTTGTTGATTTCAGACATTGGATGAGGCGACTAATCTCTTAGGAGCCACCTGTGACACCTTCATTAAAACATTAGAAGAATGCATTCACATTGTTAACACCAGCTTAAACGATGTGCCTGTGCCTGTACATTCAAGTATTCCTCCCTTGCCTCACAACCAATCGAAAAGTAGGGTGAGTATTTGTAGGATTTGACCAGTTATTAGTGACAGGCTCCTTTCCCTTCCAATATTTAAAATAATAATAATAATAACTTATTTCTCTGCAGGGCAATAAAAATGCTTCGAACATTGTTAGAAGTACATCAATTGACAAGTGAGCTGTGCGTGAATCATCAGCACAAATTTCATCATGTCTTGAACCTCTTAAACAACTTATTCTGTTCTCTCTCTGTTTTTCTTTGCAGAAAACTATGAGCATTAAATGTTATTTGACTAGGCAGAGTGTTCCTGGCTGGGAAGTTGTTGAATGATCCAGAGCAAATTGTGGAACATAAGTCAAAAGTGCCAATTCTATTTTCTTTAGGGTGCATTTTATGCTGATAGGTGAAATGTGTGAGTTTGTAGCATAATCTTGGCCTAATGAGAGTGTAATCTTATGTAGATGGCTGGAGCTTAGGCACACATGTGTTTTTATTATAGATCTACTTAAAATGAAACAGTATTCCCTGCTGTAACAATTAGCTGGTTTTCTGTATTAAAAGTTTTTGATTGATTACATTATTAAGTCCCATGTAGTTTCTATGTATATGTGAATAAGAATAGCCTATGTCTTAAAAATGTATTATTATATGGTAAAGGATTATACAGGCCAACTTTGACAGCCGACGAAGTGATGCACTGATGCATTCGACTTTACTGTTGCAGATTTATATCAAGCTGTGATTTTTACTTTAGAACCAAAGCAATTTTTTTGAAACTTTTTGTGTGTGTGTGGATTCATAAACGGTTTTCTTTTAATGCATTAAAAGAGATAAGTCAACATCCAAAACATTGCTGTTTCACTTTTACTCCTTGTCAAAAATTAAAGAAAGTGAGAAAGCACTACTAATCTCTCAGTTCAGAGTTGAAGTTGAAGATAACTTTATTGTATATTTTCTTACATAATAAACTAAGTATTTACAACGTACATTAATGTTTTGGGATGGTAGATCCCTACTGAGCTAGATATCACAAAGCTTGAAACGTTCGTCAGCATGAAGCTTCTCCCCAAATCGCTGGGCGCGATTCCATTTTTTTTTTTTTTTAAATTATAGTACACGCCTTGCTACGAAGACTTGCCATCATTTCCTTTCGTAGTCACCGGTACACTGGTTTGCTGGTCCTCCGGGCCGTGGCGGCCGAAGCAGCACGGCCAAGCCGAAGCAGCGGGTGCCGCCGCCGCGGACCGAAATCCAGAACCCGAAACTCCGCGAAGTTCGGCCGAGAATGTCAGTCCAGTCGCCGGACTGCAGTGCAGAGGCAGGCGGGCCACGGCGGCGGGCTCGGCCAGCAGACTCATTCCGCGGGGGCCCTCTCTCTCGCACTCACGGGGCGTCCCGTGTGGGTGCGAGAGAGATAGACCGCCGGTCGGCGGGCTACTTATGCTGGTGCACGCCGTTCACGCCGTTCACGCCGTTGACGCCGTTGACACCGTTCACGCCGTTGACCGGCATGACGCGCTCGTACGAGTCCGGCCCCGTGACGGTGTACTCCACGCTGCGGTACACGAGCAGGCGGTGCTTGCGGTCGTCCTCCACGGCGTCGTACACGGCGCGCACCACGGGCAGCATGTCGTCCTCGAACTGGCCGGCCGCCGCCAGGTCGCGCAGGTAGGGCCACTGCAGCTCGGCCATCTTGTGCGTGTGCCGCGCGGGGAACAGCTCCAGGTGCTTCTTGAGGTCCTCCTCCGTCTCGCGGTCCATGACCTCCTTCGAGGGGAGCGGCACTCTGCCCAGGAAGGTGGCCAGGAAGTAGCGGATCTGGGCGTGAAATGGTGGACAGCCGTTACTTGAAGGCACCACGATCGGCGGGCTTGGGGCACCGCAACACGGTGGGCCAGAGGCTGTTAAAATCCCGGACGCGTTTTGAGCTCCAGATTCGCTGAACAGGACTCCAACCGAACGTGTGACCCCACCAATGGATTCCTCTTTCGGAGAGCAATCCATTGGTGGGGTCACACGTTCGGTTCGAGTCCCACTGAGCGACTCAGGAGCTCAAAACGCGTACGGGGTTTTGATAGCCCCCACCGGTCTTCTTGCGCACTGTGTGCAAGCAGCAAGCAGTACCTGGTAGTGGAAGATAATGAAGGGCACCGTGGTGTAGGGGATGCCGACGAGCGCCAGGGTGGGGCGGTCCCGGTGCAGCAGGTGCTTGTACAGCGGCGTCACCCGGTTGTTGTCCGTCCGGATGCCGCACTCGGGCGAGAGGAACGGGAACGAGAACTCGTAGCCTGGGATCCGCAAAACGATGTTAGGGCGGGACCATTCGAAAACAGCGCCAAAGGGAGTTGGCCGGAGTGCCCACCTGTGGCGAAGATGATGGCGTCGGCGCGGACTGAGGTGCCGTCCAGGAAGACGAAGCCGTCAGACGTGGCCTCCTTGACGCCCCGCACCTCCTGCACGTTCTCGGGCAGCCGGGAGGGGATGCGGTCCTGGTTGTGGCTCAGGTACACCTGCACCGAGAGGCGCAAAGGCGTTAAGATGCGTACACCGCGTTGTTTGAACGTTCCGGCCAAGTGGCGACGACACTCACGGTGTTGGCCACCTTGGACACCTCGACGGCGACGTCCATCCCGGAGGCGTTGGCGCCCAGCACCACCACGTCCATGCCGGCGAAGCGGTTCGGTTCCCTGTAGTCGTGGCTGTGCATGCTGAAGCCGCCGTACAGGCTCATGTTGGGGAGCGTCGGCACCGAGGGCACGGAGTAGTGTCTGGCGGACAGAAACAGAAAGCAACCAACTTTGCCGGACTCGAACCTTGGCAGTGGCCGAGTGCACAGGGAGGGACTCAGAACTGACCCATTACACACGAGGACGGCGTCGAAGATGTGCTCGCAGACGAGGCCCGTCTTGAGCTCCTCCACGATGACGCTCCACTTGTTGCCCTGCGGCGCCACCCTCTTGACGTGCGAGAAGAACTGCGGACAGCAACACGGGGGTCACGATGACGTCCGAGCGCCGCACCGCGCACAGTGGGGCAGACCGGGGGAAGGCCTGGCTGTGCGTCCGCCCGGTGCTGGTGCCGGGTACCAGGTGCAGCAATGCACCAGCAATACACTCACCTGGATGTACCTGAGCAGGTCGAAGTGCTGGGCGTACGTCTTGAGGTAGTCGCGGATCTCCTGGTGGGAGGCGTAGGACCGGCCGTCCTTCTTGAACGGGAAGTCGGGGTAGCACATGATGTGCTTGGGGATGTTTATTCTGGAAATCAGAGCAGCGCGGCGGACGTCATCGAGAAGCCCGGAGAAGATAAAACTGTTTGCAAGGCTGCCACGCGTCAGCGCGTCAGCAACGCAACGCGTCGACACAAGTCGACACTCGCGGACAACACTACGGGGGTCACTGTGTTGCGTGGGCAGCGGCAGCAAGCCGCGCGGGCCGCGCGCGTTGAGACACTTGGCGGTGTTTTTCCGCCCTGCACCGAGCCCGCGGTCCGCGGCTCCGTTACTGCAGACTGATCTCGGTCTCCCTCGCACTCACGGGGCGTTCTGCGCGGGAGCGAGAGAGACAGCGTACTGACCTGAGGTTCCGGTACATGCTGGAGTGCACGGGCAGCCCGAACTGGTCCAGGCCCACGCGCTCGTTGTAGACCCAGGTGCCGCCCACGTTGCCGGTCTGCTCGAACACGGTGCAGGGCACGCCGGCGGCAGAGAGGTGCCTGGCGGCGCACAGCCCCGCGGCGCCGCCGCCGATGACCGCCACGCACCGCGGCTCGTCCGGCCTGCAACAGGACAAGCACGCCGTCAGCCACCCGTCAGGCATCAGCGAGGACGCAACCAGAGCCCCAAAGGCTGAAAAATTTGAAAACTTCCACTGTTTCTATAAATGAGTTTCCAGCAGGTATAGAACAATGTTTTATTTTTTTCTGAAACCGAAGTTTCCAGAACCTTCCGACGGAGCTTTGGAACGCACTTTCCGGGATTTCCCAATTTGTTTTATCAGCTTAGACACGATAAATATTGTCTGACGTTTCTTTACTCGAGAAAATTGGTTCCTTGCGCAAGGGGTGTGTCACGAAAATATTTGCCAGAGTGAGGCAAGCCCTAATGACGCCCTAGCTGGGCTAGCCGGGCTAGATGGGCGAGCGCGTTGTTTCAGTGACCCCGCCAAGCCCGGCCGGCGGTCCACTGCCTGCAGCCCGGCCAGCCAACCCCACCCCCCGGGCCGCGCGGCCACGGCGGAAACCGTCAAATTGGGGCGTTTTGGGGGTTTCGGCGGCCGACTTGACTCGCTGGCAAGCAAAGGGGTCAGGCCCGTCAGGCCGTTCGGCGACCCCGGTGGCGATGATGTAACGCCAGCCTGGGCCCGCCGATAGCGCATGCCGCACAGTAAGAGCTAGTAGGGGACGCGCGTTTTCTACAAGCAGGGCGCTCCAATGGACGCCGCGGCTCGGATTTTCGCTGCCATGCTCCAAATCGAAACTCAAATCGACCTCTCGAGTTCGGGTTCGCCGTCAGCAAGCCGCGGGGAGCGCGGCGACCTCGCGAGGCGGGGCAGCTTAGGGCACCGTTATCGGGTGACATAAAGCGGTACGCACGCGAAAAACGACACGGGAAAGGGGAGGGGTGGTGCTTCGGACATCGCGTTACCGCCAGCAGACAACTCTTCCCAATTTTGATTCAATTCAGTGGTTTGGAGTCAAAGTTGGCCGGCGGCGGTGGCATGAAGTGCGTACTTGTCGGACGACCGTCAAATGGCGCCGAGGCCGCCGCTCGGCCGCCGCTTGGCGGGCCATGTCCAAACTGCGTGGCTTGCTGATGGCTCGCCGTCTCGCTCGCCGTACTGGCCGTACTCCGAACTGCGGATTTGGTTTTATTGAGGCGATGTGTCTCAAGCCTCAATGCTGGGAGATGGCCGTGGCATGGTGCGCATTAATTCATTTATCAGCTGGAGTAAAGGTCCGACAGCCACACAAGTGTCTCACGTCAAAACTTTAGGGCACACAGAAGAACTTTCGTCAATATTTGGAGAAATAATAGTTTTCTTAGTGTTTATCATCAGGTAGAAACTTTTGTGACAATAGAGCGCCAGTAGCTTTAGGGCTGAGCCAGTACTCGCCCTGATCTGATAATTATTTCCCCCGTGTTCGCTTAAGTGGTCTTCCCCCGGGCAATGTCATCAACGTGTCGAGCAGAGGCGCCACGGCACAGTGTTGTTCCGAAAAGAGTAAAATTTGGAGCCTTTCTCTTTCGCTTATCAGTCCATCTGAGGACGAGCGCCCCGTTCGGAGGTCCGGAGGCCCTAAAACGCCAAGGCCGTCCGGCGGCCCGGCCGACGGGGGAAAGTGCTGGAAGCCAGCAGGAGTCGAGGCGCGTCGTTTAAATTCGGAATGGAAAAGTTAGACCGGTCGCTCGAGGCAAAACGATTAAAAAGTAGCGGGGTGGGAATACAGCCAGGCGACATACGCGGTGCTGCCAAGAAACGAGGTATGCACAGAACCTCGGCCGAAGCGGACTGGCCGTCGAAACACGTTCATCAGGGGCCTCGTGGGGGCTACAATGTCTCCAACGTCAAAAATCGAGGCTGTCGAAACGACGCTAATTTGACGCACATCGAAACCATCGGGTCGCTATATTTGCGGACGTGAGGAGTTGACCTCGACGTGTCGCGTACAGTGTGAAAGGGGAACCCTCGGGAACCTTCGGGAACCCCGTTGACCGCAAACAGTGCAACAATTTAGTTTCGAGACTTATCGGCAGAGAAAGCACAAAGTATCGACTGCGACTCCGTCCGCGGACAGACGGAAACACGTACAGTGATGCGCGCCGACGGGTCTGGCGGGCCCGAGGGCGGGCCGGCGCCGAACCTGACCTAACCGTTGTACTCGCAGCGTTATCGGCGAGGGGCCGATAGCGCGTAGCGTGTCGTACCGGGCGTGTGCGTGCGTCGCTGCGTGCGTGAGCGACGTCACGCCGCGAGCACGGCGCGAGGAAGGATCATCAGGGGCAGGAGGAGGCACCCCCACATAGGGAGGGGAGACTCACCGAGTGGCGGGTGGCTGCTGCGGACCGACGACCATGGTGTTGTGTTGCTGTCTAGAAGGGGTGGGCTGCGGCGCAAGCAGCGCGAAGCGCGAAGCAAGGCTGCAAGCAAACAAACAAACGATAATGAAAATGACGGAAGTGGTCGCGACAAGTTGGCTCCGTTGCTTTTCACCAGCCCGGCAATGCGCCTGTGCTGCGCTGTGCCGCGCCCCCACGCCGACACGTCCACGTCAACGAGCTCGTTGTCTTCGTCTACCTCCCCCGGCGATATGTGCCCGAGAAGACCAGCCTCCGAGCAGCCCCGCCACCTCCACCGTCAGTCAACCCTTACCCGGTTCGACCCGAATCGAAAGTACTCGGCCGTACCCGGTCCAGCGCTGCCGGCGGCGCTCTGTCTCTGTCGCACTCATTCTGGACGCCCGGTAACTGCGGGAGACTGTTCGGAGACGGCCTGCCGTCATTTGCATACTAGTCCGCGCTTTGCAACACTCGCGCATAGACGGGAGCAGCAAACCTGTTGAGGCTGGCGAGGTATATGCTCGCCCCACTGCGACCCGCTGGCAATCCCGCTGGACCCGGCTGTCTGTCTCCAGGCGGCGACGCCGCGACACCGACTGCGCCGTCGTCGCTCTGTCTCCCTCGCACTCAGGGGGCGTCTGGCAGGGCGGAGGCGGCCAAAATTCTAGTCGCGTTCTGAGCTCCAGAGTCGCTAAATGGGACTCGAACCGAACGTGTGACCCCACCAATGGATTGCTCTCCGCACGAGAAATCTATTAGTGGAGTCACAAGCTCGGCTCCAGTCCTGTTTAGCGACTCTGGAGCTCAAAACGCGCCCGGAAATTTGGCCGCCCCCACCGGTCTTCTGGCCCACTGCGCGCCGCGTCCCGCCTGACGCAACAGGCCCGTCGATGGAGTGCAGTGCTGCAGGGCGCGGTCTGGCGCGGCGTCGCGACGCCTCCTCGCGCTTCTTTGCACCTGTCGGCGGAAAGGTGTCGCGCTCCCCCTCCAAGTCACTGACCCGCCAAGCTTATCTGCCCCGCGTGTCGCAATGGCCTGGCCGGCCTAGACGCTTCGCAGGTATTCGGTGCACTGGTTCAGCGCGCCTCGCCGCGCCCACGACTGCACTCTCCCTCATCCACGCCGCCAGCCGCGACTTACCGGAGGGGTCTTGGCTTCGCCCCGTCAACCCCCGAGTGATGGGAGGCAGAGGGTCGCGGAGAGCGTGGCGGAACGCACGGCCGGCACACTGACTCGAAAGCTCGGAAGGCGGGAAAGGGTCAAGAGCGCCTCGCTGTACCCCGTCTGGTCGGCTCAGCTGATGCTTGTCAACTGACGCCGCTTCCCTGCCGCTGGGACGCTGGGACGCAGGGACGGGCCCACATGGACAGCGGGCCGGGGCGCGGCGGGTGGGCGCGCGGCCGCCAGCATTAAGGAGGGGGAAGGAGGGGGTAAGAACCGGTAAGAACGCGCAGAGGGGCTCATCGGAAATAGAGTACACGCTGCTAGACACCGCGGCGGTGGGTCGGCGACTGTCGTCGCGGGTGGCGGAGGCGGCGTCCGCTCAGTGTAGGAGCCACGCAGCAACCGCGTGCCGCAGTGTGCCGCCACCCGGCCGGCAGTGGAACTTCCCCACGCCCAGCGCATTCTCCTCCAGGTAGCTGGAGGCCTTGCGCGGCCTTGTGTGTCGGAAGGGTTGCCTACCCGCTGGCGATTGACGCCGTCAAAGCATTTATTGGATAAGACTTATTGTCGCTCTCATCGTTCGTAGAGCCCATTGGTGGGGTCACACGTTCAGTTTGAGTCCCATTTGGCGACTCTGGAGTTGAAAACGCGTCTAGAATTTTGGCCGCCTCCACCAGTCTTCTGGCAAATCCACTGTACGGCCGGCCCGCTCCGCGCGCTCGCCCCGCCATTGTCAAGGCGGCCAAACAACAAAGAGGGAGACGCACTCCCTCCCTTCATTTCCACAACCCCTTTCCTTTCCTTTCGGCCGCTAAATTCAAAAGTCCCGCCCGCAACCTGCAACCATGTCTGGCGCCTCAAAATCCTCCAAGTTCAACTTCAACGATGCCCTCTTCTTCGCCGAAGTCTACAACAAGGAGTTCATCTCGCGACTGCACTGGTTCGAGAAGAACTACAAGAAGGTGTACGAGGCCAAGCCCCCCGAGGCCGTGCCGCGCAAGGCCAAGATCCTGTACGACGAGATAGTGCGGCGGCGGCTGGACGACCACAAGAACGCGCCCCGCTTCGCCGTGCTGCACGCGCTGCCGCCGCTCCCCAAGCCAGACCCCTCCGTCGAGATCCTGCCCACCATGCGGCCCGTACCCGACGCGGAGAGAGCGCTCCTCAAAGGTGGGACCCGGGGCCTCTAGCGCCTGCGGATCCGGCGTAGGCAACCCGCTGCACGCCTGCAGCGTGGGGATGCCTATCGCGCGTTCCACAGGCGCTTTCGGGGCTTCGCTTGGGTTCGATCGTCGCTCGTGTCGCGAACCTGAGCCAGACTCGGGGGATGTGGCGGTTTCGCTCTATTCTCCCTCTTTCGGTGACGTGCCCGGCAGAAGGGTCCGAGGCCTTCCTGCAGGCGCGCTACCGCACCAGCCCGGACCGTCGCTACCACTTCCCCGCCACCTCCAGCTGGGAGTACGGCTGGCTGGTGGAGCACATGCCGCTCACCTCGGCCGGCATGAAGATCCACGGCCGCAAGAACATCGTCAAGGAGACGTTCTACCGGCGCAACGGAGTGCACCCCGAGCTCACGCACTACCGCCAGACCACCAGCCACAACATGGACTTCCCCTTTGTGTAACCCGTACGTAGAAATGCACGCAGCCTCGGGGGGAAGGGGGGAAGGGGGCATCCGTTTCAGCGCTTCAGTGTAAAAGCGTAATCAAGCCCCCCAATGGGACGGAAGCAAAATGAAAGATTCAGTCTTCAAAGATCAGTTAGGGTTTAATGTCATTGCACAACCTTCACAAATAAAAAATAAATTAGTTTCATATGCATATTTTCATTTCACAGCAGTAATAAGAATTAAAATAAACTATAGCAACTGATAAAATTGTGAAGTTGGTCATTAACATAGCCACTATGCCTTTCCAGCATCTTCTTTCAAAGTAACAGTTCTATTGAAGACAATCTGGAAAGAAAAAAACAAAAGTTAACATATCTCATGAATTAATAAGATCGAGAAGACACAAACCAGTATATCAACACACCTGAGAAGGAGTTGAATCAGGGTCAACAGAGAAAAAGCCAACTCTTTCAAACTGAAATTTGTCATATACTTTGGCATTAGCCAAAGAAATATCACCAAGTGCATTCAAAACTGTAAGGGACTCAACATTACAGTCAGACAAAAATCCATTTGGCACCTCTTTAGGATCTTCAGGGTTCTTGTGGTTGAACCTAAATAAAAGATGTGCTCAGAATAAAATTATAAATAGGCATTCAGAAAAAAAATGATAAAATGAAAGATGAGGCAAGTATCAATATCAAAAAGAATAGAAGAAAGGACTCACAGCCGCTCATATAGTCGAACTTCAAGATTCAAAGGATTCGAAACCCAATGAATAAATGCCTTGGGTTTATTGTTGGCATCAGCAGGAGCACAGGTTACTCTCAGCTCCATCACATCACCACAGCGGCCTCTGAGGACTTCCTGAACACTAATGACATATCCAGAGTGTCTCAAACCCACAGGTTGATCTGGTGTCAGCCTTTTGTAACCTTTGTCAAGAACCTTCAATGATGAAAAACGGAAAAGAACACATTAGCTCATTAAGGTCTTAAACTTGAAATGCAAGAAAGGCACACCGCTTTCAAATCCTACCTGTCTAAAGTCATCATGTTCAATGAAAATTTCAGATCCAAATGGAACTGTATGTTTTGGAGAATTGGGATCCGCAGGGAAATCTGGAACTTCGATTTGAATGCTTGATGCTGCAGGGAAGTTGGTAATGACAACTCGAAGAGGGTCTAGCACAACCATAGCCCTGCAAAAAAAATAAAGGAATTTTAAAATGCAGGCAATCAGAGATGATGGCAAATAGTTTTAAGTAAAATGGCTAATGAAAGATTATTTTTTGTGATTGTTACCTAGGAGCAGTAACATTTAGAGTATCACGAACGCAGGCTTCAAGCATGTGAGGGTCGACAACAACTAAACTTCCTGTCAATCCCATCTGAGCACAGAAGTTATTGATTGCATCCTTGGGGAACCCTCGGCGACGTAAAGCGGTAAGAGTGAAGAGGCGAGGATCGTCCCAATCTACACAAAAAATGAGAAAAAATATAAAAAAAGCGAAGATGTTAGCATTACTGACAACTTAAGATAGCTGCAACCACTATCACTCTAAAAATGATTACCAGCAACAATGCCTTCAGTGATAAGCTTGGCAATTTTCCTTTTAGAAACAACAGTGTAGTTGACATTGAGACGACCATACTCCCACTGAACTGGGCAGTAAATATTCAGAGCATTGCACAACCAATAATAAGAAGACCGTCTGAAATAGAAGCAAAAAAAAAAATTTCATTTATAAACCAATATAATCAAAAGGTAAGCAGTAGTGATTAGCTAAAATAAAATAAAATAAGGTCCCACCTTGTTTGAAATTCCTTAGTACATAACGAATGGGTGATGTTTTCAAGAGAATCACAGAGACAGTGAGTGTAATCATAAGTAGGATAAATACACCATGTATCACCAGATCGGTGATGAGGGACATACTTAATACGATACGCCACTGGATCAACCTTTCCTTCCTCAAGGGTCAATTTTAGACGAAGGGTAGCTTCTCCTTCTTCTAGCTTTCCTCTTTTCATATCCTGGGAAAGTATTTCAATTATAATAAGGTTTACACAATTTTTACCAGAGCTTTTTGCCACAAGCTAAATAACTAACCTGAAAGAGTTGAAGACTTTCAGCAACTGGACGGTCCCGCCACGGTGAGAGAGGGGCATCGATGCCCTTAACTTCTTCAGCTGTTTGGTGGCAAACATAAGCTTTCCCTTCTTCAATCAATTGAATAGCCCACTTATAAAGTTGTTCAAAATTGTCAGAAGAATAGGTAATTTTAGTGGGCTTGTACCCTGAAAAATAAAAAGTAAATTATTCCCCCAACTCTAAATGCAAGCTATAAAAATATTGAGTCTGCTTAAATTTTTTTTAAAAATTAATGTTTAGTTTTGGAGTTATGAAACAAAGTAGCCAGAGCCAGACTTACCCAGCCATTCAACCATATCCTTGATGCCCGTAAAGAACTTTTCCTCCTCCTTTTCAGGATTGGTATCGTCATAGCGAAGGTTGCAATCCCCACCTCGGGATATAGCATAGCCAAAATTAATATTGATAGCTTTGGCATGACCTATATGGAGAATACCGTTTGGCTCAGGTGGAAACCTGGTAATGACCTGAGAGAAGAAGTAGGATTAAATCCAGTAATGAAATTTAATTTGTCGTCTGTTATAATGGAAGGGAAACAAACACCCACTTTGCCACCAGTTTCCTTTAAGTGCTTCTGAAGTAGTTCCATAGTATTAGGAGTAATCACATATCCATCAGATTTGAAATTTTCTCCAGGTTTATGGAAGTTAACTTTTGACAGTAAATCAGCCATTGTTACAGGCCCAGTAGGTGCTGAAATATAAAAATTAGGATGAGTACAAAAACCTCTTACTTACTAATCACTGAACAGTCAAGTAAGAGCAGGACTTGCCACTGCTTTTATCTTCTTTTTGAGCGCCTTCTTTTGTAACATTCTTAGCATCTTTGGCAGCCTTTGGTTTCTTGTCTACTTTGTTTACAGGAGGAGGAGCCAAGTCTGCTTCAGTTTTAGGTCCAAGTAAGTTCATTACCTTTTATCAATGAAATTATGAATTATTACTTGACATTATTTAATAGGACATGAACAATTGATGTACGAGCACCTGCATACCATGAGATCCATTTCATTCTTCACAGCCTTTCCATCAGCCCATTTCAATTCATTTCTAACTGCTTGCATTAACGGGAAGTAGTTAAACCGATATCTGAAAAAAAAAAAAAAAAAATCATGTTTAGCATTTGTCCAGAATCCAGGACAAACATAAAACCTAAAAGAAGGTTTTTAACCTTTTCTCAAGAAGTTCTTCTTTATGTAAATTTATCTGCTTTTCAACAGCATGTTCAATGTCTTCTGCAGTGATTTTGATGCCAACACCACATGCAGATTCAAACTCTGCATGGTTGAGATTTCCTTGAGGGTGAGAGAGTAGATACTCAAGGGCAGCTGGAAAGATGCACAAAATATTATTGTATGACCAAATATAAAAATGAGCAGACTAGAACGCTATCACACACAGTTCTTAAACAACAGTACAATAAAACAGACATACCATCGACTCTGAGAGTTGAGTCCAGTTTCCCCTGGGATATGTACTTCGCAACATGTTTGAAGTGTTGAGCTATCTGCGGCTTGGCCTTGGAAGCTAAATGGTATAGCAGCGTTCCAACTCCACTCTCTTTCCAGCCAGCAATATCACTACTTTCCTTTGCCTACAATAAAAGAACACTCCCATTGAAGCAACGTACATGGCTGAATAGTTTATTTTTAGGATGATGCAACAGGAAGAGAGTTGACAAGAGCGTCGATAGAAAAACCACAAAGTGAATAAGACTGACAGATGTTAAAATTAAACATAACTTGTGCTAGGGTGTGATAAAGTAAAGAATGTAAGATTTTAACAAATCAGCAATTTCCACATATGCCACCATCTTCGACGACAAAGCTTATGAGTAGCAGTTGCGAAGTGACATTGATGGTATTTCAGAGACATTCAATGGAAAAATATTATGGGAAATCAAAGGCATTTAAGTGAGGCACTGAACCGAAAAAAATAGCGAATCAAACCCTGAAAAATTTGCTAACCCGGCGTTCTGATGTGGCATTGCGGTATACTTACAGCTGTAATAGCTTCTTTCAGATTATTCGTCACCGCTACATTTTTCAGTGTTTCCTTCGCTTTCTGCTCACTGAGACCCAGGGAAATAAACAGGTGGACGTCACTTTCATTGACCGTCATCGCGTCAACGTGTGTATTAACCTAGGAATCAAACAACAAGTGCGGCCATTCAAGGAAGGATACGCCACCTTTCACTTCACCACCTTTCGCTACTATTCACAGGGCAAATGGTTTTCCTGCCAATAGTCGCTCCCGCCTAACCGCAGGAACAACGTGCGAATAGTAACTTCCACCTTTCACTTGCTTGGTGCATGCCGCAAATTTCAAAACAAAAACCCTGTCCAGAACAGATTGTGGAGGGTTTCCTCGCCTAGTTTTGTGTATTTCTGTGTGTAAACTTACTCACCGTCGTCAATGAAATTATTTGTTGGGCTTGGTGCATGTTGCTCATAATTCATGGTTCATGTGGCTCCAAAAAGAAATGAATCGAGGGGTTAAGTGTCTGAGGTACTGGTTGAAAATAACAATTACAGAAAAACGAAGAGCAGAATATTACTTTAAACAAATGAAACATATATTTGTACATGTTTTGCATTTCTTCTGTTCACAGATCTTGAATGACATTGAAAATTTTTCAACATAATTTGTAAGAGATGGCAACTAGTGAGTCCCCATCTGCCAAAATTCGGCATCAAATGCGAAAAGAGTCTGAGGAAGACAGGTTGTATCAGAGAAGTAAGACTGTCAATCGATTAAGAAAAAATTTGAGAGAGACTGAAGAGGATTTGAAGTCTCAAAATGTGTTTACACTTGAAGAGTTGGCTGCAGTCACTGCAAAAATCAAGCATGCAAGTCAAACTTCGCTTCTCGACCTTCGGACTTTAAAACAAGCTCTTTTCAATCCCATGAATGCAGTTCATTTTTTGAAAATAACTGGCTCACTTCAAGCACTGGTTGGTCACTTGACAGGTACTTTTAAATGCATGTTTTAATTTTTTATCTTGGATGTTTCTTGTTACTCTACAATGACGTTTCTGCTTGCTTATTGCAGGAAGAAAAGCCCTTCACCAGTTGGAAGCCGCATATATTTGTTGTAATTTAGCCACAGCGAATGAACATTCATGTGATGCTGTTGCCAACTCTGCTGGCCCTTATTTAATACAATATCTTGACTGTCAAAACATCTCTCTTCAAGTTGCATGTTTATGGACACTAGGAAATTTATCAAGTAATGTTCATAAGATTGCATTTCAAAATTTGTAACCTACAGAATTGATAACTGTTTCAATTTTAATCTTCTATATTTTTTGTAACTTTTTCAGGTGGCTCCAGCAAGAGCTTTGGTATTCTACAAGCCCAAGGCCTCTCAAATTGTCTGATAAACTGTCTTCGAAATCCTCATTCAGAAGTTATTGAGGCTGCTGTCTATGCTCTTTGTCTCATGCTGAAGTCATGTGAATTTTCAAGTGACCAAAGGAAGGAAATAGCATCTCTTGCTGTAGGACTCAAGTGTTGTAAAGAAGATGTTGATTGGCTCCTTTACTTGTTGTCCTGTAATTCAGATTGTGATCAGATTTTCTTAGGTAAAATAATTAAAGCAAATGATTTAAATGAAGAATCTTCTTGTGCTTGAGGTGTCTCATAACTCTTATTTGTTTTCAGAAAATTTGATTCCTCAGAGATGTATAATAACCCTGGCTGGATTGGCTCGGGATGCTCCCATAAACCTGGACACCCTCTCAGCATTGCGTTCAGTCACAGCATTAGTTCGAACCTCTGCAAATTTATGTAGTGAAGAGAGTGGGAAGGCAGCCTTGATGATTCTTGCCCATGATTCTTTCCCCAACATATTTAATAACCTCCTCCAAGCGAGTCATCCGCACTTACGAGAAGAAGCACAGTGGCTGGGTCTAACTTTATTGCGTCATTCTTCCCCAGAAATATCCCAAAAGACCTGTATTTTAGGTCTTGATAAATTAATGAATGCCAACGATCATCCATGTTAAGGGATTGGACAAAAAGAATTTTAAACAGAGACCATATATTTGCTTTAATAAATCTTTAATAAAACAAAACAAAATGGGCTTCAATTACATTTAATCTGAACCCAACAAGCTATCACAAAGTATGCAACAACAGAAACTCATCAATTTTCCCTACTGTACAACTCTTTTGTTACATCAGTCAAAGATTTAGTTAATTGAAATCATAGCACTTCCGAGAGCACCCACCTTTCAACATTGCTTTAGACTTTGGTTGTAAATTATCATTGAAGGAGGGTGGCAAAACTAGACATGTCTGTATCAATGAAATGAAAGATTAAGAATATTACAAGTGAATTATGTCCAAAAGTATTTGAGCTCTTATGGCACTCCTACAAACAACTTGTCTCTCCTTCTAGGAGGATATTGTTCCTTCTCATTGTCACCAAAGCAGCAAAATAATTGTGCAACAAATGAAGAATATTGTAACACCATTTAGACTGGTACACTGCCATGAACATTCAAGTAGATGCACATGTTTCCAAAATTATACAATAACAACTTTACCAGTCTAAATGAAGAAAAATGAACACATCAAACATTGCAGGTCTGCAAAACCAACAGAGCTGCAAGTTGTTGCTTTTAACTTGAATATTGGTATACATTGAATGGTCAATGTAACCGTCATTGAAAAAATGCAAAAACAAATAAACTAGTAACACAAGAAATAAACGAGCTCTTTGCTTCCTGTACACACCATGTTTCCTCTGTCAGTGGTGAGACATGACTCATCACCAGGGAATGGAAACTTTCAACTCTCCTAAACCACTGCAACATTTTTTGTTACTTTTAAGTCTAGCCTAGTCTTTCCATAAATAAAGCGTCAAAAATAAATTTAAAAATACTGTTCTGGGTTTAACATTTGAAAAATATACTTCTGTCTTTATAGAAAGAAGCATTACACAAAATAACAATCACTGCAAGGAAAGGTTCAATTATTTAAAACATTGAATGGGCCGTTCCATCAGTAGTTATATTGAAAGAACGCATTGTTCCATAAAATCTTCTATACTAACTAATACAGATGCATTTTTACACTTCTGCTCATTCAGAAGGAAACAGCTGTCAGCTGTTGTTTTCATTAAGACACAAAAAAAATCAATATCGCATCCTACCTTAACATAACAACAAATTAAAACTAGATAAACAATGTCAGGAACAAATTCATTCAAATGATACAAAAGCCATATTGGTAACTACATTCTTCATGACATGTGACTTGCTTTGACTATGAGCTGATATTGTCTCTAAAAATGATTTAACCATCTTATGACCAAAACAGGTTTATTGCAAGCATACTGTATCTTGTCAGCTGAAGCACAACTCCTGTGCAAAGCACTTGGTTTAATACTATGCAAAGTTCATATCAAATTTATCTTATTGCTTGATAACTTCTATCCTAAACTAAAAGAACGTTGTAATGTCTGTCATCTTCAGCCAAAAGATCTACAAGCTTTGCATTATCTAAGGCTACACTCATGTCAATGCCTATGTCTTCGGGGTCGGGGTAGCTTGTCACATAATCTTGAGAACCGAAGGCAGATGGTCGCACCACTCTGATTCTTATACCAAGTGAGTATCCCAGTAGAAACATCTCAACCTGGAAAGCAGACACAAGATTTTATTATTGACATATCATCAAAAAGATCAAACATGTTCTCTAACTTTGACCAGAATGACTGGCTTTGATCATAAAGAGCCTTGCAGATTGCCGAGATATCTAAAAAGTAGGTCAAGATTCCGGTGTAAGCCTGCTTGGACAAGCTGAAAATAATGAGTGATCATGGAGCTGAATTGGAAAAAAAAATCTTACAGAAAGTGAAAATTTCAATAATATCTGTTCACTAATCCATAAGCCATGCAACTGAGTGAAATGAATGGTGAAAAGTGACTATCTATGCCTGATTAACGACCACTCACTTTTCCCTCATCCTTGATTGCCTAGAAAAGTTTACAAAAAAAATAAAAATATGAAACTTTTGTTAGTCTATGTTTAATTTCTTCCAGCTTTGATTCTCAAAGATAATTTGCTAAAATTTTGTAGTTTATGTACAAAAGGTAAACTTCCACCGGTTTTGTACAAAAAAAAAAAAAAAAAAAAAAAAAGATCTAGAGTAAAGAGAATGAAATATACATTATAGGGTTTCTAAAGGGAAGACCATGTGATTTTTCATCCTTACCTGCTCGAGACCTGCTGTATCCCCAACATGCCTCAGGTGATTGTGCATAAGGTCATTTGGAGTTGATGATGTGTCTCGGGCGAAGAGAAGTTCAGCAAAAAGTGGTAGAGGCTGTCCTTGGTCAGCTGCAGCTTTAAGTTCTAGAGCACCCACCAACATGAGTAGCTTCACAGCCTCACAGAGTCGAGCATCTAACCAAGGGTCATTGTTTAACATGTTAACTAGCGCAGACTCCCTATCGGATGCAGCTTGTAATCGCTCAATCTGAAATAGACACATTTTACAATGAATGAAAATCGTTTTATCTCTTGCATTGTGTAACACTTCAACGCTTACCGTTGAATCCATACTGAGTAGACAGTCTCGGATGCCATTTTCAACATTATCTCCTGCATAAGGTAACCTCCCAGCAAAATTCCAGGATCGCAACCAATTTCCAGATGGATCAGAGAGAAGCTGTGAGCAGCGACTTGCTGCATTATGGCCTGAAGGTAGAGGAAGTCCACGCACCAGAGCTTGAAAAATCGTGCCTCTCACTGCACAATAGTTGTCGCCTCGCACAACGCGAATAGCATTTAATCCCAAGAGTCCAGGAATTTCAGAGTAACCCTGAGAAAATAAAAATAAAAAGAGAATTTAAATGCATTTCATTATTAACAAAAGTATTCATTTAATTATACAAAAGCAGTCAAGGGATAGGTAAGAACAACCCAACTTTCTCAACTTAGAAGTATTACCTTGATTATTGTTTGTGCTTTCTTGGTATCTCCCTGCCACTCCTTCAGTACATATTCCTGAATATTTGTCCTCTGCCCGATTGCAGTGGGCATACTTGAAGCTGGCGTGGCTGGTGTCATAGCGGTACTACTGCACCAAGCGTCAGACAAGCCAGACAAAGATCTTGACAGAACACTCACACCAGAGCTGGAAGAGCTATGTGTCAGAGCACCTTCTGACAAAGGCCAGCTGCATTCAGACAAGAAACAAAAAATTACAAGCACATTCGCATTTTTGCCAAGCAATTGTGCCTGCCTCAATTTTAAATATAGAACAGTCAATACTGTAATATGGAAGGAATAGTTCATGCTTTGTCACATGCATTAAATTTAAAGGCAGCGCACCTCTCTGGGGACAATGGTGACTGCATGGACTCTGAGTCTCGTTGCTTTTCCGTAGTCGTCTTGTTCAGTGGCAGGTAGAGGGGCTCCCTGGCCTGCGTGGCCTGCAGTGCTTCTGTTTCCTGCTCCAATTCGGGAATAGGAGCTGCGGGGTCCCCCAACTCCGAGTCCGCATCCACATCCAGTTCAAACGTCGCTAAGGAGGAAGTCAGCATGCTGTCTGAATCTCGCAGAGAAGGGCAAGATGTGTCCAGAGAGAACTGGCGGCATTGCATTCCCTTTCCAGATCCCTTCTGAAAATACAAGGCACTTTAGTGAGCGAAGGTTTGGAAAAGGCATTTGATGTTAAGTCCCAAGTCCATGTAAACTTACCACCGATTCATGCACTGGGGAAGTGTTAGCGGCACATGCCCCCAAGACTAGATCATTGACGACTCCTGAGTCTTCCAAGCCTTGGTCAGGATACGACATATCCTCCTCATCCCACTCCAGACTCGTCAGAGGTTCCTCATTCACTGTCGGAGGGAGAGCTCGACCCTGGAAGCAAAGGGCAGGTCAGACCAAAAAAGGAGCAACTATTTCACTAACAACTATTCACGCAAATAGAAGATGATTTGATAAGAAACATTTATGTAATGCTTGTAAAAAAAAAAAAAGCAGGTAAAAAATGTTACCACTGTCTGTTGGCCGTCCCAGTCGCTGAGATCTTGGTCCAGGTCCAGGGAAGGCGAACTGGTGATCCGTGTCAACGAGTACAGCCCGGCAAAGCACGCCCGTGCGCGCGCGCGCTCCGCCAGGGCCTCCTCGTTGCCCGCTCCGGACCTCGGTTCAGCTGCACAGCGAGGAAACAACGGCTTTTATTTTTCTTTCTTTGGAAAAAAATGTTTAAATTTTCCACGGCCTCTGTGGAAATGAGTTCTCACTAAAACGCAGAACGTAACGCCGGCCGGCGCCGCGTGCAGGCGTGCACCTCGGGCTGCATGCGTCAGGGGGCGTTCGCCTCCTACTGAAGCCAAGCCGCCACGAGGCACGAGGACGCAAGCGCAGGGCCGGCCGGCCGGGCAGCACACTGATTCAGAAAGTCGTTGCCGTCGCCCTGTCTCTCTCGCACCTACACGGGACGCCCCGTGAGTGCGAGAGAGACAGAGCGACGGTGACGACTCTCGGAATCGGTCTGCAGGGCACGGCGCAGCGCCGAGGCATGGCCGAGGGGGCACCGGGCCACCAAAGCGCGCACCAATAAACACATCTTGGCCGGCCGCCACCGCGGAGTGGCGGTGTGGTGGTGAGGCGGCCAGGGGAACCAGGCTCTAGAGAATTGCAGTCAAACGGCGGCACCCGAATCCGACGAAAGTGGTAAGCGGTTAAGAACAGCACCACATGGAATCCATGGAATCGAGGCCGGGCCACATGAGGGCAAAGGCTCACAGCGCCAAAGTGCAAACATTCAACTCAATTTTTATTTAATTTTTAATTTTGCAAATTTAAATGTTGGGAGCGCAGGCGTGAACCATAAGATTCTGCAGAGTTGATCGAGACCCCGAATCCTCTAAAAAGGGGGTCGTGGTTCATGAACGGGCCGATCCACGCGTCCGCGCGACACTAGGGGACACATGACTTGGCGCGGTGCAGGGCGGTGCCAACACATGTCCTGGCGGTGGCCAGTAGTCTGATTCCGAGAGTCGTCTTCGTTGCCCTGTCCCTCTCGCACTCAAGGGGCGGCCCGTACAGGAGCGAGAGAGACAGAGCGACGTAGAATCAGTGTACGGGGTGGCCATGAGCCTCGGCGCGAGCCTTGCCCGCCACCGCCAGCGAGAGACAAGCGCGCCCTCGTCACTTTCGGCCGAACGCCCAAACCGCATCATGCCATTGGCATCGGCGCTTATTTTAGCGCTGGGAGAAGGGGAGGGGGAAGCGGGGGGAAGGCACATGACGGCGCCGGCGGGGTGGCGGGCGGGGCCGCGGCCGCTCTCTCGCGCAGTGCTGCTCTCTCGCCGCCGAGGGTGTGTACAAACGCAACAACCAAGGCGACAGGTGGCGAGACTGCCACCAAGGTTCCCGACGAGTTTCATTTTTGTTATTTTCAAAGCCGGCGCGCTACTCGCTTGGTGCCATGACGTCGGCGGTTGTTTCGGGAGGATGGACTTCGGCGAGCACTGAGAGACTCACCCTCGACCTCCAGCAGGGACGACATGCCAGGCAGGTTCCGGTTGCACCGCACCGTCTCGAACTCCTCGTCCAGGCTGAGGCAGTTGGACTTGAGCTGGTCGATCTCTCGCTGCAGTTGCTCCAGCTGCTCCAGCGTGGCGGCCGTGCCGGCCGCGCCGCCGTCGCCCTCGGCCTCCAGCTCGGCGATCAGGGACACGTCCAGGCTGAGCTCGGAGCACGTCGAGTCGAAGGACGAGCCGCGAGTCAGGCCCACGCGCCGCGGGAAGCCCAGGGAGTCCAAGGACTCGTTGCGGGGCAGGCCGCCGCGCCGGGGGAACGGGTAGCCCACCGCCGCCAGCGAGTCCGTCGAGGTGTTCCTGGACAAGGACCTGGAAGAGGAGACCTCCAGGCCGTCAGCACGGAGTCGGGGCGAGGGGCCAAGCCGGGCCAAGCCGGGCCCAGCGGCGACGGCCGTGGGTCTCACTCACCTCCTGCGGCCGGTGGCCTGCTGGCACGCGAACAAGGACTCGAAGGACTCGTCCCGCGCCATGAAGCGGCGCGCCAAGGTGTCCGAGTCCACGGAGTCCTCGCGGCTCAGGCCGCGCAGCCCGCGCCGCAGGATGCCCTCGCGGGGGTCGTCGAGGAGGTCCAGGTCGGCCAGCGGGTCCAGCGAGCCCTCGCGCGACACGGATTCGTGGCGCAGCCGCCGGCCGCGGCGCCGCGAGGGCGAGTCCTTGCTGCCGTTCCGGTACGGCGGGTACTCGGGCGACAGCGAGGACGACGACGACGTGGACCTGGTGCTGCAGGGCGTGCTGGTGTTGCTGCCGTGCTGCGGCGGCGCGCGGTACGTCCGGCGGTACAGCGACGCGCTCCGCCACATCGGCGTGCCCCCGGGGCCGCGCCACGCCCCCACGCGCTCCTCGGGCGGCGTCCGCGGCGAACGGCTGCCCTCCGAGACGTCCGCGTCGCGCGCCTCGTCGTCCATGGACATGCCACCGCTCTGCAAGTACAACACAAGCACACAGTGCCAGTGACACGTTCGGCAAAGTCGAAATGCAAGAATATGGTCGGCGTTGCTGTTTTCCCGCGTAAATGAAAAGGTTGGACTCACCTCCCATCGCCGGCTGAGCCTCCGCGCACGGCGCATGGCGGCCGCCCTCCCCGACGCCACCGCGTTGGCCTGCCCGACGACGCCGGGGGCCCTGTTGGCGGGCCCCCTCGCGGGGACACGCCCCACGGGGCCCGCCAGCGGCAGCGACGTCGTGCTGCCGTCCATGGAGGAGTCCGCGCCCGGGCCGAAGTACTTGCCCTGGAAGCGCAAGTCGTTGCAAAGGCTGACGGCGGCAGGGAGGGGGTTTCGTCGCGACGTCCGACTTACCGTCACCTCCACGTCCTCGGCCAGGGTCTCGAAGCCGCGCACCGCGGCGGCCGCCTCGTCACCGGAGCTCTCTTCGGCGGAGCTGTCTTCCCCGGACGACGACGGGGAGCGCGCGAAGCTGGCCGGCGCGGGCGACACCCTGCGACTGGCCGCCCTGCCCGCCCCCGCCCCGGGCAGCACCTTGAGGCCGTGCAGCCGGCTGCGGATGGAGTGGAACACCCGGTAGAACAGCAGCGAGCCCACGCCCAGCAGCACCACCATGCCCGTGGCCTTGGCTGCAACAAGAACCTGGCGTCAGCGCGTCAGCTCGCGTTCGGCGGCGAGGGTGACGAGGGTGACGGCCCGGCGCGTCCGCACCTGTCTCCACGATGATGGCCCACACCGAGGACACCGACACGGAGTACATGTCGAGGCAGCCCGAGCCCAGGACGTTGACGAGGTCCCCCGGCGCGCCGGGCGCGGCGCTGGACGCCGCCAAGGGGTCGGCCAGGATGTTGGGGAAGATGATGCCGCCGCCAGCGCCGAGCACCGCGCCGGCGTCCTCGTGGCGCGAGCATAGCGAGAACAGCAGCCCGCCCCACTGCGGGTCCACGCCGAAAGACACCATCTCCACCTGCAACACATTGGCGTCGGTCAGACACACTGGGCCCAGGAAGGAGCGAAGCAGCGTGCCGCCCCGAACACGCCTCGTCGCTCCGTCTCTCTCGCACCCCTACGGCCGGCCCGCCGCCCCACGAGTGCGACAGAGACAGAGAGACCCGAGGCGCGCGGCCGGAAGCAATTACCGGCACGAACCGATGAATGAATGAGCACGTCGCCCGCGCCGCCCAATCCGATAGACCGCGAGACAATTGGCCCCACTTTTCCAGTTGGAACGGACAACGCCGTGGATACCCCGCGCCCCGCACGCGTGTCCAGCTCCGTAGTCGCAACCAGGCCTCTCTCAAATCAGGATCATCACTGAACGGCACTGACAAACTGGTCGCTCGCGTCATTGGTATAGTGCAGTTTTGGGACTAGTGCTCGAAACGTGTGAACGACAGAGCGGTGGCCGCCACCGCTTGTGCACGCCGGCCCTCCCCCTCCCCCCACCCCGACTTAATCCGTGGCCGACTTTGCGCGCGGACGTCCGTGTGAGGAGGAAGTGGTGCCGGGCTGCCGGCCGCATAGGGCAGCATGGCATAGGTCTCCCTGAGGCTGTTGGCCCACGGCCCGGCCAGGGCGGCCAGGGCCCGGCCACACCGCGCCACCGCGACGGGGATCGATCAGCTTGAGGGGGCGGGGGAGGGGGGAGCGAGTGGGTTAGAGAGAGAGTGAGACACTGTGTGTGTGTGTGTGTGTGTGTGTGTGTGTGTGTGTGTGTGTGTGTGTGTGTGGCCAACCCTGTGCTTTGCCGACAATCCGCCGCCGCGTGCTCTAGCTTCTGGCACTACCACGCTGTCAACCGAGGCGAGCAGCAGACGTATTCCGAGAGTCGTTGTCGTCGCTCTGTCTCTCTCGCACTCATGGGGCGTCCCGTAGGGGTGCGAGAGAGACAGAGCGACTGTCGGAATGAGTCTGCTGGGCCCAGCAGGGCAGTAGCGTGACGTGCCGCCTTCCAGCGGCGGCGTGCAGCCTGCCCCAACCGGCGAACGGGGACAGCACCGTAAAAACAAACGCAATCGGTCGGAAATGCTAATTCGAGTGACCTTCAGGCCGAAGCCCCCCGGCGTTCCACGCGGCCCAAGGGGCGGCGGGGGCGGCGGGGGCGGCGGGGGCGCACACGGGCGGGGTAAGAAAGGCGTCGATTTCGGCGCGAAGCGCTTCAAAGGTCCTTTCGTTAAAAAAAAACGTAAAAAAATAATACACGGATCTGATCTCCTCTACTCACCTGCTTGGAGACGCCGTGCGCGGGGTGCGGAGTGACCCAGGCCGCGCCGAGGCCGTTGAGGCCGTTGGCGGAAGGGTGTAGCGGCCTCCACTCCACAGCCCACGAGTCGGCCGAGTCGGCCATCACGGCCTCCACGGCCCCGGCCGAGGCCGAGCCCCGGGGTCTTTTCTCCTCACGGCCGCGGCGCCCTCGCGAGGCGCCTCCGTCAACGCGGCAGACATTAGTCCAGGTCTGCAAACAGAGGGATCCAGGCATCAGTAAAAACGAGAGAGCCAACTCTGTACGTACTGCCCGCTGTGTACATTTCGGCCTCACTCATCATGTGTAGGCCGCTGCGCTGGGCCGCGTGGCTGCCCGTTCTATTTCAACGCCTGGACTGCTCGTGGTGCACAGCCTTGCGAGAGAGGGGGAGAGAAAAAGAGAGGAGGAGAGGGCACTGGGAAAAGAGGTCACTTGACTAAGGCGCGCGCAGACTGCTGTGACAGCAGGGCGGGCGCCTGCGAGGCGGGCCGTCCCGCTGCACCGCCGTGGCGTGCGGGCTTGCCTACCTCCGCTCCGTCAGGCGCCTGCGAGGCGGGCCGTTCCGTTGCACCGCCGTGGCGTGCGGGCTTGCCTACCTGCAGGCGCCTGCGTATCAGAGTGGGCAACATTTTCCACGATAAACGGATGTAAACCTCAGCTCACCCGGTAGGCAATATCTGGGCTTAAATCACCAAGGCAGACAAAGGTAGGCCCAAAACTGGCGCACCGCGGGCATTGCGTGGCAACACTGCTTGGCTCCACCCGCAATCCGGCGGGCTCACTGACCGACATGACCTTGCGTCCTTGCCGCAGTCTCGCGACTGGAGTCGGGCGTGCCCCGCGGGGCCAGGGTGCTAGGGCGACGGAGCGACCGCCACGCGCGCCCCCTCCGGAGAGGCGGGGGCGGAGACGGCGTGGAGCAGGAGGCCCTCCTCGCCGTGCCCCACGTGCACTGGGAGATGAGTGTCGGGTGGGGGCAGACCCGGGGGGCAGACCCGCGCCCCTACACGCACAGCGCCATTTCAAGTAGTGGCGGTCCACGGCAAATCGATGCCGTGAGCGCGGGCCCCTCGAAGGGCCCCTGCCCGCCCCTGCCGAACCGGGGCGCTGCAACTGCCAGTGCAGTGGCGCAACACCGGTCCTGCGGCGGTGCAAAGCGGGTTATGCAATGCGGGTTTCGCCTTCCTCCTCTCTTTCCTCGCGCTCGCTTCCACGAGGTTCTCGAAATTGCTTTCTCGCGTGGTTTGGCGCGGCCCGCCCGGACGCGGCACTTAGCCCCGGCGAGTCGGACAGGCTGACACGCGTCCGCGAAGCACCGCCGCCAAGCTACACTGTCGGGACGCCCCTCCCCGCGGCCCTGCGTCCCGTCGAAGGAAGTAAACCCAGTGACATACTCCGCGTCCGAGGGACTTTCAAAGCTGGACCGTCCACTGCGCAGGGGGTACGGACAGGGCCGTACAATCGCTGTCAAAAGACCGGCGATCGCGTCACTGAAAGCCTTTGGCTGCCTATGGCTGCCGTTGGCACCGCGCCCTTGCCTGCTTTCGCTTATATTTACGACTCCCTGTTCAAACTGGCGCGCCATCCGGCCGCCATTCCGCCACCCACCCCACGCGCCCCGGCCCGCCCCTGTGCAGGTCAGGGAAGGGTGCGGGGGTGAGTCAGCCACCCCCACTCACGCACCGCACTGGACGCACCGCACTGGACGCACCGCACTGGACGCACCGCACTGGACGCACCCCGTGCGTGGGGCGGCCGAGGACACCCCGGGGCTGAAGGCATTACAGCTTTGGCCCTGACACCGATATCGTACTTCCGGACGGTCCGAGTGCCGTACCCAGCACTGGGCCCACCCCCCGGAGACTTCCGGAATAGAAGCGAGCTTTCTGTGCTTCCTTTTTCGTTTCCTACGCTCCCTCACAACCAAAGCGACAGACAGACCACGCGGATTTTTAGGAATTCCAGAGAACCCTTTTTGTCTTTTATGAAAAAAATATTTTTGTTTTCAGTACAGTCGTGTACGAAATTGTTGCTTCTAATAATTTGCTCGACGAAGTAAATTTAAAGTAAAGTGTGTTTCAATAAAAATCAAGCCATTTTTCTTCCTTTTTTTTTGTCGATTTGGTTTGTAATTGACAAATTCCCTGCAAGACTGGGAGCAAACAACAGAAAACGAAAGTGTTGCAAATGCAGCACCTCCTGGTGGGCCGGAGGGCTGTGTTGAAAATCGTTTCCATCCAAACAAACGTTTATTGAAAACCGCGGATTTCTTGTCACTGGCCCACTCCGCAGAGAGAGCAGCCTTTGGACCAGCATCAGGGAAGTCCGGAGATGATACTCACTCATCACAGGGGTTGATCAGAAAAGTGACCTTGACCGTAGCAGACGACGCTCCATTCAGCGGCCCCCACCCACCCACTGGTGCCGAGCCCCGCGCCGTCTACCTGCCTGTCGAGATCGGGCCAAAACACCCCGCGGCCGCTACAGCGCTACAACGCGTCCTGCTCGCGGGGCACCAGTGCCTCCGACTGCCAGTGACGACACCCAGCGATACTGCTATCGCGGCCCGCTCCCCAAATGTCATCCGTCCGCGCCAGTAGACGATCGGGGAGCGCGGTGTGCCCGCCGAGAAGGGGCCTTCGCGACGCCACGCGCGGCGCCTCTCGGAACGGGCGGCTGCTCGCGGCACACTGCGAGAGCCGAGCGCCTGCCAGGCGAAGGGCCGCCCAGCACCGCCCAGCCCCTCTTCGGGCGCGTCGGGGCGCCGCGGCGACGTTCGGAGGGTTCGGAGTGGCTCGGGGTTGGCGCGACGCGGAGCGACGCCCGAGGGCGCCGAGGGCCCCGTGGGGATGGTGGGGGCGGCCGCCTCGCTACGCTCGCTACCGCCCTACCGCCTCGGCCGCCGGGCGACAGTGGCGCCCCCGCGACGGGCGGCGAGAGGCGAAACCCTGGTGGAACGCGACAGCTGACTTGCTACAGCACTGTACGATCAATACAACGCCCCCCAGCCGAACCACCCCTGGGCTGCGTGTGAATGTTGGACCCCCGCTGTATTTGCGGCCCGGGTGGGGCCGGCCCATAAGGCCCCTTTCGGACCCACGCGGCCGGACGGTCGGGCCGGGGCCGGTCCGTGAGGCACGTCAGAGGGAAGGCCAAGCCCACATTTTGGAATGGGGCCGTGTGCAGTGTGCAGAACTATGAGCAAATGCGGAGCAGGATTCCAAAATATTTGCTAAGTAGTTGACATCTAAAAGAGCTCATTTTATTTACATACTTTTCCACTCAAAAGAGACAGTCTATTTGAAATATACTTAAGATACTATACAATAAATTTCATCTATTTTAAAGAGTCGTCGACTATTCCTTTCTCTGCTTTTAGTTTTTCAACCTGTTGATGGACTAATTCATCCATATCAGCTAAAGGTTTATAATAATTATGAACTATTTGCGACCCAGCTAGGGCAGCAGCTGTTGCTGAAATTACAAAACCCAAGAACTTTGGCCACGACCTTCCATAAGGCATGATGACTTAAATGTATGTAAAAAAATTATTTACTGACTATTATTACGCTGCTTTAAATAATCATCGACAATCTGTTTAGCTCGTTCTTGCGCCTGTCTTCGTTTGAAGGTCCTGTCTGTAAAGAAAGAAGAAAAAGAATAGAATGAGACATGTCATGGTAAATAGGACTAGACTAAACTGTGATACGTACAGAAGTTGACTTCACCAACATGCCAGTTAATCATGACATATTCTAAGGCAGCTCCACTGACGAAAAATATCGGAAGTAAAGCGAATTCACCAAACTTCTTAAATGGGCCCGATGTTTGCAAGAATCGAGCAATGCGTTCACTCCGAAACCTAGACATTGGATATCTGCAACAGAATGAACATTTTTTCACGACTGTTGTAAACTATTTCCGTAAAATATTCAAATTCCGCTTTTAACGTGAACACATAACCCCGAACTTGAGGTATTAATCACCCTTATACAAACCTATTTTTAAGTCATGTATAATGGTGCGCTCAGCCTGAAAGAAAAACGAACGCCTGTTCGAACTAAATAGCCGTGGACATTGAGGAACTATTCAGTACAATTCAAGTAAAAACTTCGTCCCAACACAACCCACTCTTCGTCCAAGCACTCCCCCGTGGAGGGCGAATAACTACTGGACGCACTATACGCACGCCATACCCTTGCCCACCCCCGCGAAACTCAAAACAAAGCAGCTGGTTGACATGGCAACTTGAAACGTGCGATCCGATCCAATCGCCTTCTTCAATGTAAATGTCTAAGTAAAAGCTAACAAGAAAAAAATAAAGTAGTTAAAGAAAAACCAGGAGAGAGTTGAAAAAAAAATAAACCAGCCATGGCAGGACCATCCTCCGTTGTTAAGTACCCTATGAAATTCCCAGGCAAGTAAAACTTCTGCGATGTGAGATAGCACATACAGCAGAGAAAAAAACCCTTGCATAAAATTTTACCTTGCTCTGCACACAGTTATGCCTGATCGACTCGACAATCTTCAACTCATTCCCCCTCCTCCATCAAGATTTACATTGAGTGAATGGTATTTAAACAATGCAAGCAGATTTCGTGCTGCTGATGACCAACAGCAGCTTGCAGAACGTATAGTGGAAGAAGGTGGTCGCATGAGAGATGAAACCAAAGAGCTGGTTAAAACAAATAAAGATGAAGTGGACCACAGAATCGAAGAGAAACTTAAAAATCTCCAGTATCGTCAGCATGAGCTCAACAAACAAAGGAAGCATCTATGTGTTGAGATAGACGCTTTGGACACATACATGGATAGAATGTACGACTGCCTTGACCACCTAAAGAAAAAGTTAATTGAAAATTGTAAAAAGTGCATCAATCTCAGGTCAGAATCAGTCCTGTATAATTTACATCATATATACCACTTATTTCAAAAGAATTCTATTAGCACAGAATAATTTCTATTTTTTACAGAGAAGGTCGTTTGGGTATTGATCTTGTATTTGATGATGTGGATCGTGAGCTCTCAAAAGAGTTTGAATTGCTGAAAGGAGTTGAAGCTATGTTGACCCGAATGCAAGAGCAAACCAAAGAACAACTTCGCCAATTAAGAGCTACTAGGCATCTGATTGACAGAGAACTTCATGATTTGGATGCTGCAATCAAGATAGATGAAATCAATAGAGACCTTCGAGAAACTAGTCTGAACCTGAGCATATACCAAGGCCATCAACTTAATCCATCGTAAGTTTTATGAAAAAGAAGATTCTCTTTATAAATACTTGCATCAAATTAGGCTTATCCACAGGCTTTATTATTTTGCATAGGGATATTGTTCAAGCAGAGACAGATATGTATTCCCAGATGAACATGGAACAAAGTGCCAAAAGGGTCAATGATGCTCGTATGTTGAAATCTTACATAGATACACTCCTGACTCAGCTGTATGAAGATTGTTTGCAGCAAGGAAATGCAGTAAATGAATCATTCAGACGACGTATTGATGAAATGAAAGAAGCTAAAACCAAATTAGAGCAACGTCATCATGAGGTTTGAGCTTCAAGTGTTCTTATCCTGTAAATCTACTTATAAGGAAATTAACACATTTAAAGATGAGGCCATAGGTGAACTGAGAAGTGGAGAAAGTCCCAAGTCTCACTTCCACGGCTCCATCTGGGAATGAGTTAATTTCTTTAGCTTGTTACAACCTTTTAGTTCAGTAAAACCTAAACGTCACTTCTAAAATAAATTTTTAGACTGCAAGACAAGCCAATGAAATGACAAGAAATATAACACAATTACAAAAGGCCATACAAGAGAAAGAAGGATTTATGGCTCTGGCTCACACACGTCTTGGAAACAGAGCTCAGCGCCTGCGTATGGAGCTTTGCAGGTAAATTAACTAACTACAAGACCAACCATAATTTACAAATAAAATGAATTTGAATTCTAACTTGAAAACTTGATCTTTCTTGTTTGCAGAGATGATGTAGAGACTAGTCTTATCTCTGAGGTTCTGCAAATTCAGGTAGCTGTGACTGAGCTTCAGAATCAGTTGGCACATGTGAGTCGCACAAAAGGTCTTTCAATGTTTTACCATTTTTTGTATCGCAATAATTAATAAAACTAAATGGATTTCTAGGCTGAAGCGTCCTTGAGGTACTTACTGAAAATGCAGATTCAACTGGAAGAGGACATCAATGTGAAAACGAACTCGTTGAAAATAGATGAAGTTGAATGTCTCACAGTGAGAGATGCCATGGACTACCACAAGTACTGAAGATTAGAAAGGCAAGATCACATGGGAAGAAAAAAGGTTACTGTTAGAAGATAAATTTATTTTCCAGTAGAAACACGAGGAAAGACTAAATAATGATAAGGTCAGAAAAAAAAATGCACTGCACTTTTCTCCAGAGGAAATTAGTATCTCACCAATTTTCTAGTCTAGTATTATATGATACGTTTTCTTAAGACCCATTTTCAAGCCAATAGCAGTGATAGGAATTTTTTTATGCAAGTTTAACAGAATGGGATTCTAGGACAAACATCTAAAAAAACTCCATCAGAATACAGATCACAAGGCAAATGGCTAAAATAGTTGAGGAAGCCATAATTATTATTATTTATTTATTTGATTATTATTATTATTAGAACCACCCCTTCCTGCACCTCGACTTAAGGTCTGACAATGTTGGAAGATAATTCCAGGCTGATGAAACAATAACTCAGCAAGAAAACAGAGAGGAAGTAATCACTACCTGTCTTGAAACCTTGTACACTCACTACACCAGCAAATGCCATTTTCAGTGGGACTCCTTGATCTGTTTCAAGGTTACAAGATTAGACTCATTTCTAGTTGGTTTTGATATTATATTCAAGCCTTTAATGAATAATGTTAGCAGGACACCTGCAGTACAGAAAAATAATGGAACTACTGTAGCTCACACACGTATGAAACTAGAGTAAAGCCATTCAAATGTGAGGTGGATTTGTCACAGTAGCACAAGTTCATTTCAGAAAGCAAATATAGCTCTCAGCATACCATTTGCTTCTCAAATACAAATGGAATGGAACTAAATGAAGTTTAACATTTAACAAAACAATAAATGGAATATCATATCACGAAATAACTACTATGTTCTAGTATAACATTACTTTTGATAGATTATTTGATCAAGCACTTCAAACAGAAATGTTGAGCTCATAGGTATTTCACATTGGTCATCATAACCAATCATTTTTTACCATAAAACTTTTTACAGACATTTAAATCATTTGGATACTCCGCCATCTTTAGAGCATTGGGAACATAATAACCATTTATGTACGAATCAAAATAACGGCCAACATCAGGGTGCACATTGAATGTGTTTAAACTATCCTTTCCCTCCAATGGCTCCAAGTTTTCTGAAAATTCAATTACAATAATTAAAACTTTGTAGCAACGCTTTTGGATAAAATGTTTAATAAGTGAATGTGCTAAATGGTACCTTGAGCTGCATATCGTGTTGTGCCATCTGGGACTAAAACATTGTAAAACGGCTGATTATCTTTATGTTTCAAGCATTGCACACCCATTTCCTGTTTCCATGTTTCTGTAGCAGTGCATTTAGGATCCCATCCTGTGATAACGCATAGATAATTGTACTGTTTATGGAACATTGACATTCCAACTGCATACTTCACACCAGGTGTTGATACCCGAGTTTGAGGCTGAAAGGTGGTAAAATAAAATTAGTTCCATGATTGATAGGGACAATAACACATTTTTGAGCAAATATTTACCACAGGAAGTGGTTTGCCTTCTGGATCAGGCAAATAAACCTTAAACATTCTGAGAATATTTTCAGCATGGCTATGAACATCACTAGGAAGCTGAAACAAGATCATTTATTTTATTTAAATCTGACAGGAAACCCACAAGCAAAAAGAGTGCACATTGCATTTACTTACATCATCCATTGTTGACATAATACTATCAATGAGTTCAGAAACACTGATATTAAATAGCATGTACAGTCTGGCTAAATGCAATATGTGAGTCAGATTCCTTGGGTTTATCACAAACATGAGCTCCAGAGCACTTCTCAAATACGTGCTATGACCATTGCTTCTCATGCTCATTCGACCAGCAACTTCAACACCAGCCGTCAATCGTTCAATGACCTGAAGAGAAGACAAAATAAATGGTCAACAACCCAGAAAGACACACAGTTATTTGCAATTGATGGTAAACAAGAAGAAATAGCACCTCAATGACTGTTACACGTCTCTTCGGGCAATGAGGAACTCGATAGGGGCAACCACCTCCTTCTACAACTCCCATGTATGCTTCAGGACGAATAAGGCGTCCTCCATTGAAAAGATCTAAGAATACATGTCTTAATTCAGGGTTCCTGGAAATGAAATGAAAGATGCAGTTCACTATTTGAGCAGAACAATACTTATTTGTGCTAGAAAAAATTAACATACTTATCACTCTGCCACATCAGCACAAGGTGACCACGATACCATGGTTCAGTGCGAACACCAAGACGCCGGGCTACACTTTCAACAATAATATTGAGTGTAATGGGTACACCCTGATGCATCGACACTACCTGAAATGAAAATTAAAAATAATAATCACAGTATAAGCAGTTAAAAAACCTTAGAAACACAATAATAATTAACTTACGACATCAATTAAATAGTTTTCCCTGTGATGATAATTTTCTCTGGTCCCATGAAATCCGAGCCTGTCAATGAGAACATAATCCATAGCATGAAGGATTGACATGCAATGCCTTGCATCCCACAAATCACTAGCAAGGGTCTCTTTGCCCCATTTTCTTCGTTCCTCCAGGCTTATAGAAAATATAGGATGGTCTGGGACACTTTGCCCCAGTTCCTCAAGAACACAATCAGCCAAAGAATCCAGGTACATTCCTACAATAGATAATGCAATAGCATTTGTGATTTTTACAATAGAACATACAATGAGTTTCAAAGGGTAAAAATAACATAGCTCTTAGTTACCTAATTCATTTGTGGGCAGTTCGATCAAAGGCTGACACCACTGAGAAACATAACTGGCTCCAACTTCTAGCAATTGCTTATCGTCAGGAAGAGCTTTAAACAATTTCCACTGCTTTGTCAAATATTCTTGGCGCACATATCTTAAAACCCTTTTAGCTAAATATTTCTGGGAGAGATTTGAATACCTATGACAAAAAGAAGCATAGGTGGTATAAGACAGACTGCTGAAAAGTTATAATTGCAAGGTGGCTATACAATAAAGAAAATACTCACAAATTCCCATCCCTTTCAGATTTCAAAAGAAAATCTTTAATGTAGAAATATGCGGTTTGATCCTCTTCCATGATTTTGCGAAGAGGAGCAAAATGAGAGTAGCAAACTTCGCTCTCCATGTATACCTTAGGCCAGACTTCCTCCATGAGCTTGACTGTCATGCCGATAAGGTGGAATGCTCGTTTACATTCACTTTGCCAATCCAATTCCGCCGAAATGCTCAATAACTCCTTGTTGGCATCAGGCCACCTGCAAATTTTTCAAGGTTGTTAATGATGAAAAGAAAGATAGGAACCAAAATGAGGTCTAGGCTCAGGAATGACAGGACATGCCTGACTAACAATCGCTCTATTTTGTTCATTGAAGAAACCAATGAAATGGTGATCTCACTGTTGCATTCGAATGAATGATTTTCACTGAAGGAACCCAACGTGATGCGATATTTAAGAAATGTACGAACCGTTGTCGGTGCTTTGCTCGCCAAACATCATTGCAATCGTCGGATACCAACGCGTTCATCTTTTGACATGTCTGCGCCACACTAATAACATCGTTCAATGATATATTCGGTAAAATGAGAACGGCTCTGATGATCTCCGGAGGAAGAGCTAAAATATTGGCCCCGATTTGATCCATTTTAAATTTGAAGTGGCTGGGTACTGGGACTACGTCGTCTGCCATATTTACTTTCCTGTCTGTCAAAACACATGGGCCACAAGCGGCCAAGTATGAGAACAGTAAGAGTCAGCTACGTGCGCTGAGTTTGTCATAGAGATTTCAAAAGGCGGGCTGAACGTCACAGTTTAAATGTTTAAATCTGGGACTCAATAGTTTTGCATCATTCCAAACTCACTCAGCCCTGATTATTAGTTTTTATATTTTTGTCTTATATTGTGTAGAATGAAGTTTCAGGTGTGAAGAAAAATAAAATCGGTTTTGATTATTGACAGTATATTTTTGAACAGATCAAATGCTTGGGTAAAAGTTATTAACAATTGAACAAAAGAATGAAAGACAATGTATATCGTAAATAAGATAAGATACTGTAAATTAAATTCTTTTACATTCGACGGACCCTTTTGGAGGGTTGAGAACTGCTGATGTTCAATACTGAAGTTAAATCAACCTTTCTGTCTTCTTCAAATTCCTCATTCCTTAAACTCTCTTCTTCTGACAGCAACCTAATAATAAGTGAAAATAGAATGTTTATAATACTTTTAAGAACGAGTCAAAAAACAATGAGAGAAGTCCACACTTACTGCTGTTGTTCAAGACTGTGCAGCATTTCAAAACCAGTTTGTAAAGTAGCAGAGGGCTGCAGAGCTAAATCCCCATCTGCAGTGCTAGGAAAATGCAACTGTGGAACATCATCCTCATCTTCACCCTCCTCTATTTCAGAAACTATTTCTTGTTTAATTCTAAAATTTAAAAAAAAAAAAAAAAATCATTTTAAACAGGAAAAAATTATTTTAACACATTTATTTGGAAAACACAATCAGGGGAGAAAGCACTTACGATGAGTCCCAGCCAGAAGAAGACGGTAAAGTTGCATTATAACTGTTTGCAAGTTCAACATATTCACATGTAAGCTGAGAACAAACATTTTCCAAATTCTCGATACGTCCAAGTATTTGCACTTGGTAGTGGGAATGCAGATCTCGAACACTACCAAGTCCCATTGTGTGGAAAACCTGCTCGACAGGATCCTGAAGAACACCATTATACCATAAGAGTGTGAAAGAAAGGGTCACTATTTCCAGTGGGAAAATTGGAAGCAGTGTTGTGGTGACTTACAGAGAATCCTCCTTCTCCTCCTCCTTCATGGGAGGCACCTTGATCTACAGTCACTCTTAACATGGTAGTTAGTCGTCGTAAAAAATCATCAACAGCATCCCTAAATACAAAAAGTGTCTCACCCATGGCACCTAATTAAAAAAGAATGAATATTATTGTCCACTTGTTAACAACACCAATTTTATAATAGGTTCTGATTTACATACCATCCCAACCAGAATGAGCAGCCAGAGCAGATATACTTTTAGTTAGAATGTACAGACATGAATCTAAACAGAGCTCTTCAGGAGGTGATCCTTGGCCTAATGTGAATGGTCTGTGTAAAAGAAAAAATAGAAGGAAAGAAAAATTTACTCTTTGAAAAACGATGTATTATTACTATGGTAAGCCTACAGAAAGCATCTATCCTGCTCAGAAAACTTTGGTAGGGGATTTTCGGATTAGACACTTACGTGTGCCGAGAAGGAAGGAATCCCAGAGGATGGACAACAGGATGTTTTAAATGTGTGGGTGGTCGCTGAGGAGCTGGAGGTGGTTCAGGGAGCCGTTGCTGAACCTGGCAAAAAGTGAGAAGATCCTCTAGCTCCACTTTTACTTCTAGTATCACTAATTCTTGAAGATAAGAAATACCTATACCTGTGGCGCTGATGTCGAAACTCTTCCTTGAGCGAGCAGGATCAGCTGTTTCAAGGCCGCAATATGCTTTCTCAGCTCAAGAGAGTATGAAACTTCACCATCAAGGGAGTAACTCTCAGTATCCAGCCTGCGGAGATAGACTGGATTGTGAATCTAGAAGTACGATAAGATGAAAGAGAAGGAGGTTACGGACTTACTCATCGTCTCCATATCCATCAAGTGGGTCGCCCTTGGTGTAATCATCAGAACACGACTTGTCGATCAAATCAGCGACAAGCTCCTTAGATAGTGCTTCTTGCAAGTCAAAAACACTGGAATACAATAAAATAAAAGTCATTAAACAAATTATGAACAGCACTCATGGAATATTTTCACTCAGCCCAATAAAATGCATACCTAGTTTCCTCTTCATCACTCTCAAATTCACCCCAATGGGACACAGGATTTTGTATCCCACTCCAGGACCCGCTCGCGCTCGCGCTCGAGACGGTTGGGGCGTTCATTTCACTCCCTTTACAGAGCAACAAACATTTCTATACGCATGAAAGCAATGGACTGTCAGACATCGTCAGCGGTTTCATTCATAAAGACTGACGCATTTCTGTACGTCATTACTGTATTCTACCGTAAAAACCATAACATTCTGTCAATGATCGCAGGTTAGGAATTAAAATGAAAACAAGAGAGAGAATGAGGAAGGCGACACGGCAAGCTCAGGGTAGAGGGCAGCACCGGGATACGCGCCACGATTTAGCCAGGGGAGCCCCTAGGAGTCTGCCAATTTCGCCCATAACTTCTTTGTCATGCAAGATAGACCCGTAGTGTAAGCGAGCCGATTGTAGGCAACGCTGCTAGCTTCCCAATAAGCTAGTTTCCATACATGTGCGATAATTGCAGTGAGAGCTATAAGTCAAAAACAGCATCCGTGCCGGCTGCCGCCTGGCTGCTAGTGGCGTATATCCCAGTGGCGCCCCTAGCGGCGAACGTCTGCAGTCGCCTTCCCCATGAAAACACGCAAGTGGCGCCACCTAGCGGGAGCGGGCGGCACTGACAGTATTCGCACGACACAGACCCCTACGCGAGACTACGCGCTGAGGCGGGGGGCGTGGGGCGCCGGCAAGAAGTCTATTTAAAGCCAGCGAGAAGGGAAAGGGGAGTTGGGTGTCTAGAAAATAAAGCGACTGGGACAGTCCCTGCGCGAAGGCGTTTCCTTCATACGACGAGTGTCGAGAGAGGTCGGCCGTGGAGATACTGCCGTGAATAGTTAGTCGTGTTGTCATACAACACGATGTCCGCGTCCGCGTTCGACGAGCTGGTGTCGGCGGTGTGGTGCGAGGCGCGGCAGGACGGCGGCGCGCTGCTGAGGGAGTTCACTGCGCCGGCCAGTGACACCAGTCGCGCACGCCGCGCGCTCCTGTTACCACAGCTGGCCGTCGTGCGCCAACGACTTGGTGGTCATGGTCACCAGGGGAAGGACCCGGAGCGGGCAGCGCGCGCCGTCATCCGGGCAAGCGAAGCGACCGCCGCCGAGCGCCACCTGGACGCCGTGCTGGCGCTCTCGGAGGCCGCCAGGTCCGCGGAATGCCAGTCAAAGTACCTGCTTTGTCTTTGAGTTTCAACTCTCACCACCACGGCGAACCCTTCAGGTTCGCGCCGCCGCAGAGCGAGCAGCTGTTGCACGCCCTGGAGGACCGCGCGGACGCCCTGCTGCGCCTGCACGAGCCGGAGGCCAGCCTGAGGGACTTGCTGTCGGTGAGAGAGGCGCTGGAGTCCTGCCAGCCCGCCACTGTGCAGCGACTCCTCAAGTACGTAAGTCCCTTCGCCTGCAAGGCATACAGTGCATAGTGGCCAGTGTCTGTCACACGTGTCCTGTCGTCGCCCGCGCAGGACACTGCTGGCCACGGCCTCCCGACTGGAGCGCCTGCGCGACCGTCCTCGGGCCGAGGCGGTCCTCCGGGAAGCCTTGAACGCCGTCCGCGACGCCGGCGATCTCCTGGACGCCTCCGCCAAGACGGCGGCCGTGAGCGACATCATGGAGCGCGTCAAGAGGCTCTCCAGCAGCGCGGTGCTCGCGAACGAGGTGCGTCCCTTGCGAAATGAAGCTCGCCGGAGATCGCCAAGGTCTACTTGTTTCTGGCGGACAGCCGTCGCCGCCGCCGCTCGTGTCGTCCGGCCTCGACGCGCTGCCCAAGCTGTTCGCTGGCGCACACCCCAGCATGCCGGCGGCGTCCGCGGCGCTGGAGCAGCGCGAGGATGCCGTCAAGGGCCGCCACCTCGTCGCCACGCAACACATTCCAGCAGGTCAGTGGAGGGCAGTGGAGTGGAGTCAATGAACGAGGACGCAAAGTGAACGCGAGGCACGTTTTCGCTGCTTTACTTTTGATTTTTGAGTGCCTTTCGTTCCACTCTACTTGCCGCCTGTGGAATCGAGGGTAGGCAGTCCCGCAAGGCACCACTGTTCGGCGGGTGGCCTACCTCCGACTTCACAGGCGCGCTGGAGCCCGACGCTGCTTGAAAGCTGGTGTAACAGTGTGTCGTTTTCTTTCCCTCCTCGCCGCTGCCGCCGCCAGGGAGCGCAGTCATCGCGGAGACGCCGTTCGCCTGGTCGCTGTCCTTGGAGGAGACGCCGACCCACTGCCTGCACTGCTGCGCCCCCGTCCTGGCGAGCGTGCCCTGCGCCTTCTGCAGTGACGTGAGTCCAAACAGGCGGAGCGATTCGTCGCCCTGTCTCTCTCGCACCCCTACGAGGCGCGCCGCGAGTGCGACAGAGACAGAACCGCCCTGCTCAGGACGGCGGCGGTGGCGCGGGAGAACTGGACGAGCCGAACTGAACCAGCACGACGACGTACATGACCACGCTGAGGCACATCTGGAAGCGAAAATGAGATCATGTCGTTGCGGCACTGACCGCCACCTCGTCGAACTCACTTCAACGTGAGAGGCTACACCAAAAGAATGCCCTACTCTGCTGAGCAGGGTGTTGTCCATGTCCAGGATGCCCAGAGGTGCCATGGTGGGCTTCTGGTGCATCAGCTGCAGGGAGAAAATGGTGAGCTGCAACAGATGTGAATTGTCATGGACGCTCCGTGCCGCCCATTTCCGACAAAAACGGGATCGACATGACTCCGATTTCGAGTTACTAACTCCGATCCCGAAAGGGGCTGACCAGGTATTCACCTCCTGTGCCTCCTCCTCGTTGACGAAGGGACACCGGAGGAGCTTGTGGACGTGGGAGTGCGTCTCACTGCCCTGCTGGCTGGCCCGCGAGCTGGCCACGCAGACCGCGATGGTGCCCGCCATGCTGTAGGCGGTGTTGAGGAGAAGTGCGTCGGAGTAAGACTCGGTGCCAGTGTAGTGGCCCGACAACTTCTGCCCGGTCAGGTACACCACCATGACGGCCATCGTGAAGTCGTTCATGAGGATGCCGATCATCTGGAACTCGAACGCCTGGCGGCGCGGCACCGCAGCGTTACCGCCGACACTTCTTTTTATTCTCGAGCACTGTTCAAGAGCACCTTGGTGATGAGGTCGAGCAGGTCGAGGGCCTTGTCGTGGGCGCCGCGCAGCGTCACCACCTTGCCGGCCGCGTCCGGCAGGTAGTGCTGGGGCCGCTCGCGCAGCAGAGTGGCCAACTGCTGCAGCTCGGCGTTGACGGTCTCGAAGCAAGTGGCCACCCGCTTGAGCAGGTGCGCCAACATGACGCGATCCAGCAAGTTCATCATCAGCCACACCAAGAGGGCCACGGTGGAGGGCTGCGGGAACAGTTGTCAGGAACCACCTCGACCAGGGGTCTCTTGAACGGGGACCCCTTGAACAGGCACCCCTTGAACAAGAACTCCTTAGGGACCCCTCGAACAAGGACCCCTTAGGGACCCCTCGAACAAGGACCCCTTAGGGACCCCTCGAACAAGGACCCTTTAGGGACCCCTTGAACAAGGACCCCTTAGGGACCCCTTGAACAAGGGCCCCTTAGGGCCCCCTTGAACAGGGTCCCCTTGACTAGGGTATGACTGCCTACCTACCAGCGATGCTAGGGAAAACATGAGGAGGACGGGGGTGTCGGTGGCAATGTAGGCCGTGATGGAGCCCACCATCTGCAAGGCTAGCAGCGCGCTGGAGAGGGCGTACGTCGCCGTGCAGCTTGGCCAGGACAGCACCGTGTGTAGCAGCCGGTGCTTGCGCACCGTGCCCACCAGGTAGAGCACGCTGCTGACGAAGGCCGTGAGGAACGTGACGCAGAACAGGACGTTCACCAACACCGGGTTCACTGTAATGTTGTCGAGGTCTCGCGCGAACTGGCGGAGGAACAGGGAGACGACCATGGGTTCACTGATTGCCTGAAGCCTGCCGTGCGTCGTACAGACTTACACCGTATCCGCGGTAGCCGTTCGCCAGGACGATGAGCAGGACCAGCGCCACGGAGTACGCCGTCCAGGCGCGCGACCTGCGGTAGGTGTGCCGGCCGCCCTCCAACCGGGGCCCCGTCGTCACCGGGCTCAGCCCCATCACCCTGGTCACCAGCACCGTGAGCCGCAGCGGGTCCCCCTGCCAGCAAGTCGAGGGACACCGTCACCACTGACTCGGAGACGCTTGCCTCGGTCGCTCTGTCTCTCTCACGCACTCACGGGGCGTCCCGTGTACTAGGTGCGAGGGAGACAGAGCGACAACTGTTGTAATCAGCCTCCAGTGCTCCAGGGGCTCCACTGCACTCACTTTCCTCAAGGGCACCACTCGCGGCAGGGGCGGAGTGGGTGGCGGCCGCACTGAGAACCAACATGGACAAATAAGTGTTTGCCTAAATTGGCCCCATAAAAAAATCGAAACGAAATAACAAACTCGCCTTTTTGAGCTTTGAGTGCCATCACCGATAGCCTGTGGAACTCGTCTCGTATCTTGTTCTGCACGGCCAGCTTGTCCCTGAAGGCCTGGTCCTTGCCGGGGCCCTGGAGGCCGTGGCGGTCCTTGCCCAAGGCGGCGTGCAGTCCGCTCATCTTGCTGCAGGTGCTGCCGTGCGTCCACTGGGACAGGGCGGCCAGGGCGGCCAGGGCGGCCAGGACGAGAGGGCCGTGCGCCGGGTCGTCCGCAGACCACTCCGTTGGATGAAATCGATTGGCAATCACTGCGCTAATGCCTGTTTGACCGTCCTGCCTGTCGATGCCGCCTTCAGGCGCCTGCAGGCCTCCATCCCCGCCGCTCCCTTGCTGCAGCTTGTTTGCCCCCAGGCGGTGTTCTGCGGCCGGGCGTGCCGGGACGCCGCGCTGCCCGCCTACCACTTGGCCGAGTGCGGCATGCTCGGACAACTCGTGCCGCCACGGCCCGACGCCGAGCTCAGCCCCATGGCCCTGCTCGCGTACCGCATCGTGGTGCAGGCGGCGGGGCTGGCGGCCCAGGTCGCCGCGCGGACGGACGCCGTCGTTCTGCCGCGGGCCTTCGTCGAGCTCCACCAGGACCACCAGGACGGCGAGGGAAGGAAGAAGAAGGGGAGGAGGAGGAAGAAGGAGGAGGATGGGTGTGTAATGGTGCTCTCGTTGACCGCCGCGACGCAGACGGGGCTACGCAGTCCCGGAACACGATGTGCCTGTTGTGCAGGTACGACGCCGTGTTCGCGCAGGTGACGCACTCGGACAGACGGACGCCGGCCGACCTGCTCAAGCGGTCCTTGACGGCGGCCTTCCTGACGTGCTGCCTGGAGGCCGTGCTGCAGGTGCGCCTCGCGCCCCGCGGGGAGGTCCTCGACGAGGTCCTCGACGAGGTCCTCGACGAGGAGCAGCGCGTCGTCCTGACCGCGGCCTTTCTCCGCCACCTCCAGGTAAGCGGGCAGGCAGCAGGCAGGCTGACGTTGGCTTCCCTTTCAACTCATCGCTGTCACGGCCACGCTGGCCGCGCGCAGGGCTGCTCCTGCAACGCGTACCAGATCTCGGAGCACCGGCTGGCCGGCGGCTCGGTGCGCGCGGCGCGCGGCGTGGAGCTGGGCGGCGCCTGCTACCCCACCGTGTCCCTCGTGAACCACGCCTGCAGCCCCAACGTGGCGCGCCACTCGCACGGCAACGTCTGCGTCGTCAGGACCACCCGCGCCGTCGCCAAGGGCGCCGAGCTGCTCGACAACTACGGCCCCCACTTCCTGGAGCACGACCTGGAGGAGCGCCGCGCCGCGCTCGAGAAGCAGTACATGTTCCAGTGCGCGTGCGTCGCGTGCGCCAACGACTGGCCTTCCCTGGAGGACTTGGAGCCGCACCCGCAGCAGAAACAGGGTCGCAAGTGAGTCATGTGGCACCGCACGTCAATTACACCCTCTGCTTTTTCGTCGCTCTGTGTCCCTCCCGCGTCCTGGGGAACGCCCTTGGAGTGCGAGAGGGACAGCGACGACAGCACTGCTGCGAACCAAGGTTCCGATTTGTCCCACAGGGCAAAGCGGCCTCCCCCGGTCCACCAAACAGCGGAGCTCGCCGCCCAGATGCACGCCGGGGTGCAAGAGCTGCTGCAGGGCCGCCTGGAGGAGGCCCTGCAGAGCGCCCTCAAGTACTCGGCGGCCCTGGCTGTGCAGCAGCAGCCCCACAAGCCGCCCTGTGGCGAGCAGGTGCGGGCGGACCAGGTCGTCTCGCTCTGCTGGAGTTTGGCCGGGAACACTGTCAGATATTGACCAATTAAGTCCAAATAAATGTATTCAACATAGAATCTCGCTTGATGAGCTCTATTTATTTCCGTTTGCATGTTTGCATTGATCCTACGGGACGCAGAGAAATTTTCCTGCGTCGCAGTACGGTTGGATGCCTACTCCCGGCGTTTACAGTGAGCGGCTGCAATGATCTGAACGTGTATCAGCTCCTCCTGGGCTCCCCCTTATCTGCCAAGGGTGTGCATATTTGAATGACGCTTGAGTTTCCTTTTCCTTGAGCGACCAAACTGGAGCTTGAACACTACAAAAATCGCATCCACTCCTGGTACACCTTAATCCATCCCCTGGGCATCCCCCTGCCCCTCCCCCCTCCTCCCCCAATGTGACTGCGAATAATCGATGTCAGTCGGAGAGGCAGAGGGAGAAGAAAAGCAGGAGACCACGTAAACCAAAACTGGATTCTGATTTCAACCATTTGGAAATTATCTGCAATTTTGTTTGAGTTACGGACTTTTTGTTGACTGAGGGCGGCTCTTCGGTCTGAATGTTGCCGTTTACAGCTCCTTCTATGATGGATTTTTCGTGCAGACATCGAAGTTCCAAGTTATTGACTGTAAGTTACACTTGAGGGAAATCGTTCGGCATTCTGCTACGCCTTCGAAAATTGATTTGCTTAACTTCTTGCTTAGTCAGTTTTTCCAGAAGTTTTCCCGTTTGTTCTCTCTTTATTTGCCTCTTGAAAATTTTAAACTATTGCCCTGTTCATAATTGCCATATTTTCCTTTGAGGTTACTGGACACTTGAGTACTTTACCAAAATAATGCGTCTTGTTATCAAAGTTGTTTTAGATTTTATTTCAACCGCTTCAATTGCCTTGTCAATATAACATTTGGTTACTTTGAGCCTAACAGTTCTAAGCTGCAGTCAGCGTCATTTCAAAATATCTACTCAACGCCATCTTGACATGTTGCAGGTCCTTTCATCGGTGTTTCTTGTCCTTGCGCTATGGACTCAAAAATTAAATGCTTTTTATGTTCCTGGAGTAGCCCCTGTTGAATTTAAACGTGGGGATAGTATAGATGTTAAGGCTGTCAAAATGACAAGTACTCATACTCAATTGCCGTATGAATACTACTCACTCCCGTTCTGTGAGCCCAAAAATGGCACCTTCTACAAATCAGAAAATTTAGGTAAGTTTCTGTAAATCATAAAATTTACCTTAATAGATTTTTTTCACTATCTATTTGAAATATTTGTTGTAGGTGAGGTTCTTCGTGGCGATCGAATTGTAAACACACCCTATGAAGTTCGCATGGCAGAAAATGTAACGTGTCGCTTGTTGTGTAACTCACCTGACCGACCTATCAACTGGAGGGAAATTGAATCTCAGACTGTTATCAGTCGTATTGAGCATGAATACAATGTCCACCTGTAAGTTGTGAGCACTTTAGAGACATTCTCTATCTTTGCTTCCTAAAAGTTAATAAAATTTTTATATTGTTTCAGCATTGTTGATAATCTTCCATGTGCTACAAAGATTGTGGACATGGTAACAAAAAATGTGCAGCATCGTCCTGGCTATCAACTAGGCTATCAAGTGGACAATGAGGGTTCCAACAAACCAGTTTACATCAACAATCATTTGAAACTTATTCTATACCACCACCCACATTCAGTGTAAGGTTTCTAATTATTTATTCATGAATTGTACAAGAGGGCACATTACAATATTGTTGAAACCCTTCTTGCAGAAACACTTACAGAGTAGTGGGATTTGAAGTTGAAGCTCGGAGTATCAGCTCAGATAGCATGAGATTTAATGGAGATTCCTGCCGATTCCCAGAAGGAGCAAGTGGACAAATGGTCAACCGAGTTGGTGGCACAAAGCTTTTCTTTACGTACTCAGTTGAGTGGCGGCCATCTGATGTGTCATGGGCTTCACGGTGGGACATATATCTTGGCATGAGTGATGTTAAAATTCATTGGTTCTCCATAATCAATTCCTTAATGGTTGTATTTTTCCTTTTTGGTAAGTGTTTCATTTTCCCTTTCAAATATTACCAAATTATTTTAGAAATGTTTTTATTATTTTGCATTGTATTACTTTGTGTTTTCAGGAATTTTGACAATGATTATAGTTAGAGCACTTCGAAGAGATATTGCCAGGTACAATACTTACGAAGCCCTTGAAGAGGCCATTGAAGAAACTGGTTGGAAGCTAGTCCATGGTGATGTTTTCCGTCCACCTCGGCACCCTCGTCTGTTTGCAGCAGTAATAGGCTCTGGAATTCAAATTTTTTTCATGGCCCTGTACACAATAGGTATAGTATAGTTTGTTACTCAGTTCTTTGTTGAAGTTTTCTTTCTATTTTTCTGGCAAACTTCTTCCCCATTGTTTGTTTACAATGTTTTTCTTTCACTTTTACACAGTATTTGCAACTCTTGGAATGCTTTCTCCTGCATCACGAGGTGCTTTGATGAATGCAGCCATTTCATTGTACATCCTCAAGGGGCTTATTGCTGGCTATTTTTCTGCGAGGGTTTACAAGACGTTGAAAGGTAGAGAGTGGAAGAGAGCTGCATTTTTGGTGAGTGGTTAAAAAATTAGTTGCAATAACTTCTTACTTATGTTTTTCAATAAGACAACTCTTGCTTTCAGACGGCAACATTGTACCCAGGAATTGTATTTGGCACTTGTTTCTTCCTAAACTTCTTCATTTGGGGAAAACATTCCAGTAGTGCAGTTCCCTTTGGTACTATGGTGTGGCTTATGTTCCTGTGGTTTGGTATCTCATTACCACTGGTGTATTGTGGTTACTACTTTGGCTATCGTAAACAACCTTACCAACATCCAGTCCGTACAAATCAAATTCCCCGTCAAGTCCCAGATCAACTGTGGTACATGAACCCAATATTCTGGTAAGCTTCTTTATGTAATCACAACATTATAAGTGTAATTTGAAATTGTTTTATCAAATTTACGATTTTTTTTTCTTTGGTTTAGTTCTTTGATGGCTGGTGTTCTACCATTTGGTGCAGTGTTCATTGAACTCTTCTTCATTTTCACTGCTATTTGGGAAAATCAATTCTATTACATGTTCGGATTCTTGTTCCTGGTGTTCATAATCCTGGTGGTGTCTGTGTCCCAGATATCCATTGTAATGGTGTATTTCCAACTTTGTGGAGAGGTAACTGACAAAAATTTTTCAATATAAATGTATTAATCTTTGTTGTCTCTTTTGTAACAAGCCTTTTTTTCTCCTCAGGACTATCGCTGGTGGTGGCGTTCTCTTGCTGTATCAGGAGGATCTGCCATTTATATATTTGGCTATGCAGTCTTCTACTTTTTTACCAACTTGGAAATCACTGAATTTACCCCTACACTTTTGTACTTTGGATATACTGCTCTGATGGTTATTACCTTTTGGTTTTTAACTGGTACAATCGGTTTCTTTGCTGCATATTTCTTTATCAGAAAGATTTATGGTGCAGTTAAAATTGACTAGGCGTGTTAGGAATGAAATTACTAAATTATATTTTCAGTTTTAGTGGGAGACATGTGCACTTCTATCCTTAATGGTGCTTCAATACCTATTTGTAAATATTGTAATTATAAATGTTTATTTATATAAAACGTGACTTAGTGTTAACCCAAGAAAAGTGTTGTCATCAGCTTTCAAGGATTGGTTGCCTTGGAAATCGGTGCTTGTTTGTTGGAGAGGCCTTTTGCTGGTAGCGCAAAAGCAAAGCGCTTTCAGGACACTGTGGAAAATCCCTCTGACCTCTGTGATATTAGGCACATGGCCTCTTAGTGATAAAGCTACTTTGCTGTCATCAGTCTCTTACTGGCATACTGCGCAAGACAGTTAAGTGTGCTGACAAGTGCTCCAAAAATGACAACTGACCCTATTTTTTTTGTACAGTTATCCCCTTATGACATACATTAGTAACTTTTCTTTTAATAAATAGCAAATCTTGATTGAGGATTCATTATGAGTGGTTGATTAGTTCCTTTGAGAAAACTTTTTATTAACATAGGCATGACCATGCAAAACAAAACATTGTCCAAAAAGCACAGCTTCCATCATACATTGGTTCGTCTAATAATAATTTGGGATATCATACTCTTTTCTTTTAAACACGGAAGACTACTTAATGCAGGATTGGCTAAATAACAAGAACGAGTACATCAAGCACCTAAACAGCATGTCCAACATAACGCACATCCATCACAATCTCATGGCAAGTTAAGAAGAACAGAAAAAATTGCCTTAAATAAATGATGCTTCTTAATTCAGAGAAAAAATTGTTTTGGACGGAAATTCTGAATGTTCACCCGCATCCTTATTACGTTAGACTTACCAAAGATACATAATTTGGGGTTAGCTTTAATTTTCTACAACTAGCAGTCCGCTTTTTTCTTTATCATAAGTCATAAACATAGGCTCTATTATTTTCAATTTGAATTCATGGTATTTACATAGAGTTAAGTTAATAATGTCAATACAAACAACAAAGTAGATGAACAAAATAAACCCATCTCAAGCCTCAGGTGCAATAAGTCTAGGTCAGATCACAGGTCCATAGAATATTAACAGTATAATAATTACAATAATATAAGTTGAAATATTGGTTGGTAATATGGCGATGTAGACATAGACATTGGTGCAAGAAGTAAATGTTTCCTTGAGCACCGGGACGGCCTTTCAAAAATTTTAAAAATTAAGTTTTTATTTGTTTTTATCACAGAATATATTAAGTATTCAAAAACATATTTGCATGGTTAGAATCAGTTCAAAACATCACAATCAAAAGCTGCCAGATATACCAATTAGAACCTGCTATCCAGCGTGGGGAAGTTTGGATACATAATATGAGATGAAAATCTGTACATTACATACAGAACATGATAAACCTTACAAAAAAGGTTGGATACAAAAATGCAGGCATTAACCAATGGATCACCAATGTACATCTGCATGGAGTTGTATAAACTACAAGGCGAATGGTATTCTTCATACCTTTCAATAGGTGAACAAATAACAGCTAAAGCAATAAGAATCAAATCAAGGCAAAATTGTGCATTTGCACACCACCTGCTTGGATCCCAGAAAACATGATTATAATAGTATCCATTAGCTGCCCTCCACCACTGCTGTTACAAAACATCTCCAGAGGTACGCTATGTACACATAAACAATGTGATGTCAATGTGAATAAATTTTCTTTTTTCTCTAACAAAAAAGTGATTATTGTCATAAAGGCAAGAGGGCAATATTTTTTTTGTCTTATCATGTTTAGTCTACTTATGATCAATTTTATGGCCACAGTACAACTTGCCACGTTGCCACACTTCAATATCATTAAGAGTGCAGATTATCTCTGTGGAGCACTAATAGGAAACAGGAAACGTAAAGTGGTCTGATAATATTTACAATGCAAACAAAGCACTCTGACATGATCAATTATTAAAATATGGCAAAATGAAATGCAGAAGCTCTTTTAAGTGTAGAAGTAAAAAAATATAAGTAGCTCCAAATTCACTTGTCTGAGCAACACACATCATTTCAACTATATACAGAGGAAAACAGTATTAGTCATTCTATAAAATATATGTCACCAACCAAAACAAACACCAAACTACATAATCAACAAGGAAAATTCCCTTCTTTGTACACAAATAAATAACATGCTTGTGTTTAAGTCAGCAAAGATAAAGCTTTTGATTTCAAATGTCTGACATCTACTCCGAGGGTTCTGAACAGTTTTGTTCTGGAAAACATCTGATCTGATTGATGTAGAGACAAGCACAGTTTTGAAAGACATGCCAAATTTAATGTGGGCATTAGCAGTGCTTAAAGCTAAAAATCACTGTATTTCAAAATAAAAGCTTCATCATGAAAAGCTTGCCTGGGCCTTGCAAGTTATGAAGGGGTTTTGAAGAATGCGAGGAGTTGTCTCCATCACTCGAAGCAGCAAGTTGTCCAAATAGTCTTCCAAGTCCTTCACCCGTTTCTTCTGCACTTCAGCTTTGCCTTCCATCTGAAGGATCATATCAATCAAATCCTGAAAAAATCAGAGGAATATGAATAAAATAAAAAGGATTAATATAACAGCTATGGTTTATATTTACATTCACATATTTCAGCAGAAATAAAAAACAAAAGGACAGGACAAATAGCAAAAAGTTGACATCTCAGTTTTACTACTTGCCTCTCTACTTTTATCTTCAAATCTACGCAGAACTTCTGATGATAAACGAGACTGCATCTGTGGAGAACTTTGACCATTCTTTTCCTTCTCTCGACCGACAATGATCCTCTCACCACGAGCATCAGCAATTAAATTAGCTGAACTTGGAGGTTCTGGAGCAGGTGATTTAGCCTCTGGAAATTAAAACAACAATGTAGGTTCAAAATTTGATCTTAATTTCACCACTAAAGGATCCAACATAGCCTAAAATAATACCTTTGCCCATTCGGAAGTTCTTGAATTTGGCTTTCAGATTGGACTTGGTCTTTTCTTTGTCATCATCCACGCGTTCTGGTTCGGTTCCTCCACTTCCAATCGACTGTTGAGAACCAAATGCTGAGTTGAGCCCACTTAAAGTTTTATTGAAGCTTGGTGAAGCAGGCAGTCCTGGGGATGATGGGACTGCTGGAGATGGGGCCAAAGCAGGGGAAGAGGGTGCTGCTGCAGCGACAGGAGCGGGCGTTGACGGTAGTGGAGGTGGAATGTCTTCTTGGGGCTGGGGCTGGGGCTGGTTTAGCACTGGGATGCGAGGGCTTTCCCAGGACCGTCGTTTCAGCGTATCTGTGCTGGGGGAATCTTTGCGCCCATACAACTTCTGTTCCCACTCATCAGCAGGTGGGTTAGCAGAAAGAGGAGACGCATTCGTCACAAGAGTGCGAGGCGGCTTGGATGGTGGTCCCAATGTGTTTCTACCATGAGACGAATTTGACACTCCTGAGGCTGAACGGCGAAGAAATTCACCACCAGCCAAATTTTCCATAGAGCCAGATACAGGAGTATGATGTGCTCCAGTGGATCCATGTACATTGAGAGAGCTTCCTGAACTCTTGTGAGACAGCTCATCAAACTGAAAACAGCAGAACTCAGTAAATCTGACCTTTAAAACAACATAATATAAAAGAAACTCCGGTAAGGATACATACCCGAAATTCATCATCACTTTCACCTTCACTTATGACACCTGGATCTGCATCTCCAATCCTCTGACCATAAGATTGGTAAACTGAGCCCTCAGGTAGAACTTCTTCGCTAATCTGTTTCTTTGAGCCCCTGCCAACTTTGGCTCCGATGGACTTGGCCAGTTTCTTCAAACCTTTCTTCTTCTCCAGACTCCCAATACTGAGCAGGCTGCCCCCTGTCAAATTAAAAAGTTGCTGTAGTTTTCCCTAAGAGTGTATAAGAAGGAATGGTACTGAAAAATTAGGACAATCTACTTACCAACAGACTGTGCCATGTGTGACAACTGTCCCAAAGAAGACTTGTGCTTTTCTTTTTTACTCAGGTCAGTGAGAGATCCTGCTTTCACAATGAAGCCCACTTTTACCTCAAGTTCCCCACGTTGTTTGTCCTTGCCTTTCTCCTTCCCAGGTTTGCCCCGCAGAGTGTACCACCTAGCAGAAGCAAGCAATAATAAAATTTATGCTCCTTACAGGAACAACACAACACCCACACACATTGGAACATTTAAAAAAATATTAAAACAAAGCAGCTTATTTTTTTTATCATGCATCACATATGATGACTGACCCATATTTCACTGGATTCCATATAGGAAATGGTCCCCCCATATATTGTCGTTCTACATAATATCTCATCAAAGCAAATCCTCCAATCGGACACATTTTAACAAAAAAAAGTCAGACAAGAGGGAATATTTCCATGCGCAGCCTCTAGAAGAACCCATGTTACTGGAGAGGAGGCAGTGAGAGTGCATCTCCTCAATGTGTGTCTCAACACCTACACACCAGCAAAGGGAAATGGAAGGGGAAGGAGAGGTAGGGATCTGTGGGGGATGCACACAGTGTGCAGGACAATGCTAGAGACATTCAAGGTCTCTGTCTTGCAGCAGCAGAATGTAACGCAAAAATAAAATAAAATAATAATATCCCTAAAGTGCAGTGTTCCACTCCTCAAAAATGAAAGCATATGAGAAATTTTCTTTAGAATAAATTTACAAATATAGTGAACTAACCTGTTGCGTGGCCTTTCATATACGTCAAATTCTGCTAAAGGAATGCTGACTGTTCCCAAAAACTCATCTACACCAAGAAAATTGCGATGGAGTGCAGTGAGAGTGATCTCTGCTGTATTGCCATGTTTAGGGATTTCCCTGAAAGAAGAAAGAGAAATAAAACCATCAAAACAAAAAAAAGGCAGCTATATCTGCCCCGATGTACCAGAGTAAAAAATTTAAATAACTACTTAAATATTTTTGTTTCAAAAAAGAAAAAAAATTGCTTTTTACTCTGTAGCTAGTGAAACACTCATGATGACCTCCCACAGTGACCATTCACTGACATTAGGCAACCAGCAAGGCCTCCAAGGCCTGCAAGGTCAGAGACCCATTGTCACACCCACTCAAGTCTTCTTCAGCTCTACAGGTCCAACAGACTCTTTGACACACTTTACCACAAGTATCAACAAGGCGCTATCTCTATTTTCTTCAACTCAGATTTTAGCAGGTGTTTTATAGGAGATTAATCTAAAAAAATGAGAAAAAAAAAAGGGCATTAATACTTACAGTTCACACTCTTCATGCCATTCAATATTGGTTGGTGCCTTTTCTTTAACAGATGTCTGGTACTTTTCCTTCCCGAGGGCGATAGTGACAAATGCGTCGTTAAGTCCTGAGGTAAACAAGAGACATTAAGTAAATTGTTTTCTTTTTAAGAGAAAATCTTAAACAGCATTCATCTCACATTTAATAATAAAAGTCATACATGACTCACCATTTTTGCCTTTGATTAAAAGTCCTCTGGCTTTTTGGACTGCAATAAAATAAAACAGAAAATACAATTTTCATTTTTAGCAGTGTACATTTTTTTTAGGTAGTGAACAGGATAGGAGACAACATCAAAGCACATTAAAAATAAGATAAAGAGAGCACAGCAATGATCAAAAGATACCCTAACGACATCAATACTATCCATTTGCAGATGAAAGAAAACATGGCCTACATTTAGTAACGTATGAGTGAGCACATCATAACAGCGTTGTCGGTGAGTTCAATTTGATGGAAAGGGCTGAATGGAGGCTACAGCAATGGACAACACGGACAGGCGATTTATTGCAACTTTAAATGGAGAACAAAGACCAACTGAAACATTGTCACCAAGCCCAAAAGAAATCCTAGGATTATACCTCAGGTCATTTGACATTCCAAAATGACAACGTTGTCAAGTCAATAAGAGAAGGGGTTGCTAGTCACAAATGGCTATATTTGAAGCTCAGTCCAGCCTATAATGACTTTGAGTACAAGTAAAGTAAGAACAACACATAGATAACAGAGCAGAGGTTATTAGTCACCAACTAGGCTAACTGTACCAATAATAGAACCAGAGATCTCAGTTAAGGAGCAATGCTTCCTAATATGTCACTACAATTCTGCACACTTCAAAATAAAGCGTGAACGTATAGACCCACTGAAAAACCTCACCTGTCACTTGGACGTGTGTGGGACTCCACATTCTAAAGTCAGGAATTCGCTGCTTCACACGTCACTGCAGACATAGATGGGTTGGGACGTCTACAATCACCGTTATTCGTTACTCGAGCTCAAACACACTAGCACTGCATCGATGCGATGCAGTCACGTCAGAGTACCGATAGGAAAACTGATAAAAAGAGGACGGGATGATTCAACGAATGAGTTCAAAACAAGCAATTAATAAAAATAAGAAAAAATAAACACAGGATGTAAAGTTACGGCGAAGTGTTTGCGCAGCCGCCGCTAGATGGCGCTTGTGTTCCGCCGAATCCACACAATCCACACCTGCCGTCATGGCACTGTGGAAATGATTGGAAAGCAAAATCAATTTGTGATGATAAGTTATTGTTTCAATTCTACACCTGTTGCAATGATTTCAGTTTCTAATTTCTTGGTTAAAAGCTGGTTTTGACCGGTTACCGTGTTCGTCAGACACATCTAGAGGTATGTAAAGACCTTGTTTGTGTACTCTTCCACACCCATCGGTCAGCTTCATCCAACATTGTCAAATATTATTGCAAGTATTGGTCAGCGTACTTTCCTTTTGGACCTCCCCCACAGTTTCACTCAGCACTGTCTCTCGCATACCATGGTTTTCCTCCTTGCACTTCATCCACATCTGCCATAACCTTCCCGTTAGGTTAGGTTGATAAATATTTGACACTCCTCCATATCGCTCATTGACCTGTTTTTCCGAATATCTACCTCGTGCCCATTTCCTACTGGTTGTTCATTTCTTTCCATTCTCCCAATTTATATTTTATTTTCTTGTTTCAGGTTAATTTTCAGTGTATGAATGAAATAGTCAAATTCTTTCAAAATGTCGTCATCAGCTGTTTATTTGCTGGATGTGAAAGGGAAGGTGAGATTAACAACCTTGGTTTGCTGCTGCTTCCCTCAGCGGTTTGAAATTAAGCACTTTCTTCTGGGGGTGCTATGGTCTCTCATTCAATATGTTCGCAGGTGTTAATTTCCCGAAATTATCGAGGTGACATTGACATGGGAGTGATTGAGAAGTTCATGCCTCTTCTCATGGAAAAGGAAGAAGAGGGGCTTCTGACTCCCATTCTCCAAACTAATGATTGCACTTTTGCTTATATTAAGTACAATAACTTGTACATTGTTTCCACAACTAAGAAAAATGCCAACATTGCTTTAGTTTTTACGCTTTTACACAAGATTGTTCATGTGAGTATGGTTTTGCATGCTTATTCATGTGGCTTATATATAGTGCTCCTTACACCTCATTACAAACTTCTGGTTGCAGGTCATGATAGAATATTTTAAAGAGCTGGAAGAAGAAAGTATCCGTGATAATTTTGTGGTTATATATGAATTATTAGATGAATTGCTGGACTTTGGCTACCCCCAGACAACTGACAGCAAAATTCTCCAAGAGTATGTTTCATCAAGATTCTTTTATGCCAGTTATCTTTCAAAGATCTTTTCAAATATATGTTTTGCTTCTTATTTTGCCTCCAGGTATATCACTCAGGAAGGACACAAACTTGAAATTCAGCCCCGACCGCCTCCTGCTGTCACAAATGCTGTGTCCTGGCGCTCTGAAGGCATTAAATATCGTAAAAACGAAGTTTTCTTGGATGTAATAGAGTCTGTGAATCTATTGGTGAGAGTCACTCTCTTTTTTCACGTACAATTGGCTGAGTTAATTCTAATTTGTGGCTAATTTGTTTCCTTATCCCCTCTGCTTTCCAGGCTAATGCCAATGGAAATGTCTTGCGAAGTGAAATTGTTGGAGCCATCAAAATGAGAGTGTATCTATCAGGAATGCCAGAATTAAGACTGGGTTTGAATGATAAAGTTCTTTTTGAGAGCACTGGTCGAGGAAAGTCCAAGTCTGTTGAACTTGAAGATGTGAAATTTCATCAATGTGTCCGTTTATCAAGGTATTGTTAAGGCTCTTTGCATCTTCTAGTTTTAAATATTGAGGAGGGTATGCCATTTATTCAAAAACATATTGTCTTGTAGGTTTGAGAATGATAGAACTATCTCATTTATCCCTCCTGATGGGGAATTTGAGCTTATGTCTTACCGGCTCAATACACATGTGAAGCCACTCATTTGGATTGAGTCTGTAATTGAGAGGCATGCCCACAGTCGTGTTGAATACATGATCAAAGCAAAGTCACAATTCAAGCGCCGATCAACAGCCAACAATGTTGAAATCGTGATACCGGTCCCAGCAGATGCAGACTCACCCAAGTTCAAGACAACTATTGGCAGTGTGAAATATGCTCCTGAGCAGAACGCCATTACATGGACAATTAAATCATTCCCGGTATGTATAATATAGTTCCACTTGTAATACCCATTCAATTTAAGTAGTTAATTTTTCAAAACTTTTATTTTTATTTTTCAAAATAATTTAGGGGGGCAAAGAATATCTTATGCGAGCACATTTCGGTCTACCAAGTGTTGTTTGTGAAGATTCAGAAGGGAAACCACCCATCCAAGTCAAGTTTGAAATTCCCTACTTTACCACTTCAGGCATTCAGGTATGCAAATTTTATGATGATTGGTTCAAAATCCTTACAGGTAAACGGGCTTTTAACCTTTTTGCTTTTATTTTTCCAGGTCAGGTACTTAAAGATTATTGAGAAGAGTGGTTACCAAGCTCTTCCTTGGGTGAGATACATCACTCAAAACGGGGACTACCAGTTGAGAACAAATTGAGAGCTGTATCATGCAATTACATACTTGTATTTTTGTGACGGCTTGACTGAACGGTTTTGTTCTGTTTTCCTATTGTTACTGATAAGTTTGTCAGAAGTATATAGTTGTAATTTAATTGTGATGTTATATTGTTGCAACTTCACTGTCATTCACTTGTCAACTTCTTAATCAATACCAGGAAGTAACTGGTGCCTTTGTTTATAAAAATCAGTATTTCTTTTGAAGATAAAATTATTTTAACCATTTTATGAATTTAAATTTTCTTACAAGAGTCTGCCCAACTTAAAGAAATCTTACACAATAAGTTATTCCAAGTAGACATGACACTTGATGCTGATGACTGAGAAATAGTAAATTCTGGCATTTTTTTAGTTGTCTTGTTACAGTGTATTGAAATTTGTTAATTGCCTTCAAACTTAAATCTTTGGAGCCTTTATTCTAAATGATGTCTTTAGTATAGTGTGGAAGTGACCTTTCATGTAGGCAAGAATAACATCTGCGTGTAGGTGCAGGCTTTTGAGGAGTTGTCATGTTGAGTTAGCGTGAATGGTTTCCAAATGGTATCATCAGAACGAATCATTCAAGACCAAATGGACAATCCCATTGGTCTTTATTGGTGTATATAATGCTAGATTGTTTTTATTAGTTTTTATGACTTGCAGAATTTTTAATTTATGCCTCTGTGGTTTTAAACTCTTAAAGACAGGTTTGTTCCTAAATTGACCTACACTCCTGACAATGGGTACTAAACTAAGTCTTTGGTCTTCATATTTTTTAAATGTTATTTTGTTGACTTAAATAGTAAACTTTGCTTTCTCCTTTATTTATTCTTCTTGTTTTGTTTATCTGTTGTGTTGTTGACATGGAGTTTGACAATGAAATCGACACTGTACAATGTTTGGCTTTTATATACTGAAATCAGTTCACATTTATTTTGGTTAGGTCTCACAATCATTGATTGATAGGGTGTAATTTTTGATCAATTGTTGCCTTGAAACATGGAAAGTTTTGCAAAAGAACATCAGCAAAGCAAATAAATAAGTTAATAAATAAATAAATAGATTCATAAATACTTAATAATACTCATCTACACCACGCAGGATCTAGTCATTCGACAACGAAATACAGGTAAATGGTTTCGAAACATTCACTGATCCAATCACCCCGGGCATTAATTTTTAACATCATTCCTTGCCCACAAATGCGCTTTGCGCTCTAGGCTGGAACTCACTCCAGAACTATGACTAGCTTCTAAGGAACATGCCACCGGAGGACAGGCCAGCATTCGAGTTGGAAGTTATCGGAAGGTCAACGTCATTGCGCTCACTGCCAGCAGGCCAAGTCTGTGCGGATCAAGTTAAGCATGATAAATATTGCAGGAAATGGTCTCGTCGAATTTCTGAATGGGACCCATAGGTGACGCAGCTGCCAGCCCCTAACTTCCCAACTCGACCATTCCTCCGCTCAGAGTCGGGCAATGCTTTCAGTTAGCGCCTGGAAGCAAGAAACGAACAATCCTGCCTCTGGGCGCAGCCACCCTCACACCTCAGCCCCTTCACCTTCACCTTCACCTGCGCCGCCTGACGTCGGTGTTGCTGCGGGCCGCGGCGCGCGCCTCCTTCTTGGACACCTTCTTGGAGAAGTCCTTGTATTTGTCGATGGCGTCGAGGACGAAGGCGGTGGTCTGGCTGAGGCGGTCCGGGGTGAGGTAGGAGCGCATTGTGTTCCTGGTGAGGCCGAGGCCGAGGAAGGAGATGGTGCAGAAGGGCGTGAAGGCGCACACGGCCGTGGTGAAGGCGCCGCCGATGAGCAGCAGAAAGAGGAAGCCGAGCGCGAACAGGCCGACCTTGGGGAACAGCTTGATGCCCAGCTTGGGGAAGGGCAGCAGCGAGCCCAGGAGGCCGAGGCCGCCCAGGGCCGCGGGCGCGGACACGGAATGGCCCTGGTAGGGCACGAGGTAGCCCTCGTAGCCAGTCTGCACGCTGAAGCCGGGCTCGGAGTAGCTGTAGGCGGCGGGGTAGAACGCGGCCGAGTCGTCCAGCGCGGCCACGTCGCCGGCCTCGGGGGCGGCGGCGGCGTAGGCCTGGGGCGGCGCGGGCGGCCCGTAGGATGCCGCGGGGACGGCGACGGCCTCCTGGGAGGCGGCGGGGGCGATGGCGGCCGCGGCCAACGCGATCAGCAGCAGAGGCACCATGCTGCAAGCAAGACAAGCGGGACCGGCTGTTAGGTTCGTGTGAGGGAAACGCCTGAGAAGACGGCTAGAGCCCTGGTAAATCCCAATTTCAACGGACCAAACCAAAAAGTAAGAATATTTCGCAGAAAAATAATGAGAGTTAGCATTTTGGAAATTGAGTCAAACTGCCACCAAGCCGTTTGTCCTGGCTGGCGGTCGTCAAGTCATTCCAGAAAATTGTACTCAATTCGCTTAGAATACCTCGAGGCGTTTAAGTCTCCGGGGGAATGCCTCTCTACCAACGTCACAATTGACAAAACTTTTCGAACTGAAGATGATGAACACTTACCTGATTGGGGTAATCCTGTTTCTCCTAATCACACACACACACACACACACTCCGCAACGCACGCCACGCGCTACGCACTCAACCGGCACGAGTCGAAAATGGACAGAGAATGGTGGTCGCGGCCCTGGGCCTGCCTTTATACCCTGCCCCACCCGCGCCCCTCCCGCCCTGCACCGCCCTGCCGGCCGGGGAGGGGAGGGGTGGGCCCTGCACTCCTTGCACCAACCCCCCTCCGCCACGCAGCCATGCCACGGAGATGCATGCACGCGGACACTTGAGCCCCATCGTCGACGGGGTGGTTTCGGGGATGGGGGAATCTAGAGAATAACGTCACAAGTGGGGTAGGTAAGCACCCCAGAAGCGTCCACTAAAACACACCAACGCTGCCTCGAGCTCACAGTGGGGCGTATTCGAGGGTCTGCCCAACCCACGAAGGACTTACTTGAGAAATGGAGAATCGGCACCGGTCCTCATACTTCGAGAGGGGCGGAAGGTTCTCTTCGTCTCTCTGTCTCTGTCACTCTCAGGTGTTGATCCGTGAGGGTGCGAGAGAGACAGAGCGAGTCTGCCGCCCTGCCGAGAGGGCTAGGGCTGGCCGAGAGGTAGCGGCCGATCCCCGATCAGCAGTAATGAGCGAACGGCGGCGCGGCGGGTGGCTTCCGAGCGGCGCTCCGTCTATCTCGCACCCCAAAACCCCAACGGGGCGCCCCACGAGTGCGAGAGAGACGGCGCGACGGCGGCCGTACGCTGATGCAGTGCGCACCGCGGCCGGCTTGGGGTGACTTTCGCCGCCCCGTCACTCCGTCACCGAGCCGCCCTCCATTGAGGAGGGAAGGGAGAGACATGCGCGCCGCGGGACGGGTTGGCGCCTCGCCTGCCCGCCGCCCGGCCGGCAGGGGCAGATTTGTGCTGCGTTGCGCGTTGCATCACGGACAAGCGCGCAGTGTGCCAGAAGACACAGGACTCGAACCAAACGCGTCACACGTTCGGTTCGAGTCCCATTTAGCGACTCTGGCGCTCAAAACGCGTCTTGAATTTTGGCGGGACCCTCTACAATTGCCCTTTTTAGAGGGGGTGGGCAGGTTGGCACTCGGCGGTTTTGGCGCTCTCCCTCGCCACCCGCGCAGGCTGCTTAGTGCTGGTGTTAGTGCAGGTGCGGCCGGGTGGGATTACGGCCCAGAGCCTCATTAGGGGCCATGCAAGGCGCGCACTGCACGCACCCCCACACGGAGACAAAGAGGGCCTGCAGCGAGTCCAGCATCTCCAGGACGAGGATTAAGCACTCGCTGCTCGTCCGGGCGCGAGGAAGACGAAGAAAAGCTGTTGCACGTGTGGTTTCCTGTCAAGAATCGATTTCAGATGCCACGCCGCGGCGGCCGGCACGGTGGCCGTAGAGGGCCGCCGGCTCACTGGTGCAAGGCGAAAGTAGGACAGGCCGACAGGCCACCCCCGACTGTCTGCGCGTTTGCGCGCCTTTCCCCGCCGGCGACGGCGACGCGGAGCTCTGCTCGCCCCGCGCCTACACCTCAAGCCGAGCTGGCCGAGCTGGCAGCACATTTCGGGTCGTTGAGTCACCGCGCCGCGACATGCGTGTGCATGTGGATATGAGGCGCTGGATCATCTTCACTTTCGGTTTGACCCCGGCGCCGCACCACCACGCCTACCGCAAGCCACGGCGCCTGGCGGCGAGGGGGTGGATGGAGGGTAGGAGAGCGCACAGTGGGCCAGAAGACCGGTGGAGGCGGCCAAAACTATAGGCGCGTTTTGATCTCCAGCGTCGTTAAACAGGACTCGAACCGAACGTGTGACCCCATCAATGGATTTCTCTCCGAACGAGGAATCCATTGATGGGGTCACACGTTCGGTTCGAGTCCTGTCGAGCGAGGCTGAAGCTCAAAACGCGTCTAGAGTTTCTGGCCCACTGTGAGCGCCTTCCTGGACATCCCTCTCCGGCGCAGCGCGGGGAAGGCGGGTATGCTTGGAATGGGATGGCCGGGACAAAGTTTTTACTTTCCGCCGTCGGCGGTAGGGCAAGCAGGATAAGCAGACAAGTCGGGCCATTGTCTGTGCAGGCCAGCCAGCCAGCCATTCAGCCGAGCGAATCAGAGGATCGGTTTGTCGCCCTGTCTCTCTCGCGCCCTCACGGAGAGCCCCATACTCGGGCTAGGGCCAGCTCTACGGCTAGCTAGGGCAGGCTGGCGGGGAATGCTGGCCCCTCCAGAAGTACCTGGGTAAGAGGCTTGTGCGTCAGACAGACAGGCCGGACGCGCGAGGGGCCGAGTGTTTGTCGCGTTGTCTCTCTCGCACCTGTACGGCAAGCCCAACGAGTGCGAGAGAGACAGAGCGCCGTTCGGAATGGCAACGCAGGGCGCGCCTCCTGAGTACTGCAGTACACTGCGAACGCGGTTTTCCCTCGCCGGGGGTGGGGGTGGGGGTGGGGGTGGCTGCCCAGGGCTGCCCACTGGAGTGGCCGGAGGGGGTGGGGAGGGTGGGGGTGCCACAGAGACTATATAAGGCTGCAGAGCGGTCCGGACCAAACATTCATCCCTTCATCCGCTACAAGAGGTAGGTGTTCGGCTGCTGCGCGCGCCCGCTGTTGTTGTTGTTGTTGTTGTTGTTGTTGTTGTTGTTGTTGTTGTTGTTGTTGTTGTTGTTGTACTGAACCCGGTGGAATTTTGCCGTGCCATCGACTATTAGTGAACCCGTGCTTGAGCCAAATTTGCTGAGAAGATCGTGAACCCTGTGCCCAGCATGGCTCTGAACCAATTTAACGTCGGTTAGGTGTTTGAAACGCTCGATAGGGAGGCGTGTGTTAGAAGGCAGCCTGTACGAAGTCATGTACTCAGTGCCGATCGTCATTAGCAATAGCAATAGCGCCCTCCCCAAGCGGCGAGGCTGGCGAGTAGGTTGGGTTGCCTACCCGTGTTTGCCAGGCGCCTCCGAGGCAACCCATCAAACGCGCAAACGCGGAGCCGAAAGTGAGACTGTCTCTTCACCGTCAAATCTTCGTGTTCCGCAGCCCCACCATGCAGCCCTCCGCCGTCGCCGTGCTGCTGGCGGCCCTCCTGGTGGCCGCCCCCGCCCTGGCCGCGCCCTCCCCGTCGGAGGACGCCCCCAAGGCCAGCCCCCGGTACATCCAGACGGCCAGCGACGTGCAGGACGCCGAGGACAACAGCCTGAAGCAGGTGTACTACGAGGCGAGCAGCGAGGACGGCTCGTCGGACCTGCAGCTGCACCAGGGCGTGACCCAGGGCGAGCAGGCCGGCGCCGAGGTCGCCACCAGCCCGACCGCCCCCGCGCCCATCTCCCTCGGAGGCATCAGTGAGTAGCCCGGGTTCGAATCCCGCACCTACAGACTTTCCCCGTCGTCCGCTGCTGACCCTCTTTTCCTTGGCCCCTCCCAGTGACCTCCGTGTGGGACTTGGTGGTGTCCTGGGTGCGCGGCTTCCTCGGCCTGCAGCGCCACGACCCTCCCCGCATGGCGCGCGCCATCCTGGGCGCCGCGGCCGGCGACGAGCAGTGCTGGAGGACCACCGCGTGCCAGGCCGGCCGCCTCCTGCGCGGCCTCAACGAGAAGGAGTTCATCTTCATGTAAGTAGCGCCTTTCTTCCCTCTTCTTTATGCGCTTAGCGCACTGATTTCGAGAGTCGTTTTCGTCGCTCTGTCTCTCTCGCTCGCACCCACCCGGAGCAGCGCCCCGGGTAGGCGCGAGAGAGACAGAGCGACGAAAACGACTCTCAGAATCAGCCTGAGACTAACGCCGCGGACTTGGTGTGCTGCAGGATGATGGAGCGGCTCAGCCCCCCGCAGTGGAAGGGGGTCGTCAAGGGCATGAGGAGGTCCGCCATCGACAACGAAGACTGCCGCATGTACGAGTGTGACGCCTGAAGTTCCTAATTTCTGTACCTATTTATTCGCCGCATTATTTATTGCCTTATTTATTGACTGACTGTTTAATTTAAGTATTTATTAATAAATTATTCTCCCCATTTTAAGTCTTGTTTGTCCAATGTTCTTCCTTGCTCCCTGGAAATATATAACACACAAAATGAAGTCCCATTTGACCGAAAGTGAGGGAAGGACAGGGGGTTCGTCGGGGTCGGGGCAGGTTTGGCGGCGGTCTGAGCGTGTTGTCAACACAGCGCCACTCGCCGCTCGCTTAGTAATTAGACTAAGGTGGCGGGGCGGGGCGGGGCGGGGCGCGGAGGGAAGGCCGCGCGAGCGGTGAGGCTGTTGGCACTCCTGGCCTGCCGGCCCCGTCCCGTCCAGTCCAGTGTGCTGTGCGGCTGTCCTGCGCTGCGACACTGTGACACTCGGCGGACGGCGCGGGACGCGCGGGACGGGCTGTCACCAGCTTGGGGGCCATCTCCAGGTGAGAGCCGAATCAAAGAACCTGACAGAAATAAATTCAAAAAGATATTTAGAGTTACAAGTCAAGATTTTCATTACAGAAAAGAATTTACAGCTCATGATACAAGCAAGATAGAACCATGTATACCTTCTGCTTTTAAATGGCAGTGATAACTTGTACGTTTTGCCAATTGGTTTTTTACTGCCAGCGCGACTAGTGTACTCACTCTGGCCAGAGACTCCTGTTCAGCCCCTCTCTCTCCATTTACTTACGAGACTTGCTCGAGTGCGACAGAGACAGACCGTACACTCTAAATATGGGGTGCCCAGAAACTGGGCGCCTTTGTCGCCTGCCCCACTTTTTAGGGTGCCAAATGTCGCCCAGTTTCTGGGCACCTTTGTCGCCCAGTCTCGGGGTGGACTAATCATGCAGTAACCGGCCCTCTCCCATGGTAGAGCATGCACAGATGTCTAGTTCCTGGGCGACTAAGGTGCCCAGAGTCTGGGCACCTTTGGCACCTTAGTCGCTGCTGAGCCATGGGTGAAGGCAGGTTCCTTAATGGTTTGCCCACCCCGAGACTAGGCGACAAAGGTGCCCAGAAACTGGGCGACATTTGGCACCCTAAAAAGTGGAGCAGGCGACAAAGGCGCCTAGTTTCTGGACACCCTACATTTAGAGTGTAGTCCTGGCCGCGACTGGCTCCCGACGCCTCTCGCAGCGAGCGGTGCGGGGCGGTGTGTCGCGGTGTTCGCCGGCATTCAGGTTCCCCAGCCGAGCGATACAGACCGTGGTGGTGGTGTCTCTCTCGCACTCGTGGCGCGCTCCGGGGTGCGAGAGAGACAGAGCGACGAAAGCACCGTTCAGGCTGCAGATAAGTCGGCGAGGTGCAAGATAAATCCGCAGCATACAGCAAACACACTGGCCTCGAGGGAGACGCGGCGCGGATGCAAAATGCAAATTATTTTTGAACGTGTAGGGGACACAGCCAACGCAGACACACAGTGCCCCAGTGCGTGCGTCACCTGCTGAGCGATTCAGAAGAGTCGCTCTGTCTCTCTCGCACTCACGGTGTAGGTGCACCGTGCTCGCACTCCCACGGCACGAGTGCGAGAGAGACAGCGGCGGCCTGTTCGGAAACACATAGCCGGCGCAGAGTTCGTAACACCGACCGTCTTGTTGCAGGCAGGATGCACCGGGCGGCGTTGTTGCTGGCCGTCATGACCGTCATGACGGCGGCGGTGCGCGGGCTGGGGGTCGACGGCGACCTCGACCACCACGACGCGCCGCCGCGGCCCTGGGAGGCGTACCAGCAGGCCTTGGCCACCGAGCCCCGGCACGCGCTCAAGCTCCCGGAGGGCTTCCTCTTGGGCACCGCAACGTCCTCGTACCAGATCGAGGGCAACTGGAACACATCGGGTGCGGGCTGCTTGGAGATCTAGTGACCGGAGCACAGTGGACCAGAAGACCGGTGGAGGCGGCCAAAACTCTAGACGCGTTTTGAGCTCCAGAGTCGCTAAACAGCACTCGAACCGAACGTGTGACCCCACCAACGGATTCCTCGTTCGGAGAGCAATCCATTGGCGGGGTCACACGTTCGGTTCGAGTTGTCACACTGTGCGGCGTGACGGGAGGCAGTTGGGACCGTCGTGCTAGACGACGCGCTGCTTGTCCTGCTGCAGGCAAGGGGCCCAGCGTGTGGGACGACACCCTGCACCGGGAGCCCTGGCGGACGCCGGACCGCAGCAACGGCGACGAGGCCTGCGACTCCATCCACCTGTACCGCCGCGACGTAGAGATGGTCAAGGAGTTGGGGGTGCGTCTCTAAGTCTTTGTCGCCGTCCTGGTGCCCACACTGTGGCCCCACACTGTGGCCCCACAGCAGCCTAATGGCCCTGTCCGCTCCGCTCCCCCAGATGGACACGTACCGCATCTCGCTGTCCTGGCCCCGCATCCTGCCCGACGGCACACTGGCCAGGTTCAGCCAGGAGGGCCTCGACTACTACGAGAAGCTCGTCGACGAGATCCTGGCCAAGGGGATTCAGCCGATCGTGAGTCGCGGCGCGCTTTATCGAGGCGGGAAGTGCTAATTTAACGCCAATCTTTCAAACGACCGAACACATCTGGCAAGCTGTGGGCACGACTGGCGTAGAACAAAGAATACCAAGAAAAGTGTTTTAAAATAAAGCTCTTTTCCACACCTAACGCTACAAGCAGTCACCGTGTTGCACAGTGGGCCAGAAGGACAGTGGGAGGCGGCCGAAATTCTAGACGCGTTTTGAGCTCCAGAGTCGCTAAATGGGGCTCGAACCGAACGTGTGACCCCACCAATGGACTGCTCTACGAACGAGCAATCCATTGGCGGGGTCGCTGGAGCTCAAAACGCGTCTAGAGTTTAGACCACCCCCACCGGTCCTCTGGCCCACTGTGTGTTCCGCCTGACTGCACTTGACTGCTCGCCTCGCCAGGTGACGCTGTTCCACTGGGACTTGCCGCTCACCCTACAGCAGCTGGGCGGCTGGTCCAACCCCGCCATCGTGGACTACTTTGAGGACTACGCGAGGCTGGTCATCGCCAAGTTCGGCGACAGGGTGAGGGAGGGTCCCTGGGAGGGTGGTGGTCTAAGTCACAGCGCACAGTGGCCTTCTGGCTCAGTGTGCAGCGGCCGGGATGTATTTTTAAAACTGAAAAATTCTCCGCTTTGCAAAGCTTTACCGCTTTATCGTGTATTGACTGCGTCGCTGCGCCAAATAATCTCACCCTGACCCGCGTACCGCACGCCGCGTATCGCCCAGTTTCAGATACACACAGTCCGTCCTTCAAATTTGGAGGCGCGCAGTAACTTAGGTTCCTAAGCGCGCGCTCTCGGTTTCTACTTGGCGCTGTTTCACAGTGGGCCAGAAGACCGGTGGAGGCGGCCAAAACTCGAGACGCGTTTTGAGCTCCAGAGTCGCTAAACAATACTCGAACCGATCGTGTGATCCCACCAATAGACTCCTTGTCCGCAGAGAAATCCATTGGTGGGGTCACACGTTCGGTTCGAGGCCTTTTTAGCGACTCTGGAGCTCAAAACGCGTCTAAAGTTTTGGCCGCCTCGCCGGTCTTCTGGCCCACTGTGCGTTTCTGACGTCAGGCGACACTCCGCACGACGTCGATGCCGATTCCAAGCAGCCAACTGATTCCGAGTCGTTTTCGTCGCTCCGTCTCTCTCGCACCTACAGGGAGCGCCCCATGAGTGCGAGAGAGACGGAGCGACGAAAACGACTCTCGGAATGAGTGTGCTGACGAAACCGACCAGTTGTGACCGTCGGCGTCGCGCGGCGCGTCGTCCTGCCCGACTGGTTTTCGGTAAAGTCCGCGGAATCGAACGTCGAACGCAGTCACCTTCCCGTCGACCGCCGGCGGAGGGCAAAGGGTCCAAAATAAAAACAACAACAAAATGAAAACTTGTTTCTGGCGCAGGTGAAGCTGTGGGTGACGGTGAACGAGCCCTTCCAGGTGTGTGAGTTCGGCTACTCGGACGTCATCATGGCGCCCTTCTACAACCTGCAGGGCGTCGGCGGCTACCTCTGCACGCACTGGATGCTGCTGGCCCACGCCAGGGTGTACCGGATGTACAAGAAGGACTTCGCCGGGCAGAACGGTGCGCCGCTCCGCGTCAAACTTGAATGATTGCCGCGGCATTAGTGTGTCCCAGGACGAGGCCAAAACAATGGCGCTCAGAAAGACTGGTGGAGGCGGTCCAAATCCCGGACGCGTTTTGAGCGGCAGAGGCGCTAAACAGGACTCGAACCGAACGTGTGACCCCACCACCACCAATGGATTCCTCGTTCGGAGAGCAATCCATGGATGGGGTCACACGTTCGGTTTGTGTCCCATAAGCGACTCTGAAGCTTCAAACGCGTCCGCGTGTCCCTCCAGCGTGAAATGGGTTGCAAATGCCCGACATGTGTTTCCTTCCCTCTCGCTCTGCAGGTCGCATGGGGATCGCAATCCACTCCTTCTGGTTCGAACCCGCCAACCCCGAGGACGAGAAGGACTACGCGGCCGCCGAGCGGGGCATGCAGTTCAACGTGAGTGCACGGGAAAAGACTAAGTTTTATCCCCGCCACTGGTCGAAAGGGTTGCCAACCTCAGTCTGCCTTGGCAACCTCTCGAGAGCAAAGCCCTCCCAGATACGGTTTCGTAGGTAGTAAGACCCTTTCGACACACTGAGGGAATTTTTTTGCCCGTGGTAACAGCGATTTTGTCGGCTCGCAGCTCGGGTGGACGGCGCACCCCATCTTCGTGGGCGACTACCCCCCTGTGATGCGGGCCATGGTGGACCGCGCCAGCGCCGACAAAGGCCTCCTGCGCTCCCGCCTGCCGCAGTTCACCGCCGAGGAGGTCGCGCTAATCAAAGGTACTCGCCGGAAAGATTTAAAATAAACCTCCTTTTGAATTTTCTTGGAGTAAGAACCTCTCCCGCCAGGGCACGGCTGATGCGGTTGCTGCCGGTTGGTGCTCGTGCCGTGGATTTAAACCAGTTATCGGAGTAAAGAGCCCGCTGACAAGTCAACCATCGAAGTGGCAATTCGTCACTATAGAGCTGCAATCGATCACTTTACGGGGTGACTTTGCAGGAGTTTCTATTTTACTGACTGTCTGGGTGCTGACGCTGCAGTATGCAATCACCTGCCGTGGGAAAAGTACCAAGGAGTGCTAACCCACCAAAAAAATGTCTGCACGTGAACGGCAACACACAGAAAACTGAAGTGCGCTCATGTGTGCTGCTGAGTGAGTACACACATAGATCAAGTGTGAGCTCATTTCCACAACGCCCACCGTTAAGACGGTGGTTGTTTATTTAAAGTTGTGACTTTTTTTTTGCTTTGACGTTTAGACGGCGTTTGGTTATTTAAAGTAGTGATTTTTGTTTGCTTGGACGGTATTTGGTAATTTCAAGTTGTAATTTTCGCTTGCTTGGCACTCGCTGACCCCATGACCCTGTATCGCCGAGCCTGCCCGAGCTTGCCGACCCCCGAAATGGCGGCTTTCTGTGCTAATTGGTGCACGTGCGCCCCGCGTGGCTCGGGGGAGTCGAGGCCTGGTCGGGGCCGCCGCCCGGGCCTCGTGCTCGCTGCTGCTCCGCCCGCTCGGATTAATTGCATGGCGACTATCGCACAACCGTTTAAAATCATTGGCAGGAATTTGACCCCGATCCTCGGCGGCCGCCCTTTGGCACGTGCGTACTCGGCGGGAAAATGACCGGCGACCCGTAAATCAAAAACCTGACACAGAGCCTTCTCCCCCCGTTATCGAAAGTTAGCGTCGTCCTGACTTTCGGATCGATAACCGGGTGGGAGGCGACTCGGATGAAGCGATTCCCGCGACGAGATTGCTATTCGCGGAATAAACAATGCTATCGACCGTTAGGTGTCTGCACTGCAGGCTTGCCAAAATTTGAGGGATTCTCCACGACAGCGGAGTCATATGGCTCTTCTACAGTCGAAAGAAAGTGGGAGACGTTGCCCGTTAGCGACGAAAATTCAGGGCAGTGCGTGGCAGGTACCCCATTTGACGGTGCGCCCGTTTGCGACGAAAATTTAGGGCGGTGAGTCGCGGGTGCCCCATTTGACTGTGCACCCGTTTAGTACAAAAATTTGGGGCAGTGAGTCGTGGATGCCCCATTTGACTGTGAGCCCGTTTACGATGAAAATTCGGAGCAGTGCGTGGCGGGTGCCCCATTTGACTGTGCGCCCGTTTCGGGGCAGGCACTGACCGAGGGCCATGTGACGTGGCCAAAAGTGGGGGAAACTTTTTGACACTTTCCGTCTTGCCAGGCTCCGTGGACTTCCTCGGCCTGAACCACTATCAGTCGCAGCTCGCCGCGCACAACGAGTCCGTGCCGGGGCCCTCGCTGTACCGCGACGCCAAGTACACCGGCAGCGCGCACCCCTCCTGGCCGGGCTACGGATTCACCAAGGTGAGGCCAAACGCGCGAGTCGAGCCGGCCGGCCGCGCGGATGGCTTGAGTGCTCTTTCTGTCGCAGAGCACCCCCTGGGGCTTCGGGAAGCTGTTACGCTGGGTGCGAGACAGCTACGGCAACCCGCCCGTCCTCGTCACCGAGAACGGCTACTCGGACCCGGTGCAGGAGGTCAGAGACTGGGACCGCGTCGAGTACTTCAAGGTGCGTCGGGGCCGCGGGGCCGCCGTCCAAGGTTCAGGTACCCGCTCGGATTGTCTTCTATCTGGTTTCGGCCATGCCCGGCCATGCCCCGCAGGGTTACATGCGCGAAATGCTCCTGGCCGTGGAGGACGGCTGCAACGTGTTCGGCTACACGGCGTGGAGCCTCATGGACAACTTCGAGTGGACGCTGGGCTACACGATGCGCTTCGGCCTCTACCACGTGGACTTCGAGGCGCCCGAGAAGACGCGCACCCCGAAGGTGTCGGCGCAGTTCCTGCGGAACGTGACGAGGGACCGCGCCGTGCCGCCCTGAACCCGATTCCTTCCACCTCCACCTTTTTCACCACCCAAAAAATTGCGAGTTCTCGGCGGAAATATAGTGTCTCTCTTCGACCCCTGCGGGCGAGCCTGCGGGTGAATGCGTGCTCTGGTGATGTCTTTCGGAATGTAGTTGGGTAATCACGGGACGAATCCTGGTTATGATTTACGAAGTGTTTATTAAGAAATGTATCTGACTTATAAATAGGTCTTAAAGTAAAATAAATAAATAAAACGTTCACAAGACACGAACACACAAAATACAAAAAAACAACAAAAACACTTAAATAAAAGGAAAATTTGCCGTTTCATGGTTTTTACTTACTCGCCGGCTTTGCCGCTGAATATCACCGGGACTTCCCTTTTAAGCCTAACCACCGAACACTTATATCACACTCAGCTAGTTCTAGAAATAGCACTCCAAAATCACAATACACGTTACAACTAGAATCACAAGTTTTCAAGTTCTTACTGCTACAAGTAGGTGCGGTGCAGTGCGGACGAAGATACTGAGATAGAGAGAGGGGAATAGAGAGAGGGAGAGAGGGAGAAATAGAGTGAGGGAGAGAGAAGAGGGTGAGAGCGGAGTCCGCTGGCATCAAATCGGAGCCAATTCGTCCTTATAGTCAGACCGCTCGCTGACCGTGATGATGCCTCCTCAGCAATGTCTTTGAGGGCTGTGCCGGTTTGTACCACGAATACACTATGCAACATGTTTGGGTTCATTTGATCACATGGACGCACTGATCCAGTGCAGAACTTAACCTACGCAGTCACCTTCGCCGCCTCACGCGAAGCCACCCAAGAACAAAACAATACTGCTGGGCAGGCGCCGCTAGGGCCTCTAATATTGGTCTATTGCTGCTTGAGTGGCGACAGTAAATTAAAATATATCACAAGGTTCGCCATAATACATCGTCGGAGCGCTCAGTTGCATCCGCAGGCCTCCACCACCATGTTGGGCAGCGTCTTCTGGATGAAGGTGTTGTTGTTGTTGATGTACAGAAGAGAGATCTCCGAGTATTTGGTCGGCGTGCAGCACGGGACTAAGTCCAGCTTCTTGCCCGTTTGCATTAGCCTCTGCAAATGAAAGGAAAAACCAAGTTATTCAAAACTGTTCCTCTATACACACGAACAACCGAGAAACCGCATAGAAGGCCCGCTGCGAACCGCCAGGACACTCACTCTGATGACGGCGTTGTGGCTCGAGCCCGAGATGGTGAGCGACGCCGCGGTGGTGCACGAGCCCCTGCAGAAGTACGCCTCGTAGCCCAGGGGCTGCAGGATCCAGTCGTCCCAGCCGATGTCCTTGAAGGACACGTACAGGTTGTCCCTGCAGCACTCGGCCTGGCCGGGCACGCAGCGCGCGTTGCGCTTGGGCCTGCGGACCTGTGGGGGCAGAGAGAGGCGGGCGGTGAGGCGAGCGCAGAGCGCAGCAGAGCGAAACGCCTTGCGGGTAGGCAGGCCCGCGCCACGCCGGAGCGTCGATTGCCTACGCCGCAGGGGCTCTCCCGGTTCTAGACTCACCTTGCTGACGGGGTCGGTGGCGATCACGAGGAACGGCTTGTACGGCTCCTCGGCGGCCACGGGCACCCCGGTCGCCTCCACCATCTTGACCAGCTCGTTGAACTCGAACCAGTCCCTGACGGAGCGCGCCAGGTCGATCTTCACCCAGCCCTCTGCAACAGGAGACAGCGCCGGTCAGAGAAGCAGACGGTGCGGTGCGACCACCGGTCTTCTGGCCCACTGTGCGTCTTGACGGAGCCTTCGAAAGCCTCTGCGATTGGCGGTCGCTCGACGCGCTGCTCAAGGCGATTCGATTTCTATCTCGATCGAGATCTCGATCAAACTGCCCTGCAGGAGCTGGACTTGGGACCTCTGTGACTCACGGACGGCAGTGGAGGGGGCGCGGGCACGTGCCGGGGGGCCGGGGGAGGGGAGGGGGGGGGGGGGGGAGTCGCCCCTCTATAGGCCAGGGCCTATCTCCTCGGGGCAGGGCGCGCCCCGCGGGTCACGGTAGTGGTGCCTTGAGCTTGCTAGAGCCGCTTCGAGTACGCGCGGACTTTGATGCATTTTCCTCCCCCTCCCCCTTCTCCGATGAGGGTCCAAAAGCCGGCACGGCGCCGCACGGCGCGCTCGCTCGGAATCTCACAATTTTGAGGTTGCGTGCTGCGCTGCTACGTCACTGCACCAGAGCACGGCGTGCGCGTGGGAGGAGGAGATTGCGACTTTTAACGACGGAAACTAATCAGCAGTCGCGGCGTTGATCCGCGAGTCTGCGGACTGAGAGTCGTTTTCGTCGCTCTGTCTCTCTCGAAGTCGTGGGGCGCCAGGTGCGAGGAAGACACAGCGACGAAAACGACTCTCGAAATGAGTGTCGGACAGGAGGTGCACGTCGGCGAGTATGGCGGCTCGCATGAAGGGGTGGGGGAGCGACAAGTAGTGGCTCGTCTCGAATGATGACCCGAACATCTATATCGCCGAGGAATGTTTCAAAGTCCGGGTCAGTGACTGGCCGGGAGGGTCGTCGTGGAACCAGGGCGTGCCAGGGCAGGCAGGGCAGGGCAGGGCGCGGCACGGCACGGCACGGCACGGCAGGGCACGGCAGGGCACAGCATCGCAGGGCCGTGCCGCCGGATCGCATTCCATTCGCGACAAAAGCGCGGTCGCGTCGAACAACAAAAGTGGCCTGCTTGCCTGGCTTACCTCCGTCCGTGACGGGCTCGGCGGCCAGGTGGTTGCGCCGCTGGAAGGACTCGTCCATGTCCCAGTTGGCGACCTCGGACACGTTCAGGGAGGCGTTGGCGGCGCCGCCGGCGTCCAGGTCCAGGTCCTGGTCCAGCGGCCGGCGGTACAGCCACAGCTCGGCGCGCGTCACCTCCACGGCCTGCACGTCGCCGGGGAGCTTGAACACGAAGCAGGAGCTCCCCGTCGCCGCCGACCCCGCCGACCCGGGGCACTGGCCTAGAGGGACACCTGCAACAAACGGAGGCGAGTTGTCAGTGACGGTCTGGTCTCGAACCTTCAGAACTTTGCGTCTCGAAACAGGTGTCAGTGCCATTTCTCGCACCTCACGCGAAAATCATATCCGCCGCCGGCAACTTCACTCACGCGCTGCCAAATCGTTTTTCGGTTTTATCTCATTGCGGTTCCCTTGTGGTTGCCATGCCGAAATTCCTCTCTCGTAGATAAACTATGTTTTGACGACCTTTCCTGGCCTTGTTGGCGGACTTTTGGCGCACTGCTTCGGCCCGCGGCGTGGCCAGAGCATTGTTTGTGCGCGCTATGTTGACGCGACCCGGCGACCCCAGCCGTGCACATCCACCGTGCCACTTCCTGGTGCGTTCGTCTCACGGCCAAATTACCATACCCAGATTTCACACAGGGTGTGCTCGGATCCCTGCCCTTTTCGGCAAAGCACTGCTCCACCGCGAGGGCCAACACCTTCTCGAGGGTTTCCTGAGGCTGGCTTTGCGACAGTCCCTGTGCGAGTCCTCTTTATGCCAGTCGTGCATATTTTTTGCTCCTTCATCTAATCTCTAATATCTGCAGTAGTACATAAATAAAGGCCTTGACCACTATCTGGGCCTCTTGTGCGTCCGAGTGATGCTACACGAGTATAACACCTTCGTGGAAAAGTGGACTGAGTTGGTCACCATTCCGAGGACTCGAACCCGCGACCCGCGCTTTCCAGGCGATGACGCTGACCGCGCGGCCACGAGGACTGCCTTTTAGCAGCCGGGCGGGGCGCAAGGTCCTCAATTGGCGCGCAGGGCTGTCGCCGGCTGGATGCAATGGCCGTGCCGGGCCGCGCCGGCAATGGCCTGTGGCCGAGCCTGCGGCATGCGTGGTCCATGGCACATCCCATCGTCCTGTGCATGAGCCCGTCCATGGTGGCCACGTGGTGATCACGTGCTGGCCGGCGTGGCTGGTGGCTGCCCATGGGGCCGAGGGCCGCCCCCCTCCCCCTCTCTGGAGGGAGACCACGTGGTCGAGGTGCGAGCAGCGGCGCAGCGCGTGCTACCCACCCAGCGCTACCCGCCGGCCGGCCGGACGGACGCACGGACGCAGACGACTGCGACGCACACGCCGCACGCGGCACGCGGCACGCACGCGGCACGCACGCCCTCCGCGACTGTCACTGCCGGGCGATTCAGAGTCGTTTCGTCGCTCTGTCTCTCTCGCACTCGTGGGGCTCTCCGTAAGGGTGCGAGAGAGACAGCGTGAATCGCTCGGCTGCGAATCGGGTCAGCGCGTCCCCGAGGCCCGACCAACCCAGCCGCCAGCCCGCCAGCATGCTGCTGCCCAAACCCAGAGTGGCGCCGGTCGGAAGCGAGCGCCCACCATTGGCTATATTTGGCGCGAGCGGCGCCAGCCAATCACAGCGTGGTTCAAATCGGAGCGCCGCTAGCGTGTCGATGGTAGTCATGCGCCCTCACGAACTTTTCCTCCGAACGAATAAAAATGACAAGTGCGAGGCACTTCCTGAGAGGCGAGGCGGAGACGGCTCCTGCTAAAGTGGAATAGCCGGCAGGGCAGGGGCCGGCAGGGGCCCGGAGGTCATCGGCTCGTGCATTGTGCTCTGCAGGGGGTACGGACTGGCCGGGCTGTCCGGACACCAGATAGGGGCCGCTTGCGCCGCACAGTGGGCCAGAAGACCGGTGCAGGCGGCAAAAATTCTTGACCTCCAGTCTTTGACCTCCAGAGTCGCTAAATGGGACTCGAACCGAACGTGCGACCCCACCAATGGATTCCTCGTTCAAAGAGCAAACCATTGGTGAGGTCACACGATCGGTTCGAGTCCCATTTAGCGACTCTGGAGCTCAAAACGCGTCTAGAACTTTGGCCGCCTGGCCCACGGTGGGCCGGCTTGCCAGACCGCTGCCCTGCAGCGAGCAGAAAGATGCACCCCTCGCACATTGTCTTGATAATCATCATCACCGCCGTCATCACCACCGTTTCCTTGAAGGCACCCACGGACCTTTGACGTTCGAGTGTACGCGGATGATGAAACTACGCTGCATTTTGAGTGTGGCGGTGCTGATTTGGGCGGCGCGGTTTTGACGCCGCGGGGGCGCGACCTCCGGCCCCTCCGGCCCGCGGGGGCGCTCGGCCCGCCCCGGCCCCGCCCGCCGCGCAGCCGTCTCTCTCGCACCCGCGGAGGACCGCGGCCGCGGGAGGGAGAGGCGCAGCAAGCGGATTCGATCCTCGAGATGACGAATTCGCTAGGCGGGCCGGCGGGGCCGGGCCCCCGTGCGGTCAAAGGGTGAAGCCGGCTCGCCTTCCTGCCGCCGAGCCGTGCCGAGCCGCGCCGCGCCGCGAGCATTATCCGATCACGTGAAATTCGGCAAGCGGGGGAGCGCATCGCGGCGAGGCGAGGGCCCTGCCATGCCGGCCAAGCAGGCCTTATCGTATAGTAATTGGCTGTGCAAGGCTTGGAGAAAGTGGCCTGGCACTCATCTCTGTCGCCGAGGTGGGCCCCTCGGTGCTCGCGCCCTCGCGCCCTCGCCCTCTCGCACCGCGTGGGGCTCGACGCGCAGATCCCCAGGAGTTAAAGTTCGCGAAAAGTTTGCACGCGTCGTCACGGGGGTCGAAATGCTTTCTTGTTTTCCTGTGACGTCACCGCTCCGATTCTTGCTGGCTGACCCTTCACCCCCTTTTGCAAGTGGCCGGTGGCTTTCTGACAGCGGCGCCCACCGCGGCCGAAAGACGCACACACCCCACACGCGTACACACACGTTATCGCCGTCCGCGTGAAGGTCCCCCGGCCCAAGTCTGCGCCGTGCAAGAGGCCGGCAGTGTTCTAGGAATCACACCCCCAGTCCTCGAAGCGACCTTGTACGCAGGACGAGGAACTCTAGACGCGTTTCGAGCTCCAGAATCGCTAAGCAGGACTCGAACCGAGCGTGTGACCCCACCTATGGATTGGTCTCCGAACGAGGAATCCATTGGTGGGGTCACACGTTCGGTTCGAGTCCCATTTAGCGACTCTGGGGCTTTATAAGGCGCATAGAGTTTTGTCCGCCTCTGGGGCCCCGAGTGCCGCAAGCCGGGCAAGCACTCACCTTGGTCGGTGGGGAACAGGATGACCTGGTCCGTGCGGCCGTAGAAGTCCTCGGTGGTCTCCTCGCGGTGCCGGGTGGGCAAGGCGAGGCCGGCCAGGGCCAGCGGCTTGGGCATGTTGGAGGCGGGCCGCGCCACCACGGGCGGCTCCTTCAGGCCCAGCTTCTTCAGGATCTGCTGCTTGACGAACTCGATCCTCAGGGCGGTCAGCTCGTCCTCCAGGCCCTGCTCCAGCATCTCGCGCCGGAGTCCGCAGCTGGGGCACGGCTTGGCCGACGCGGCGTCCCTGACGGCGTCCCGCTGGTGGTTGCCGCGGTGGTGCCGGCGGCGGTGCGCGGGGCTCCCCTCCACGCTGAAGAGCGTGCTCCAGGCGGCCGACAGGTGGCGGTGCTCCGCTGGGGCGACCCTCGCGTCTCTCGCGTCCCGCGAGGCGTCCAAGTCCGCGGCCGCGGGGTCCGGCGGCGAGGGCGGCGACGGCGGCGTGGGCAGCGTGGGCGGCGCGGTGGGGGTGACCAGGCCGACCACGAGGGTGGCCAGCAACGTGCACAGGGCGAGCTGCATCCTGACAGGCCTTTAGCGCGCGTAGCGTCACAGGCAGCCGGTCATTGGCGGGGTGAAGCAGTGGCGGTTCACAGTGGCGGCACGCGCGTCGCGACGAACCGACGGACCGACGGCCTGCTCGGTGCGGCAAAGCGTATTGATGGGCCAAGCGGGCCCACACCAGAAGGCCCCGCGCAGACGCCCGGCTAGGGACCCCCGGCCCGGCCTGGGCCCGGCGCTGGCGGCGTGGGATCGAGCCCCCTTCCCCCTCCCTGTGTCCCCGCGGACCCCGCCCCGCGGCCGTCGCCTCGCACTTCGCCCCCTGGGCTTGCCGCGGCTTGCCGCTACTGCCGCTGCCCCCTCCACCGGCGAGTGTTTTGCCCGAAACCCCTTCGCTCTGCTCTGCTCCTCCCCGGATCGGCGGATCATCTCGGCCAGGCGCAGCGCGGCCAGGTTCCTGCTGCTGGCGGGGTTACATCACGGCGGGAGTACTACGGGGACACCGGAGGCGGGGGCGGGGGCGGGGGAGGCAACCCCCACCAGTTGCGCACCCTTCGGGCTGTGAATGGAGCGGCGGCGCTGCCGGCACCTAGCTGGCGCTGCCAAGCTGAAACATCCCCCGCGGCTTCAACCACGCCCCGTGCCTTACGACGTCCACCCAGGGGCAGCCCAGGGGCTCCTGGCGAAAGTAAACATCATATTGTAAACACAGGAAAGAAAAAGGAGAGGACTCCCTCACGTTTTGCAAGGGCGAATCAAATTATTTCCTATAAAAGGATCCAAACACTCGAAAACTTTCACCCGCCCGGATACGAGCTACAATGCTGCCTGTACAAAGGCCGAGGCATTGCATCATTCCGCACAGGTGTCTGGGAAAGGCTTGATGGCTCTGAAGAGTCCCCACTTTGCTGCGCAATAGCGCTTTGGACCCTGACACGGGAAGCAGTCAAGTGGCGGAGACTTTGATCACGCTTTTAAAAAAAAATAAGCAGCAACTCAGCACGTGTTGTGCTTTTCTCCCTTGGGTTCAAATAAAAATATAGTGAAAAATCTTCGTCAGAGGACAAGGTTTTCCTTTAGGCCGCGTCGCTCCAACTACAGCCCACTGATCTGAAATTTTCGGAATCATTTTTCTTCAATTCTTTATTGACTTTTCTTCTCCAATGAAACATAGAAGTTCCGGACCTCAGCCTCAAGCTTCGTCTAGCCGGCACCGAAAAAGAAGGAAAATATTCTCTAGGCGCGTACGACTCACTACGCTTTATCGGTCACGAGGAATCGAACCTGTGACCCCACAGTCCAAAGGCTGGCGCCTTGACCACTACGCTACCAGGAACGCATATATAAGCTGGCTCCACTTGATGAGGTATAGAGCAAGTCAATTAAGCTTCTCCGCAAATTGCTGTCATTACCGCCATGGGAGGAACTATTGTGGGTTGCCGAGGAAAATATTGGTTGAGAGGGACGAAGGTTACAGATTGGAATCCAAGTGGTGATCGACTTGTGTCGATCGACGGCTTGCAATCAGATGCATTGAAGATTAATTTTGGCACTTGCCCCGTCCCCGCGAAAGTCAACAGGAGGCCTTGTTGCCGAAGAAAGGCTGCAACATCAATTATCCCTTTCTCGTGTGCCATTTAGTTGCAGATAAACGTGGGCTGGTGGAGCCCTATTCACAAACCCGTCCTTTGAAAATCTTCATCTTTTGGTTCTGATATCTGAGCGGGTGGGGTTGTTGTTTCTCGGAGTGCACTGAGGGAAAGGTCATAAAATGGTAAGCTCAGTCGAACTATACTTGTCACGCAACGTATCAGAGAGAGAAATCTCGCTGACTCTGCGGTGTTTATTTTGCGCGTACAATAATTCGGGATGACCCCGGCGGCTCTACGACGCGGTTCTGATACCTTCTGAAGAGACGGAAGCAATTGGGGAGAGCGAAAGGGGGCAGAGCAGGCAGAGCAGGCGCAGCAACCGGACAACGTGGTCACTCTGTCTCTCTCGCACCCAAGGGGGTTCAGTGTAGGTGCGAGAGAGACAGAGCGACGAAACGCCGTGTCGAGACAGCAGGGGTACTCCTCGTGGTGCCCGGCCTGTGTCCATGTCAAGGCCAGCGCGGCAGGGACAGCTCTTTCGCCGTTCCGTCTCTCTCGCACTCGCGCGGCGCCGCGGAGGGTCCGCGGGGGTGCGAGAGAGACAGGCGCCGTTCGGAGCCGCTCTGGCGCTCGGCTCGGCACGGCCCGGGTGCATCACGTCGTGTCCCCGTGGCTCTTCGAGCTCTTCGACTTCCCCGGCGCCGGCTTGTCAGAACCAAGAGCCGCGTCCGCGCCGCGACCCGCCTCTCGCGGACGCCATGCCCGGGGCCGCCGCCGTGCCCCGCCACCCGAACCCGAATCCGAATCCGCGAAGCGCGGGCGGCCGCGCGCTGCAACGCCTCGACGCTGTCTCTCTCGCACCCCTGGGACGCGCCCCGTGAGTGCGACAGAGATAAGGGCCGTGCCGTGTGGAATCAGCCTGCTGGCCCACTCGATAGTAGCGGGCCCGCCAAAGCGCGAACTGTTTCGCGGTGCCCCGGGCCGCTTGGCTATTTTCGGCAGTGACGCCACTGTCACTCTGTCATTCATTCGCAACGGGCGGGCCGCGCGGCCCCGCGGGGTGACGCGGTGACGCGGTGACGCGTTCGCGGACGCCCAAAGCGGACGGTTCACAGAAGACTACCGGCGTCGCCGGCCAAAACTCTAGACGCGTTTTGAGCTCCAGAGACGCTAAGCAGGACTCGAACCGAGCGTGTGACCCCCACCAATGGATTGCTCGTTCCAAGAACAGTCCATTGTGGAGTCACACGTGCGGTTCGGAGTCCCATTTAGCGACTCTGGAGTCAAAACGCGTCGAGGGTTTCGGCTACAGTGCGTTTGGACGCACGACCCGAAAGTATTTATTTTGGCGTCGATGACACTTTCCCGCCCACACCCCTTTTCTTTTGAGCCAGTCATCGCAGTGGCATCACCGGTCAGCAATACCCCGGCGAGTGGCCAGCCGCGTTTCAGGGGTGCCCGCCCAGGCGCAGCACAGTGGGCCAGAAGACCGGCAAGGCGGCCAAAATTCCGGACGCGTTTTGAGCTCCAGAGTCGCTGAATGGGACTCGAACCGAGCGTGTGACCCCACCAATGGATTGCTCTCCGGACGAGGAATCCATTGGTGGGGTCAGACGTTCGTCTCGAGTCCTGTTTAGCGACTCTGGAGCTCAAAACGCGTTCAGAGTTTTGGCCGCCGGTTTCCGATCCACCGAGCGCAGCCCTTGGCGAAGGGAGACGCGCAGCGAGCGCCACATTTTTACATAACGCCTCGCACGAGCGCCTGCGCTGATAGTGGGCTTCCCCCTTACTCGCGAATGCGTTCCTTTTATTTGGTTCGCTCATTATCGATCAGAGCGTGGAGCGTGGATCTCGCCGGCAAGTCGCCCCTTTTTTTGCGCAAAGCTTTCCGTTCGGGCTTCCATGACGTTCTCTCGGATTCCGCCGGGAGGACTGAGCGCGCGGGAAGGTCTAAGTGCTCGTAAAATCGATGACTGGTTTTCGTCGAATCCGCTGAGGTGATTTTGGACAGTGCCTGTCTCTCTTTGCACGCCTACGGGCCTACGGCACGCCGCACGAGTGCGAGAGGGACAGAGCGACAAGGCCGCTGGTCCGGGGGCGTGGCGGCATGGTGGCGGCACGGTGGCGGTGCGGCCCCACGCCCGTGACGTGGGCGGCACGCGCCCCGCCGAGCTCCCCGTCAGCCGGCCGTCAGCCCCCGCCCCTCGCCCTCGCCCTCGCCGTCAACGGTGTGGCCGGTCAGACCGCGGCGACGCGCGTCCCCCTCCCCCTCCGCCCGGCGCCACCAGAGCGCCACCCTCCGCGCCGTCCGCGGGCCACGCGCTAGCCACGTGGCGGACGCATGGCGGCGCGGCCGCTTGTCCGCTTCCGGTCGCTAATATCACCTCCGTGCTCCCGATTCCGAAAGCACCTCGTCGCCCTGTCTCCCTCGCACCCCTACGGGACGCCCCGTGAGCGCACAGTGGGCCAGAAGACCGCCAAAATTCTAGACGCGTTTTGAGCTCCAGAGTCGCTAAATGGGACTCGAACCGAGCGTGTGACCCCACCAATGGATTCCTCGTTCGAAGAGCAATCCATTGATGGGGTCACACGTTCGGTTCGAGGAGCCTACTGCTCGTCTGTTTCTCCTCTCGCTCGCACCCGAGCTGCCCGAGCTGCCCGAGCTGCCCGAGCTAGTCGGCGCGGACGGGAGCTGCCGCGGCATGCCTGTGACTTGGTGACCCGCCCTTGGTTTGGTCACGCCTGCCAACACTGCCACCGTTGTTTTGACGAGGACTATCACTGTGTTGTTTGCAAACAATAATTGCTCGTCGGGTGGCCCGTTTCAAGACAGTGAAGCGTGCATCGAACCCACGTAGTATCAAGTCCACATGCAGCCATGCAGCCACGGCTTGCCCGCGCTTTCCGATACTTTGCGACTCTGCCGCACAGTGTGCCGGAAGAGCGGCGGAGGCGGTCAAAACACCGGACGCGTTTTGAGCTCCAGAGTCGCTGAATGGGACTCCAACCGAACGTGTGACCCCACCAATGGATTGCTCTCCGAACGAGGAATCCATTGGTGGGGTCACACGTTCGGTTCGAGTTCCATTTAGCGACTCTGGAGCTCAAAACGCGTCTGGAGTTTTGGCCGCCGGCGCCGGCCTTCTGGTCCACTGCGGGCCGGCCTTCTTGACAGCCCGAAACGAGTGTATGGACGGGCGGGGGTGAATCGAATCGGCCTTTTACTCGCCGTCGAGCGAAGAACGGCTTGGCAGTGGCCCTGCGCGCCCTGCCTTGCGCCCTGCAGGGCATGCCCTGCGGTCAAACTCCTATCAGAGCTTAGCAGCAGCGGCATCGTTTTTCCCTTTCCCCTCTTTTTTCTGTTTCCAGGGAAAAGTCCACGCGGGCTGCGACCTTTGCCACGGCTCTAGAACGCGACGCGAGGCGACTCGAAATCTCGAAATCGGACGCGAGGGTTGTTCGGTTCGGAAGCACTCATTATACCAGCAAAGGTAACGAGAATGAATCGGCAGTGTACAATCAGGGGCTTCGAGCGTCTTTTTTCTCTTATCCCTTTTTTTGTTGCAACGCTTGGAGAGCGAGTTATCAAGGAGCTTGCCCAGCAAATGACCAATTAATCTCATCGACGTTGCTAATTGACAAGCATATTTTTCAACTTTTCCACCGCTTGCCGCGAGCAACGTCTAGAATTTGAAGCACCTCCACCGATCTTCTGGCCCACCGTGCACGGCGAGCCGCTCACGGGCGTGTTCCCGAATTTCGCCTAATTTCGGCCGGTGTACGCGGCGGCGCGCGGTGGCGGGGAAAGGAAAATGTGACCGGGCGCGACCACGTGCCGCGGTGCCGGGCGTGCCGTTCTGGCCATTCTCTCTGATCTTGACATCGGGTCGGCTTCGCTGCTTCGGTCGGCTTGCCGGGGAATGTAGGCCAAGCGCGGAGCACAGTGGGCCAGAAGACCGGTGGAGGCGGCCAAAACTCTGGACGCGTTTTGAGCTCCAGAGTCGCTAAATGGGACTCGAACCGAACGTGTGACCCCACCAATGGATTGCTCTCTGAACGAGGAATCCATTGGTGGGGTCATACGTTCGGTTCGAGTCCCATTCAGCGACTCTGGAGCTCAAAACGCGTCTAGAGTTTTGGCCGCCTCCACCGGCTTCTGGCCCACTGTGCGGCGCGGCCCAGAGGCGCGGACTTGGCGCGGACTAGGCCCGTCGCCGCCGCGTCGTCCCCACACACTGAAAGCTCCAAGGTGAGAGAGAAATGAAGCCACCCCCAGAAACAAATTCTCGCCGCCGTTGCGCGGTGAGAATCGAAACTCTCTCGTCTTCGGCGCCATGAAGTAACGACAATGTTTCCCCCCGTCATTAAGTGTGGTAGAAAAATCATGCCAAAATTTGAAGAGGGTTTTGACTATCACCGCACGAAGGGGAAAGAAATTCCTCACCAAAGTTGGTCAGCACTCTCTCCCTTCAATTTTCAGTGCACTGCGTGGTGCATTTCCTTTCGCGAATCCGCGGAGAAAGTAGTGTCGCGCGAAAGGCGCGCGGTCCGGCCGGCCGGCCGGGCGGAAAATTTCCACGAGGGAGGCGACAGCAGACTGAGAGTCGCTTTCGTCGCTCTGTCTCTCTCGCACCCGTACGCGACCCCCCGTGAGTGCGAGAGAGACAGAGCGACGACTCTGCCGGGTGACATGGCGTAATTGGGAAGCGCGGCGCTGGCGGCGCAGCCAAGGCGGTTCCGTATCGGGTTCGGCCGGGTTCGGCGAGAACGTGGAATCAGCTCCGGGTTTATCGGGTTGAGGAATTTGGTACAGTGTACGTGGCATCGCCCTGCTCCGCGTCGTTTGGCGAGGTTTCGCGTGCCCGCAGCCCGCCCCCGTAAGCCCGCAGGGGTGCGAGAGAGACAGAGCGACCAAACGATCCTTCCGGACGGCGCGGAGCCACCCATCGGGCCGCCGCGGTGGATGGGTGGCCTACCCTCCCGGCGGACGAGGCGGAGACCGGTCTGTCTGTCTGTCTGTCTGTCTGTCTGTCTGTCTGTCTGTCTGTCTGCCCGTCTGCTTGTCTGAGGTGTCCGAAAATGATAAGACTAATCTCGAGTGTGCAGTCACAAAATTTAATAAGAGCTTTACTTCGTCCCAAAGATTTTGGGCCACATAGGTAATACATAAGCGTTTCAAATTTCGCGTGCATCACTCCTCTGTCGATGAAAAGACTAAAGATTTCACCTGCAACGAGACTTGGTCTCTTTTTCGTCGGAATTTCTCTCGTGAAGCGACGACGCGCGAAGAGACCCAGTCTGCCTTGTCCTAATCTAAATAGATGCCGCACGGTTAGAGCCCCATTTAGCGACTCTGGAGCTCAAAACGCGTCTAGAGTTTTGGCCGCCTCCACCGGTCTTCTGGCCCACTGTGCCTCGGTCCGGCCGGCCCGGACCGCTGTGGTGACCACTGCAAGGACACCGAAGGGCTGCCGGAAGAGAGGCTCCATTTCCTCGCACTGTACGGGACTTGACCTCCGCGCACCTTGACAGTAGGTCGGGCCAAATCAGCGACGCGGCTGTGGAGGCGAGTGCGGTGTAGGGCCGTATTGGTGCGTCCTGCCGTGCTGCCTCCACTGCAAGCGGGCGGGCCGAGTACCTGTCCTGTACCGGCCGTGTCCATGCCAGCCTACCGGCCTTGGCGGCCTGCCCTGCCACTCGCAGTGGCGCGGCGGGCTGTCTGGCAGCCGCTCCGCGCGCCGCTCCAAACCGACCAAGGTTCCGCGCGCCTCGCTTCGGCTCGCCTTCGGCCACCTTCGGCTGCGTTCGGCTGCAGTCTCGGCGTGGCGCGGCGTGGCGTTCGGGTTCGGGTCGGCAGCCGAGACGGGAGAGTTTGTTCCGTCCGCGCCGCCCGCCCGTCGGGTACCCGAAGTACCCGCCCGCGTCCCCGTGTGTTGTGTTGTGAGTTGGCCATCCTGTTTGTGGGTACCACACATCGGCCCCAGTACCCAGTTTGTGTCATGTGATGCGTCTCTGACCCCACAGGCGTTACCTACCTGGGCTCCGCGTCGCTTTGCGTATCGTTCGCGCCATGTTGTGCTGCCCGATTGGCGGCTAGGTGCAAACACAGCAGCGTTTCTTCGCCACCAGCGTCGCGGTCGCGGCAGACGTCCCGCGCGCGAGCAGGCCTCCGAGTGCCTCGTCCCCGTGTGTCGTGAGTGTGTGGTGCGCAGTGCAGTGCCGACGACAGCGTCAACCGGACCCCCAGGATGTCGCTGACGGACTCGGACGCCCCCAACGGGCACAACGGCATGGACTCGGACTCGGGCGCCTTCGCCCCGCGGCTGTGCCATATCGTCAAGTGGGCGCACTTCGACGGCTACGGCTTCAACCTGCACGCCGAGAAGGGCAAGCCCGGCCAGATCATCGGCAAGGTGGACGAGGGCTCCCCCGCCGAGGCGGCCGGCCTCCGGGAGGGCGACCGCATCGTCGAGGTGAACGGCGTCAACATCGCCAACGAGAACCACAAGCAGGTGGTGCAGCGCATCAAGGCGGTGGACGACGAGACCAAGCTGCTGGTGGTGGACGCGGAGGCGGACAAGTACCTGAAGGCCCACGACATAGTGATCAAAAGTAACCTCCCCAGTGTGGTGCACCTCAAGACCCCGCCCTCGCCCGCAGGGACGCCGGCGCCAGCCTCGCCCAACGTCAACGACGTCAACGGCCAGGTGAGCTGGATAGGTGGAGTGAGGTTAGGTGGCCGGGCCGCCTGCTGCCAGCAGCCACAGGTCCTGCCAGCGAGGAGCCTGTTGCTCATGCCTGGCTTGAGTGCTGCCGAGGATCGAGTGTCAGCAGACGGTGTCGTTTACCTGTCTTTAGTCGTTGTTTTGCCTGTCTGGACCTGTGGCAAAGTGTTGCTGTCGTGGTGCGGTGTGAGATTTTCCAACGGTTTATATGGGACCTGAAGTGGAACGGCTGTTTACATTTTCCTAGCAGGTTCTTCATTGACGTCTGATGTGAGCGACAAGCAGCTGAAGTAAATTCTGATGTGTCCTGGGGAAAAGTGTATGGGGTCTGTGTTGACGAGTGTGGCAGTACTGCATTCGCAAAGCCCCTTGCAACTTTTTCCAGGCTCGCTAGTTTCATTGTCGTAAAAGCCTCCTACATTTTCAGATCTATGATGATTATTACGATGATTTACGTTCATTTATGACTCAGTTCTAAACACCAAGTTCCAACTGTGATTGCAATCACACTGCTATCTGATTTATCATGTGAAAATTACGGGATCTTAATTTGAAGTCTGGAAGCACCATGTTCCTTTGTTTATCTAATTTTCATACCGTTAAAGTAGTTTGCGCTTGTGGGAATGAACTGATGCATAATCTCTCTTGATATGGCCTGATGAGATAGAGGAGCCATAGTTTTCCACCACTTGAACTGTTTTTGTTTGCCGCACACAGCCATATGATGAGTCCTGTCAATCTGGGACAGGTGGACAGGCAATCTTCCCAAGAGGACAACAAACCGGGTCACTTATCTTTACTGTCGACTTATCAAAGCGTCCTTCCACCGTTCGCTTTCCCTTCCAAATCCACAGTCTGCCCAGCTCTGGAGACACCCAGTTTAGTCCAGAATAGTGTTGATATGGCACCCTGTGTTCACAAGCCTGTGACAACTGTTCTGTTAGCCGTTTTTTAAATTTTTTTTTCACCCACGATCGCCTACCAGGTGACATTCCTTGTCGCGGGTGACTGGGTTCAAATCCTCTCAGCGCCATTTTTGGAGGAGCAAACATAAACTTGGACTTAAACTTTGACTTCAACCAGTCTTGTCCTTGACCAGCGAGTCCCTGGTTATCGGTGTCCCGGTACGGGACCCTTTCATTTTCCTGAAGATTCACATCCACTGTCGCCAACTTAAAATGTAACATTTTCGCCCTTTTTTGACTTTGGAAATTGACTACAGAATGAATATGAATGGGTTTTTTTATCATCATATTTGTGAAATGTTATTTGTGCTGTTTTTTTAATAATTCATTTGATGGAATTGTGATTTTAGTTTTAAAAAACAACGGGCTAACAACGTTGTGGGAACACTGTAGACGACGTATGAGAAACTGCACAACCATCTCTCTGTGCAGGAAAATCATCCTGCAAAGAGGCGGGAACATGCAAAAAACGCTATTCGCAGGAAAGCAAAGATCTGTCGAGAATAGCGAAAGATCTGTCACGACTAGGTTAGGTTAGGTTAGAATTGTTTGCAACCCATTAGATAGTTTTCAAGATTTGTACTTGCGAATATCATTTAGTGCCCACGACACCTCATCGCAGGAAACAAATTAACCAACCACGCGCCCTACGCGCAGCTCCCTTTTCGTGCGAATCGTCCCATCGAGATGAGAATCTGAGTCTAAATCTTTTTACCAGGAATAAAAAATTTAAACTGTTCGCCCGGAAGGGCCCTAACGCTCCTCCACCAGTCTTCGACTGCAACTAGTTTTATTTTGTTGGATGGTTAGAGAGGGGTAAAGGAGAGGGGAAAGGGGGGGGGGGCGTAACTTGTACTTGTTTGCGCCGGCGGTGGAGGACAATATGCGCCTGGCGTGCGTGTGTGTGTGTGTGCGTGCATGCGTGCTTGTGGGTGATTCATGTGGGGGCTGCCTCCGCGAGGCACGCCACCACGGCCAGGCACGCGCGTGCACGGCGGTCACGGCGACGACGGGGCCGTGTCCGGGACTCCGGACGCAGCACCGGCAGCACGCGCACGACGGCCACGACGGCCACGACGGCGTGGGATGGGAAAGGACGCGACTCCCCTGCGCGCATGTCGCACGAATGTGTGCGCCTGTGTGAGTGAGTGAGTGTGTGTGTGTGTGCGTGATAACGACACACGCGGCCCCGCGGCGGTCACCGCTGACGGGGATTCGAACCCGCGGACAGCCAGCCAGGCAGTCAGCCGGCCACGACGTCGAGGTCGTGTTCGTGCAGTGTGGCGCCCGAAGCTCGAGCCGGGCGTTTGTCCTGCGGTTAGGGCGCTCGCGTTTGACAGGGTCACGTGACCGGACGGACCGGACCTAGACCACGGCGGCACGGCGGCACGGCGGCACGGCGCGGAGGCGGCTTTTTGACAGCTCGCTTCCGGCACATCGCTTAGGCACGCCCCCTCCCCCCGGCCTCGTCGTCCTCGCGTCGGTGAGTGAGAGGCTGTGCTGCCGCTGACTCTGCAGTTAAACGGGGGGAAAAATTACGTCAGTTGAATGGAAGCTGGTGGGGGCGGCGCGGGGCGCCTCTGGAAGTACATGGAGTACCGTGGTACAGTACAGTACGCTACACTGGCATGGCTGCATTAGCGCGCCCGGCACGGCGCGGCACGGCACGGTACAGCACTGTGGCCAATTTGTAGGAATCTAGCGGCGGTGTGTGCTGGTTGTGGAGCGCGCTGTTGCGTCGGACTGTTTTTACGAGTTGCAGGAAAGGGCAATGGATGGTTGGTTGCAGTGCGATGGGCCCGACGGGGCGTTCGGTATTCGGCCGAACTTTCGACACGATATCGTCGAACGAGTTTAGTGTGTAAACCCTCTCACTCCACTTCCCCTCTATTTTTCTCGCGTTGGTTCCACTGCTGCGTGCACAGTGGGCCAGACCCAACGCAGTTTAGCGACTGTTTTTTTTTTTTAAAAAAGAACAAAAACGTTCTATTTTTAATTTAGTCCTTGTGGTCCGCTGCTGGAGTGTGGGCTTCCCCGTGTCTGCACGCCTTGGGGGACCCCCACCCCCCGTGAGTCAGATCGCGAGTCGTCCCGATGGCGTGATGACGTCATGGCGCGAAATAAGGCGGATGCGTTTTGCGGCGGCACTGTGAAAGAAGGCGGTACAGCCGCAGATAATCGGGAAGAACAAACTGGCGCTTTTATTGGTGGAGTTATCGGGACGAACTGCCCCATTTGTTGTTAGGAAATTGTGTTTTTTTTTTTTTTGAGTCAGTGTAGTGGTGGGCCTTTCTCTCTGGAGCCGCGAAGGGCAGCCGAACTGCTCCCGGCCAGCGACCAGTCGGCCAGCAGACTGATTCCGAGAGTCGTTTTCGTCGCTCTGCCTCTCTCGCACTCATGAGGCGTCCCGTATCGGTGGGAGAGAGACAGAGCGACGAAAACGACTCTCGGACTGAGTGTGCAGCCCGTCGGCCTTCCAGTGGGAATCTGATTGTGTGCCGGCATAGGCATACCCACAGCCCCACTGACCCTCCTTCCCTGCATGCGTGGCCGCCTGGCCGTGCGTTCCAGCCTCGGCGAGGCTCCAGCCGCTCCAGCCTGCTCCAGCCGAGCGGTTCCGCACGGCGTTATTCCGTCGCTGTCTCTCTCGCACCCGCGCCAGCCCGCCAGCCCCGTGGGAGCGTTGCCGCGCCTCATCGCGGCTCGGCTGCCTGGCTCTGGCTTGTCGGCGCACAGTGTGCCAGGCGGTCAAAATCCCGGACGCGTTTTGAGCTCCAGAGTCGCTAATTGGGGCTCGAACCGAACGTGTGACCCCGCCAATGGGTTGCTCTCCGGACGAGGAATCCATTGGTGGGGTCACACGTTCGGTTCGAGTCCTGCTTAGCGACTCTGGAGCTCAAAACGCGTCAGGGATTTTGGCCGCCTGCGCCAGTCTGCCGGCGCACTGTGCGATGGATGAGATGCCATGTAACGGAGCTGGCCGTCCCGTCCCATCCCCGCGTACGAAACCTGCTTCGGCCTTGTTGGTTGCGAGGGCGTCCAGGGACCTGCTGCGCCGTGCTGCTCGCTGCCGATGAGTCGTTCTGTCTCTCTCGCACCCGTGGGACGTTTGGCAGGGGTGCGAGAGAGACAGGCGGCCAATAATGATGAAACAATATTGGCGGCGGCTCGGCGAGGCTCGGCCAGGCTCGGCGATGCGTGCAACGCAGGAAGGGCCTTGGGCATCCCGCCGGGCTGGCGGCTGGCGCGGCTGCAGACTGAGAGTCGTTTTCGTCGCTCTGTCTCTCTCGCACTCTTGGGGCGTCGCGTGTGGGTGCGAGAGAGACAGAACGGCCACTCTGAAGCGGCCTGCTGGCGGCCTGGAAATGCTGGCACGGCTTGGCCGGGCTTGGCGTGGAGGCGCACCCTCGCCGTCGTCTGCCGCGAGCGTCGTCGCTCTGTCTCGCTCGCACTCAGGGGGCGACCCGCGCGGGTGCGAGAGAGACAGAGCGACGAGCCGCTCCAGTGGCGGGGCCCGGGGCCGTCGCGGGCGCGCCGCGCACGCTTCCTCGGTTTCTGCAGCAATTTGCAGTGGCGCGTCGTCCCGCTTCCTCGAGGCGTGCTGGCTGCCCTGGCTGGCTGCTGGCGAATGTGTGGAGCAGCGCGGTCTCCACCGGTCTTCTGGCCCACTGTGCGGCTTGGCCGCGAACAACGCGGGCACGCCGCCGTCCGTGTGTCAACGGCAATCCCGCCCCGCCCCGCCCCGCCCCGCCCCGCCCCGCCCCGCCCCGCCCGCCGATCGAGCCCTGTGACGAAACGCGTTTTGGGGAGACGGAAGAAAGAGCCGGTTTTCCCGACGCGATCCCTCGCTCGCTCTCGCCCGGCCGTTCGATCAGGAGGCGGTAATAATAAAAGCTCCTGGAGGTAAAGAAGGATGCGCGCCTGGACGTCCTGGACGCGGCGAGGCTCCGCGGTGACGTCACTGCCACCCGCGTGACCGCGAGCCGAGCGCGCCGCGCGTCGCGGCCGTAAAAACGAGTACCCGGAGGAAAATGATGCAGAGTAAATTAAAAACACGCCGCGATGCACTGCGGCGTCTGAAACTGTCCCTTTCCACGATTGCCGTGCGTACCGCGTAATCGCTATGCCGCTAATCGCGGGCGTTGTCTGCGCACGCCCGTGCGCGCCGCGTGTTTGTCTGCCGTCTCCCTCGCACTCGCGGGGCGTGCCGTTAGGGTGCGAGAGAGACGGAGCGACTTTCCGGCCGCGTGCACGTCGTGGGGCTTATCAGCACCCGCGGCCATATAACTACGCGAAGAGCCGGGCGGGCTGCACTGCGCCGCGGTTCCAAAGCGTCGCTCTGTCTCCGTCGCACTCACGGGCTGTCCGGCGGGGTGCGAGAGAGACGCCCACGCCTCGCAACGGCCGGCCTGGGCGCGGCGGCGCGGCGCGGAATTTGATAAGGCTGCGGCGGTGGCGACAAGTTCAGTCGGAAAGCACCACCTGCACCGCCGGGATGGCGGAACCTGGCCGACCTGGCCGCCCCGACGACGTGCCGAACACCGCGGAGGTAAAAATATCGCGCGCGCCTGGAATTCGGCTGGCCCACTGTGCGGGCCTTGCCTGGCCTTGCCGCGCCAAGCTGCGCTGCAGGTGTCGCGTGGCGGCGTTTCCGTTTTAGAAAGCGGCGTGCGCGTGCGGAGGGGAGGGGAGGGGGGGGGGGGCGCACGCCGGGAGCCGCGCGCTGCGTGCGTGTTTTGGAAATTTGATCGAGTCCACGGCGGCGGTGGCGACGGCGACGGACTTGTCGGCTGGCCCGTGGCCTCGGCGGTGCGGCGGCGCGGCGGCAGAGGACCGCGACGGCGAGGTGCTGGCCGTGCTGGCGTCCAGGCTGCGTCCCCAGGCAACGCGTTGTCATGCTTTCTGCCGCCGCTGCAGTGGCGTGCCCTCCATCCTCCATCCGCGTGTGTGGGGCCCACACTGTGGCCCACACTGTGGGCGCGGCCGTCATGAAGCTAATTTGGATTTCGGTGGGAGGCTGGCGGCGCCCTCAACAGTGTGGCCGTGCTAACGCGAACACGTGCTCTCTCTGTTGCAGGCCGACACCCCTTCCAGCGGACGCAAGAACAGCCTGAGGAGTTCGCAGTCGAGCCCCGAGCCCGAGCAGCAGGGATCACAGGTGGGTGTGGCTGGAGTAGAGCCCCAGTGGCGGATCCAGGAGCGTCCTTTTGGCGAGGAGGTGGAACGTGTTGCACAGTGGGCCAGAATAGTACTGGTGGTGGCGGCCAAACTCCCGAACGCGTTTTGAGCTCCAGAGTCGCTAAATGGGACTCGAACCGAGCGTGTGACCCCACCAATGGATTGCTCTCCGAACGAGGAATCCATTGGTGGGGTCACACGGTCGGTTCGAGCCCTGTTTAGCGACTCTGGAGCTCAAAACGCGTCTAGTTCGTGGTGGTCCCGCTCGGCAGAACCCCTGCGGTCGAGAGGCTGGGCATCCCTGCGAGGCGGCCCTGCGTGGCGGGACTGCCTACCCTGCCGACCGCAGGCGCTCTGCCACTCGGTCAGAGGTCCACGTCGTCCCCGCCCGTCTCGCCTGTAGCGTCCAGGCCGCTTGCGATCCCTGATTTGGCGCGTAGCTCTGCTGGAACGGATCAGATTTTTTTTCCTTTTTGTTTTTGTTGCTTGTTCGTCCACGCGGTGTGGCGAATGGCATGCAGGCCTGCGTCAGCTCTGCTCGTTCATCCTTGGAGACAACGAGGCGTGGTGGCGGTGCCGGGCTGTCAACTGCACTGCGAAAAAAAATTTGCTATCCTTGTCGGAAACGAACAATTCGTCCCTTTTTTTTTTTTAAGACCGCAGTTGGATTTATTTTTCTGAAAAGTTGGCTGTACCGTAATGAGAGAGAGAATCCAGTTTCGGAAACAAGCAATTGACTTTTGTCATGGAACTATTTGACCGCTCACATTACGTACCCGAAACATGAGGCAAGCGACTTTTAGCAGAAAGGATCACCCCTCGCCCGTAAAAATCAGTGCCTTTTTTTTGCGACCGGCTGCTTATCTGCGTGGCTGCGTGGCGCGGGGAAGTCCATTGGAATGACTCGTTGTTGCCTTGGCTGCCGCGTGGCTTGCTGCTGCTACACTGCTACTGCTGCGGCGGCGGCGGCCGGAACTGGCGAGCCGAGCGCCGAGCGTCGCGACGCGCACGCGGCAGCGAATCGTCAGCGCGCGCGGCTTTTCCTGAGAAATACGAACAAGGTGTTGCGTGCGCTTCGCCTGCTTCGCCTCGTGCCTGGCAGCCTCAGCCTGGCGCAGCCTGGCCGCGGACCTTGCGGCTGCGGAATGCTTATTGGAGGCCCACCCCCCCTCCCGGCCTGCACAGTGGGCCAGAGACTGAAGTTGAAACAAGCCCTTGGTGTCGTGCAGATTGCTGACGTGCTTCTTGGCGTGTTGCAGGGCGACAGTGGGCACAGCAGTGCCAACGGGACCCTGGAGAGGAAGAACAACACCCTGAACCTCAACATGACGGCCGCGGAGTTCCGCGCCCAGCTCGCCTCGCGCAGGACCACCAAGAACGAGGTGAAGAAGGACTCGATCGACTTCAAGCAGAAGTCCGACATCATCCAGAAGCTCTGAGCCGCGGGCCGCGCAAGCCCTGCGCTGTCTGGTGTCTTGCTGCGTCTGGCTGCGTGGCTCTGGACATGACATAGCGTCTGCCCCCGGCCTGCTCTGCTCAGTGCGCGCAGTGCGCTCAGCCCCGAACTGCTCACAGTATTACCCGTCTGCATTTTCGCACCATTGTTACCTTGTTGACTGAGGCGTTCGCTCTGAGCGACCCCCAGTTTGTTCTTACATCACCGAGGGAAGAAGTATCAGTCACATTGTAGCGCCTGTCGAGTGTTAGTCTTTTCTTTGCATGGCTCATTTTCCTAGTTGGTAAGCGAAGCTATTTTTATGTCGCCTAAAAGTATTGACGTTAAAAACTTGTGGCGATTGGTGAATGCCTTGTTGGCATTGTGGCGGAATGACTCTGTTTGTTAGTTAGTCTCATGCGCATCGTTTGTGCAGAAATTTTGTGCATGTGTGGAAACCTCATCAAGCAGCATTTATTTGTCTGCGTTTGAAAAGAAGCGGAGAAAGGATATCTGTGTATAGGTTACTCCAACTTCCATTAATCATTCATGTTTACGTTTTATTTTAGATACATATTCTTGTGTTTGTTTAAAATAGTTCACAGAAAAAGTATTCTTCTGTTCTCGAGTCAGTATTGCGTACTATGTTAATTTGGTGATTGTCGATAGATTACCCACTTCATCCATTGTACATCACATGATATTTGATGTAACCAGAAACATCACGGTTTTCTGCAGATGTGCTCAACAGCTGCCGCACTATGAAGCTAGGACTGAGGTGCGGGTTAGCACATAAGTGCCAAACCATATTAGTTTTTAAGACTGTTTGTAAATAGACCTTCCATATGGGTTCATTAGAATGGTAATTGGATTATAACAACTCTTCATTTTCTCTTGTTCCCTAGCTTTGCTTGGAGATGCTTAGTGCACATTCCAGTTTTTCTTTGTGATAAATTGTTGCTAAGTTAGCTCATTGCTTGAAGAGAAGCACCTTACTTAATTGTGTTAGAGCGTCTCATTCTCAATTGTCTTGGGTTTTTACTAATACTTCCCAAAGTAAGATTTACTTTTGACTTCTGTTTTTTGTAGTCTGCACCTGTCCAGTTATGCCAACTGCATTATAAATGGTAAACCAAATACTAAAATTTTGGGATTTAAAAAAATGGTTAAAATTTGTTGTTTGTTGTATTAAGTTTTCCCAGTTGTGCATGTTTGTGTGAATTTTTTTTTAGCTTTGTCCTTTTTGTTACATGTGCCTTATCAAGGCAGCATCTAGAGAATTACTCAAATAAACTGTTTGTTTTACTGGGTTACTTTTTTTTTCTGGGAATGCAATATGTTTCTACCAACCCTGTCCTATGTTCATAAAAAAAGATGACCAAGTGGCTTGAATGAACTACCTCACACTTAATGTCAATGGGGATCAACAAAACATGCATTCATGCATACAAGATGTACTTGCACACCACGAGTCTCACTAATTTTTAATGGAGGTTAATCAGTCCACTCGGAATCGCCTCACTGCCAGCAGACTGATTCCGAGAGTCGTTTTCGTCGCTCTGTCTCCCTCGCACCTACAGGGGACGGCCCCGTGAGTGCGACAGAGACAGAGCGACGAGAACGACTCTCGGAATGAGTCTGCAGCTCCTCACGTGCAGTGATTAGCGAGGGGCACGCCTACTTTTCGGGCTTGTCGTTCCTTGACACGGGGCTGCGGCCGTCTCTCTCGCACCCGCAGGGCCCATAGGGAAGGCCCACGAGTGCGAGAGAGACAGAGCGTCTTGTCTCACCCCACCGACCTTGCGCTGCGGTCGAGCGAGTCACCGGTGTCACCGTCACCGCGAGCCGTGTGCATACACTGCAACGAGAGAGACAGACGCGGCTCGCCGAATGGGTCCGAATGCTTGTGTTGTGTTTGAACCTCCCGCGCCAGAGCACCGCGATGGCTGTGCTGAAGCGACGAGTGGCGCCCTCTCTCGGTCGGCTGCGGGACTACAGTGCGGCCGCAGTTCGCGCTGCCGCCGCGAGGTGCCGCCACTGTCGCGAGCTTCGGCAGCGCAACTCCTTGGCGGCGCGCTGCTTCTCCCTCCAATCATCCGATATGGTCTAGTGGCTAGGATACCTGGCTCTCACCCAGGAGGCTCGGGTTCGATTCCCGGTATCGGAACTTTTTATCCCTCGCTCATTCTTCGTTCGGAGAGCAATCCATTGGTGGGGTCACACGTTCGATTCGAGTCCCATTTAGCGACTCTGGAGCTCAAAACGCGTCTCGAGTGCTGTGTAGAAACCGCCTGCTGTGCGCTGGAGCCACGCTGGGGCTTCCCCGTGGTTGGCCATCCCCCCGGTAGGTGGCGCCTTCCCCACGCGGCGGCGGCGCGACGCGCTGCGCAGTTTCCCGGAAGTGCGCCGCCCTACAGTGTGCCGGCCGCTCGCGCTTTGGGGTTAGGGGGCTCTTCGGACGGCAAGCACGGCCGCTTCCCGTTGCTCGCTTCCGAAAATACGGTTCCGCCGGTTGTTGCAATGCTTCATTTGGAATAAAAAGAGCGAAATCGATCTAGTTTAATGCTTAAGTCTGGTTTCTCCCCGGCGCGGGCCAGAGCGAGAGAGAGGGGTGGGGGGCGCTCGGCGAGGTCATTGAATGACGCAGGAAGCGGATGGGAGGGGCGTGGTCGGAGGGGCGGAACAGGGCGGAAGCGGTCCACAGGGAAGCAGAGATGAGTGTGGGGGTGGGGCGGCCCGGGCTGGGGGTGGGGTGGGGGAGGGGGTCGAAAAGGGAAAGACTTTCAAGGGCAAACACTGGCAAGGGACGGACGGACGCCGCGCCATTCGCTCCAAATTCCCTCACAAAAGGAGTCGTAACCGCCGCCTCTATAGCCTTCGCCTGCAACGCTTTATCTCACTCAAAACAAAGCCAAAAATTTCTAACAAGACTCCCGCGGCTTCTGTAATTTGATTTGATAACATGTTTACAATTTGCAAGATCATTGCGGCCCAGCAGTCGGTTGATTTTTTTTTCACGAAATTTTTGGAAATTCTCCTCTGTTTTTAGTGGTCCAAAATCTGACTGTGAATCGGGGCGTCCCTGCCTTCTCGCGCCGAGCTGGCGAAGATGATTTGGCGCGAAACAACGCCATTGGTGGCGCTGCGGACGGCGAAAGGCGGAAGCTGGCAGCGGGAGTGGGCGTGGTGGGGGGTCTGGAGCGGAGGGTGCTATGCTGCTGCGGCGTAGCCGCTGGAGCCTCCAGCGTGGAGGTCAAGGTGAGTGACGTCCCGGCCGTCCGGGGGGTGGGGGTAGTTGGCGTCACCTGGGCTAGAACCAAGGATAGGCCATGCGTCACCGACAACGTCGCCTTTTTCGTCCTTATCGCGCTGCCGCCTTGATCGATGCGATCGTCCTGGAGGACATGAAGGACAGCAGGAAAGTGGAATTTCCCATCTTGCGGAGGGCCTGCACTGCCCCCCCTCCCTTGTTGCGCGCCCCATTCGGCGACTTGACCTTCACCTGCGTCCTCTGCTGGATGGGGGGGGGGCGCTGCGGGTGAGAAAACCCATTCAGCGCAAGTTGGGCCCCTTTGACCCCCACCCCCGCCCACACCCCAGCCCCCACCCCGGGCGGGCGCGGCGCGACGGAGTTTGGCATCCACGGCTCCCTTTCCCGAAACTACCATCGGCCTCTGGGCGGGGCGGGGGGGGGGCGGGGCGGGGCCTTGCCGGGCCTGTTGGCTTTGCTGTGGAGCGGATTACCAGGGCGGGGCGCGGCGGCACGGCGGCCTTGATGACGTCACGGTGACGACAGCGCCTCGCATGCGCCCCGCAGCCCCGCAGCCCCCCGATCGGCACGGTGGCCAAGGACACCGTCGGCGTGATGCGCAGTACCGCGGTGGCGGCGGCCCGGCGGCCCGGCGGGGCGGGGGTGCGGTGCGGCCGGGCGCAACTGTGGCGCGGCGGTCACGGCCAGGGCCGTCATGGCCTCGACGTCCTCCACTCCACGGCCTCCATGACCTCCCTCCACGACCTCAATGGCCTCCACGGCCTCCATGATCTCCCTCCACGACCTGCATGGCCTCCAAGGCCTGCATGGTCCCTATGGTCTCCATGACCTCCATGACATCCATGGTCTCCACGGCCTTCACGCTGCCGAGGGCTGCGCTGTTCGTCTTGTTTGCCAACCCCTGACGCGGTCCTGGCGCTGCCTCCGGTTCCAGGCGTGCTGGTATTTACTTGACCTTGAACTCGCTCGCCCCCACCCCCACCCCCACCCCTGCCTCGGCGCTTCCGCCGTGCTTCCGCCTCACCTTGCCCCTCCCCTCCCCCTCCCCCAAGTCGCCCACCGCCTCGCCCGCCCCGCCCCCCGCCCCGCCCACCCCGCCCGCCTCGCCCCAGGCCGATGGATCCAGCGGGAAGGCGGCCGGGACACGTCCTTCAGGATGAGAAGGTCGCGGACTCCAATACCGTTGCGCCCTCTGTCACTTCCGGCGCCGAATAACGGGAAGTACGACGTGAAGCACCCGGAAGCAACCCCCGCCGGGCCACGTGTTGCCTTTGCAAGGCCGCTTTGGCGCGCCGCAGCGAGGATTACCCCGAGCAGCGCGTCGTTCGCCGTTCCTGGAAGCATAAAATGTTTCTCCGGACCCACCCCACCCCCTCGGTCCCTGGGCAGCCTTGGCAAAGGCAGTGACTGCGCCGTCCGTGCGCTTCCACGAACTTGCGCCATGGTGGGGGCCGCTCGGTGTGTTTCAGAGTGTTCCACACTGTTTCAGCGCCAGCGCGCGCCAAAGCAGGCCGAGCTCCCCGTCGGCAAGGACGACAAGTTGGGCGGCACGCACGCCGCACGCTACACACTCGCCGCCGGCCCCAACGGCCCACACAAGGGCGTATCTGCCGCGCGCCCTCCACGACCAACTACAGTGTGTGTGCCAAAGAAGAGGGCTCATGCTCGCTCGGGCTTGCGAGAGAGAGAGAGAGCGTTGGTTACGCTGCTCTGTCCGGCGTCCGCGCCCAGATGCAGCAGCAGCAAAGGCCTTCCCTTAATCCTTGTCAACCTCGGATGACGTCATCCTTTGTCGCCCCTCCCCGCCTCCCGGACGGGGCATTCCGTGTGACAGAGCGACATCCCGCCCTCAAGCCGCCCCCCTGCGCCTACGGCAGTCCGCTCCTCTCCCTCTAGCGCGGAAACGAGTGAAAAAGGTTTGACCTAGAGCTGACATTACTCCACGTTTTGGCGTGCTTTGCGGTGCTGTACTAGTACAGTGCAGGGCGCCAGGGCGGTGCAGGGCGCGGAAAGGTCGCGACGAAGCGTTGTCCGTCCGTTCAAGGTCAGGCCAGTCAGGCCCACCCTGCAGCCGCCACGCCACGGCCACGCCACGCAACAAGCGGCAGAGCGAGAGAGAGCGAGGAGGAGCAGGGCCGGCGAGGCGAGGGAGAAAGAGAGAGAGAGAGATAGAGAAAGAGGGGGCGTTTGGAGGGAGAGCGCGCGAAGAGGGAGAGAGAAAGGAGATCGATGCGTAAAGCTGGCAAGGACTCTCAAGTTCAAGGGCACAGGGTGGGCGTGGGAGGGCCGCGGTGGAGGGGGGAATCAGGAACAGGAACCGTGCGGCCGTCACGTAGCGCCACAGCACCCCGCCCGGCCAGCGTCCGCCAGCCGGCCTGCACCCCTCGGCGTCAACCAATCAACCCCGTGGACGTCAGGCCCCGCACAGTGGGTTTGCCAGAAGACCGCTGGAGGCAGCCCAAACTCTAGACGCGTTTTGAGCTGCAGAGTCGCTAAACAGGACTCGAACCGAACGTGTGACCCCACCAATGGATTCCCCGTTCGGAGAGCAATCCATTGGTGGGGCCACGCGTTCGGTTCGAGCCCCATTTAGCGACTCTGGAGCTCAAACCCACTGTGCGCCGCCCTTTAGCCTGCACGCCGCGGCGCCACTCATGATGGCTCCCAATTCGCATAACAACTCCCAGAGTGGGTGCGCGCCCCTGCCCGCCCCGCCGCCGCCCCGCCAGGCCGCCAGCGCCGTCAGCGGGGTGACCTTCGACCTCCAACAACCCCTCGCGGCCCCCGCTCGCCGAGAAGTCACCTCTAGCGTACTGTACTGCCCGCCGGGTGTTTCCGCCCTGCTTTCTGCTATTTAAAATTTCATGTTTGGCGAGTCCTTGGGCGGTTTCCTGGGCGCGGCGGAGCGGCGGAGCGGAGGAAGAGCGGAGCCGCGGGGCAGCGGGGGCATCAGGTCCTCGGGGAGGGGGAGGGGCGAAAAGGAGGGGGCTTCATCCCGGTCCACTTTGGCGCTACCTTCGCGGTCCGAAGTGAATAATGCAT